TTTATAATTCTTTATAAAGACACGGTGTTTTCATCAAGTAGAAAGTCACCTCAGTTCACTTTCCGAGAGAGGTATTTAAGAACGGCGAGCAGAATGTTGCGACAATGGTACCAGAAGGGTTTAATCAACACAGTGCACTTACCTTTATCGATCGAAGATAAGATATTATCATTATATTTATGATAAGAACATAAAAAATGGTTTCAAATCCGTAATTGTCATGTGGTCAAACCAGAAACTGTCCATTTTTACTATTATATTATGAGAAGACTAGATCAATGGAACAATTCAGAATAAAATTTAAATCTTTGAACGCCATGTATCTTGGAATGAGACATGTCAAGCGCAATCAAGAAATTATATATTTTGACATGGCAATTGTTTCGACAACACCGTGTCTTTATCAAATGTAATATTTACAAACTACCTGCTACTATATATACCGAAAAATGACCATAAAACCTTAATTAATGTTGTTGCGAGAATTTAACTTCAATAAAGGAGACGTATTTAAATCTAATTGATCGTTAAGCAATACATTTGAATGTCTCATTTTGTTAATCTCCATGGCTTCCAATAAATTTAATTTTCTACTTTTTGTGGCTGTGTGTAATATATCAAAATGTCGTCAAAAATGTGTTTTTCTGTGTTTAAGTGTGTAGCATAATTAGAATCTAGATTATTGTTTTTAAACGCTCTTATATGTTCGTTAATGCGTTTCTTGAAGAATCTACCTATTTGTCCAATATACATTTTCGGACAAGATCCACATTTCAACCTGTAGACACCTGATTTTTGGGATTTTGGACATTTGGATTTATTGTTTTTTAAATATTTTCCTATTGTGTTGTTAGTTCTGAAAGCTTTTTTTAAACCACATTTTGACAAATGTTTTGAAACTTTTTTGTTAGGTTCTCCTATGTCTTATGTAACAGCTCCAGCATATAAACTCTCTACAAAATTAGTAAATATTTTAAAGTTCCACACAGATTTTAAACCAAAATTTGCAATAAATAATTCTTTTGAATTAATCAACAAAATTAAAGATATCAAAATCCCTTCTAACGCAACTCTATTGTCTTTTGATGTACAAAACTTATTTCCCAGTATTCCACCTATGGATGTGATAGATTTAGTAGATTTTACCCTAACTCGGAAACAGGTTAACCCATTGGTGAAACAAGATTTATTAGATTGCTTAATAGTATCTTTAGACCAAAATTATTTTGAATTTAATGGACAGATTTATATTTCTAAAGAAGGTTTGATTATGGGAAACCCACTTACTCCTTTGTTAGCCGAGATTTTTATAGATAATTTGGAAAATGTCATACTAGAATATCCTTTAAGTAAAAGTTTTTTATGGTGGTAGAGATATGTGGACGATGTCTTTGCTTGCTTTGTTGGAACGGACAGACAATTGAATTCTTTTTTAAATTACATTAACTCAATACATAATCGTATAAAATTCACTATCGAGATTGAACAGGATAACTCTATTAATTTTTTAGACTTAACTATTACGAAAATGCAAAACACATTAGATTTTTCAATATATCATAAACCTTCACATACGGACACAGTCATACTTAACAGCTCAAATCACCCTTATACACACAAAATGGCTGCATTTTGCTCTTTTATACACAGACTTCTTAATACGCCACTCTCAACAGAAAATTACAACAAAGAACTTAATATCATTAAACAAATAGCACTGAACAACGGCTGCAATCCGTCCATTATAGATAAAATTATAAATAAAAAACAAATACAGACAACATTAAACTCTATTTATCCGAAACCAAATACAGAACATGAACAATTTAAAACAATTACATACTTAGGAGAACCTAACGAAAAAGTTTCAAAACATTTGTCAAAATGTGGTTTAAAAATAGCTTTCAGAACTAACAACACAATAGGAAAATATTTAAAAAACAGTAAATCCAAATGTCCAAAATCCCAAAAATCAGGTGTCTACAGGTTAAAATGTGGATCTTGTCCTAAAATTTATATTAGACAAACAGGTAGATCCTTCAAGAAACGCATTAACGAGAGCGTTTAAAAACATTAGTCTAGATTCTAATTATGCTACACACTTAAACACAGAAAAACACATTTTTGACGACAATTTTAATATATTACACACAGCCACAAAAAGTAGAAAATTAAATTTATTGGAAGCCATGGAGATTAACAAAATGAGACATTCAAATGTATTGCTTAACGATCAATTAGATTTAATTACGTCTCCTTTATTGAACTTAAATTCTAGCAACAACCTTAATTAAGGTTTTATTGTCATTTTCCGGTATATATAGTAGCAGGTAGTTTGTAAATATTACATTTGATAAAGACACGGTGTTGTCGGAACAATTGTCATGACATAATATATAATTTCGTGAATATCTGAACCTCTATATAAGTGAACTCTTATGGTAATGTAAAACAATACCGCAGTACTAAGCTACCGTCCATATTTAACCAACAGAGAATTATGCAACGATCCGAGTCACATTTGCAAGAAAATGTGCTACGAAGAGTGCGGGCTTTGCTGTTATCCCGTAGAAAGATCCCTGGACTGTGGCCACGTGGTAGAGTTGGATTGCTATATCGATCCGCAAATGCACAAATGCAAAGTACTGGTATTCACGAAACTGCCCTGCGAACATTCGTCGAATAAACCTTGCGGCATCGATCCTAACGAGTTTCTGTGTCCGCACCCCTGCGATACGAGGGTCGAACCGTGTGGCCACGCCTGCAGACGCCCTTGTCATGTTAGGTTGGATCCCGATCATCTTGAGGTTAGTATTAATCAAGGTTTCCCTCCGGGAACTTGGTCGATCTGTTATGGGAAAAGTCCGGTTAAAATATTTTTAAGGTGGCGGTAAATCCTTATATTCCGAAAGTGGGTACCAACTCTCGCTTCCCAATTTTCATCGTTGACGGTCGTTTGGCGTTAGACATTTTCTTTCTATATGATTGTTCCCTCATCGTCCACGTTCTGTCTGATTATGTTATTTCTAACATATTCAAGGCTGGAAATGCCGCAACTCCGTCTTCAAAAATCCATTTCTATACCTGCCAGCCGGTCTTTTTGCATTTGTATATCTCGTAATACTCTCAAAAATGGAGTGGTAGATGGTATGCTTTGTTTTGCGTGATCAGCATCTTCTTTTTTCCCTGTAACTATCACTTGGTCGTCGGCAAAAAGTGATGTGAACAAAATCTCATCGTCTATGAAGATACGTGCAGTCTTTGATGAACGATTTGACAGCTCGTGCTTGGTGACGCGTCATTATCTGTCCTACTTGTCCACAACTTGTTTTGCGGCACTGTGTCATATGCCTATTGGAGGTCTACAAAGACAAGGTAAGTCCTCTTGCCATCCTTTTCTCAGTTAAGGTTTCGAGTGTAAATACTCTTCCCGGTGTAACTCCATTTTGTTCTTCAGATTCGATCATTTCTTCATCTATGTTATTTTTTAAGATACGAACGTAAATTCGCGGCATGACGCTGATTGATACTTTATCTCAGAATCTGTAAGAAATATTAAAACCTAAAGAAAAGTTGTTTGAATTTGTTCATTCTTTTGAAATATATCGTTTTATATGTTGTAGCGTTTGGCCAAGTAACTGTCTTTTGCATTTATTTCGAAATATATTTCGTATGGTTCCGACGTATTTCGAATTTTATGTGGAAAGTGACGTTTGTAGATCTAACTCTATCTGTCAATTTAGTGGACTATATCCAAAAAAATGTTAAAACAACTTTTTTTTTTAACGGAAACATCCAATTTTTATATTTTTGTTATTATTTTGTGTAAAATTGTCTATTTCAAAAATTTGTATATGTCGAAATGTTAGCAATAAAATTTGTTTTTATTGCAAAAATGATATGACGAGACTTGGCCAACAAAAACTACTGAAACTACTTTTTGAGATTGAAAATTTGGATAGTTGAGGTCTATAGGTGATGAAAAAATACTAATTAGAACGTTAAGAAATATAAAAAAATTAGATTTTTCATAAAAAGATTGTAACGGTCGTAAAATTTTTATTTTTTCTGTTATCCTTTTAAAATAGTATTTCTGTCCATGTGGATATTTTCCAGCAAATGCCTGCATTTTTTTTAATAAATACCTTTTATTTTTAAAAATTAACCAAATTTAAAGTGATAAAAGTTTTTGCTAACATTTCGAAAATTATTATATTGTACAAATTAGCTCCCTTTTTTATCGATAAATTCCATAAAATTATAAAAATAAGTTGTTTCTGTCTGAAAAAAATACTTTTCACAGTTTTTCATTCAAAACTTTTAGGTTATTTTTTGGTTGCTCCTACCTAGTTGGTATTATCCATTGCATGTGTCTTGCTTGCTTAGTTTTGGTTAGTGCTTTTCACTCTTTCCGACCATTCCTTTTTAATTTTTTGACCTCTCATGTTTTACCAACGGTATATACTTCATTTAATCAAGTTTCGCCCAGATAAATGATGCGATGATGATAAACGTGCACAAGCGAGCTATTTTTTCAGCTCTGAATGTTGAGTTTTGGTGGAAAAAAGCTTTGAGAATAATAATTTTCTCAGATTTTATAATCGCCGTTTTACTAATGCGTTTCCGAGCAACAAATGCAGAAACACTTACCAATTTCAAGAACGAATTTTGCCAAAAACTGCTCGAAAGTAACTATAGAGTAACACGAGAGAAGGATCCTAAATATTTTACCTACTTCCACTAGTATTCAAAGAATGACAAAACCCATCAATGAGCTGCAGTAATATCTGTTTCTAAGGCAGCTCTGCAGACAGTTACCAAATAAAATTAGATCAATTATATAACACGTACAGATAATATAATAAAAGAATACTTGGAAAAATTAAATACACTTGACATAACGGCACCGCTACTATTTACTCTTGGCAACTTATATTTTTTTAGGGTATGATATATATTTTTTTACTTTTCCGATTTTTTTGGTACTGTTTTAATCGTTGATCTATCCACCTCTGGGTATGGGTGTACTGTAGGGTGTTTTTTTATGTATAGCAGCTGTCAAGTGATTTATTCTCAGTTTGGTTTGGCAATAGACTCACGCCTGAACAACGCTTGCAAATAGTGCAATTTTATTTCGAAAATAATTTTATCGTCGACAAAATCGTCCATCAGAGCAGTTAATTCGATTAACCATGGAACTCGCATCCCCAGAGACTCCGTACGGTGCGTACAGAAGAAGCTATTGCTGCTGTAGAGCGTAGCATTGAGGAAGACCCGAATGAGTCCATCCGCCATCGAGCACAGAAACTGGATCTGTGTCCATCCACTTTATGGAAGATTTTGCGGAAGGATCTTGGTTTACGTGCTTACAAAATCCAACTCGTGCAAGAATTGAAGCCAAACGATCATCAAATAAGGCGTAGATTCGTCGAATGGGCCCAAAACGAGATTGCCGTTGTTCCCGATTTTCATAAGCGGATTTTGTTTAGCGATGAAGCGCACTTCTGGTTGAATGGCTACGTCAACAAACAAAACTGCCTCATTTGGAGCGAAGCTAATCCTCAAGTGTATCTCGAAACACCGTTACATCCAGAAAAACTGACTGTTTGGTGGGCTTAATGGGCTGGTGGAATCATTGGTCCGTACTTCTTCAAAAACGATGATGGCCAGAACGTTACAGTCAATGGTGATCGGTATAGAGCTATGATTACTAACTCTTTAATTCCTGAATTGAATAACCATGATGTCCAGGAGATGTAGTTTCAACAAGACGGCGCAACATGTCACACGGCTCGTGCCACAATCGATTTATTGAAAGACACGTTTGGTGACCTATTAATTTCACGTTTTGGACCTGTGAATTGGCCTCCAAGATCTTGTGATTTAACACCTCTAGACTACTTTCTGGGGGGCTATGTAAAGTCATTGGTCTATGCGGATAAGATTGGAAGACAACATTCGCCGTGTTATTGCCCATATACTGCCGCAAATGTTGGAAAAAGTCATCGAAAATTGGACGTCCGGATTGGACTACATCCGCGCCAGCCGCGGCGGTCATATGCCGGAAATCATATTTAAAATGTAATGCCACAAGATTATCTTTCGGATAAATAAAATCGATACATCGAAAAAAAACACTCCTTAGTTGAATTAATAAATGTCAAGTACAACTGATTCTGTCTCTCGTACTTCCTAGTAATATAAAATTTAATTCAAGTAACGAATGTCTTGTATTTATCAGGTAGACATTGAGGGCGAAACAAAATCTGTCGAAGGATAGGCAGAAGCAAAAAAAAAACAATCTGTTTTATTCCGTCTTTCATTTTATTGCCCGACTATAGTTCTAATTTTACTTGTCACTCTCGGGACCCTTGACGTTATATTATAACAGTTTAAAAATGATTTATATCCCCATTTGAAAGTTCTATCTATTTAATATTAGCCAACTTCTTCCTTGTCCACACAAATACGAACATCATGTGAGTCCAGGTGCGGGTATTGAAAACTTGTGTCTCCTAACTTTTTTTGATATTTCTTACAGGTTCTGAGATAAGTTGTCCCATAATAAACGGTTCATCTTGTACGTTTAATTAACTTTTTAGTACGAGTGTCGGGAACCGTGTTCCAAACCTAGAGCGGGATGCAGGGAACCAAACGATTCGCACGTATGTCCCAAACTGTGTTTCGAAAATTGCGAACGATGCGACGTCAAGACGAAGAAGTTCAGGAGTTGCGGTCACGTGTTCGAAATCGCTTGTCATCTGGACGTCGAGACCGACTTGAAGTGCGAAAAGCCTTGCAAAAAACGTCTCCATTGCGGTCACCCGTGTCGTAGCGAATGTTGGCAGACCTGCGAGCCGTGCAAAGTATTGGTGAGAAACGATAAGGTCTTCTCGTTCCGTTGGAACGCGTCGTTATTCCATTTGTCATCGATAGGTTCAGAAAATCGTCCCCGAATGTGGACATACGGCAAAGGTCCCTTGTAGCGAAGAGCCCGCGAGGCACCATTGCCAAGAATGGCAGTGTCCGAGGCTGTTGTCGTGCGGCCACCCGTGCAAGAAAAAGTGTTCCCAGCCGTGCACGTCGCGGTGCACGGAAATCGTCGATTGCTCCATCGATTCTCCTTGCGGGCATGTGATTAAAAGGATAAAATGCAATTTGAGGGACACGCGTAAGTTTCTCGCTTCGGTTTTGGCCTCGGCAATTTTAAAATCAAATTTCTAATTTGCGGCGCCAAAATTCTTCGGCCTGAATATGAAAGAAACAAAGTAGAGTAACAATTTTTGTTATTTTTCAATATAATCCCCATTAACTTCAATACACTTATTACATCTCTTTATTAACAACTCAATCCCATTAAAAAATATATCCTTTTGGTTTGTCTGCAAAATGAGCTAAAACAGCCTCTTTTAACTCAACTTCGTCGTTAAATCGCCGTCCACGTAAGTCCTTTTTCAAATAACTAAACAAATAATAGTCGGTGGGCGCCATATCTGGACTATAGGGGGGATGATCTATCTGTTGGAACCCACACCCGAAAATGGCGGCTTGCGCAACACCAGCAGTAAAAGACGCACGCCTCTGGTCAGTTTTCCTCGACGTTTTACACGTATCCAGTCTCGCAATTTATGTAATAATGTTGCTTAATATTCACCATTGACAGTGGCATTAGTTTCTTTAAAATCTATCAAAAGAATTCCTTCACAATCCCGAAAGATCGTGGCCATCACCTTTTTTGTTGACTGACGGACTGAATTTTCTTGGAGGTGCCACTCCATCGATTCTTTTTTCGATCAAGGGTCATAATAGAGTTTCATCTCTCAGGTCGGGAAATTTTGGCGCTAACCTCGTATATTGGTCGGAAACGAATGCGCAAAGTATATGGGCTATCAGAAGTATTTGTCGAACGGCTATGAGGTATGGTCTGTTCATAGATATAAGAAAGTGACCAATTGCTTTTGAATGGGTGGTTATTAACATTAACATACAATGCAACAAGAAAATAATTTTACACCTACCTGTGTTTAATATTCTTTGGTTTGGTATACTACTTAGTTTAAGTTTATTAGTAATCATTCTTATTTCGTGTGTAATACAGCGTGTGTTGAATCGTGTGCGAATTATGCAAAATATGTGCGAGTCTAGTGTATCTCAGGAGATGCTCCCGCCCAAACGTAGAAAACATTATTCTATTGAGACTAAGGAAGTTATAAACAATGTTTATTTGACTCTCATTGAACGTGGTGCCAGCAAGCAAGCATCTTTAGAAGAAACGGCCACATTGACAAAAATTCCAACATCAATTGTATGGAAAATTGTGAATAATCTCATTTCAGCGAGGAAAAAAAAGAAGCGATGCTGACATTCTCTCGTGTGTAGGTGAAAGTGATCAAGATATAATACGGCGTAAAATTTACCAGTTATACGAGGAACAAAGCGTGCATACGTTAGATATCTTAATTAGGAGGGTTGAAAAAGGTGAAACCGGTGTTAAATGTGGCAGAACTACCTTATGGAAGTGTATTCAACACATGGGTTTTAGATTTAAAAAAATTGACAAAAGGCAAGTTTTAATGGAATCTTTTAGAATTCGGAAATGGCGACTGGAATATCTAGAAAATATTAGGATTTAAAGGGAACATCAAAGGCCAATTATTTACTTGGATGAAACCTGGTTCGACACTCATGATACCCCGGAAAAGGGTTGGGTCGACTCAACTGATAAGTGTAAAACAAACGCGCCATCAAACAGAGGTAAGAGAATAACTATTTTGCATGCTGGCTATAAATATGATTGAATTCCAAACCGACTTTCTCTGTCTGCGAAAAATATTAAAGATTCTTCTCTGTATTACGCTGAAGACTCCACCGCTGATTTATTTGAAAGTGGGTTTAAAAACAAACCAGTTCCAAACATTCCTCCTAATAGCGTCATTGTAATGGACAATGCAAGTTATCAAGGTAGACTGTTGACTAAAACCCCTTCCTCATGTGATACAAAAGCAACAATCCAAAACTACATGTATAATAACGACATTTATTTTCACGAAGATTATACCAAAAAGCAATTAATTGAGGTTCTACAAAGCTTGAACCTGCAAAAGGAATACGTCTGTGATAATTATGCAAAAAATCTAGGGCATACAGTTTTAAGGCTTCACCTTACTACTGTATATTTAATCCCATTGAACACCAACTGAAATCTGCCATTCGTCGTAACAATGTTTTTCCGCGTGTTACCCCCAATGTCCTCAAAGTTAAAAAAAAAACGAAGTTTTTAACATCCCTTCACAAAGTTGGGTAAATTCTGTTAAACATATAGAAAAAACAGAACAATCGTATATCCATGTTGAAATTAATATAGAACAAATAATAATTAGAACAGGCGATGATAGCGATAGTGACACTGATATATTATGTGAATAATTTTAAGTAATTTAAATAGATAATAAAAATAATTTGTAATTTTATTTTAGCTTTAAACATAAATACATACATAAATAAATAAATATTGTTTAGTATCTTTCCTAACAAAACCCCAAATAATTAAATTCTAAGCACAGTACGGACCTGTTCGGCCATATTTCATTCTTACAGTTTGCCCGGGTCTTTCCCTAATTCGTATCAGTCAGTTTTATCTATCTAGTTATCTTATATCTATGAACAGACTTTACTCAATCGCTCTAAAATATTTTCGAGTGTGCAATGTTGTCGTCTCGATATAAATATTTTGCTTAGTTTAAATGACAACCCCTGTATATAAGTTCACGTTTAGATTCTACTCTAGAAATGAAGTAGATTTTGTTCAGGTCATCGAAATAAAAAAAAAAAGATATTTTAAGCAATTTGAACCGTTGAAGAAATAAATAAATGAAATAGGCCTTCATTTTGTATAATATATTTAGTATAGCAGATGAAATTTTGGGAAAAACGAAATTGTCAAAAAAAAAAAGAAATATTAAATATAAATAGTGACAAATAAAAATATAAAAAGGTATCCCTTCATCAACCAATTTTCGAGCACGCTGTATTCGGGCTTGATGGAAACTAGTGTAGTTAGGGGTTATGTAGTCCTAAATAAGAAATTGTTGACAAATAGTCCCGATTGGCCACGACTTTAGTTTGATATAATAAGCAAGTGCGATTTTGAATGATAGAAATAGATATAGTTGGGTTTTAAGTACTCCTGAATAAGAATTAGTTGCCAATATGTTTTTTAAAATAATTCTAATGGTACTTCTCTCTTCTCTCTATTGTTAAATAGTCCCAGTTGCAAGAAAAATTGGATTTTAGTGCATTTTTGAGAGGTCTATCGAACAAAATAAAATATGCTATATTGAACCATAAACGAAGACTTTACAGTGTACTTAAGTAGGACACACTGACGTCATTTCGACGATACCCTGTATAAATCGTGCTGCACTGTTGGAATTATAGGCGATCCAGCGATTTTGTTGGGAAACTGTTCCGAACCCTGTTCTACGGTATTGAAATGCGAACATAAGTGTTGCGGCACGTGCGGCGTGTGCCTACAAGGTCGAATCCACGCGAAATGTGGAGAAAAGTGCGGCGCTATTTTGGTGTGCAACCACGAATGTCCGTCGGCGTGCAGAGACGCGTGCATGCCCTGCACGAAGCCATGCGAGATGAAATGCCAGCATAGTAGGTGCAAAAAGAAATGTGGCGAACCTTGCACACCGTGTAGTAATCGTTGTCCAAGACGTTGCGCGCATCAGCGTTGCAAAAAACTGTGCGGTCAAATTTGCAGCGTTCCTCCATGTACCAAAAGGTAAGTAATTTGCTAGGTCACTCGTAATTAGTTTTATAACGAAATTCCTGTCGATTGTGCGTAAACGATCCTTTTCCTATTAATATTTTCGGTGTGTTCCGCCCTAATGGCCAAGACGCTACATTCAGACCTTCAAATCCATTATGCCCGCACATTTTTGTTCAATCCCCTAGGCGTAGAGGATCTCTATACCCTCGACGGAGAACAGTACCTCTTTCGTAAGGAGTTTGGTTGGTTATGTGACCTCCTAGTACTCTTAATTGGCTTCTTCATAGCAATGTGCAACTGGTTAGGAAATGAATTGGAGTTTTTTCTTCTTCCTCACTCCTTTCCTCACCTCATCTCAATATCTGCTTAGAGTACACTGGGGTAGATCGCATGCCAAATTCATTAAGAACATTATTGTTAATAATTTTGATAATTATGATTCTTGTATATTCTATTCGGTTCTGCGATACGTCCCGTCCCAATGGCCAGGACGCTGCGTTCAGACCTACAGGAGCTTTCTGGAAGAAGTACAATACCTCTTTCTGGGGAGTACGAGGGATATCTTTTATATTTCGGGATTTGTAATAAAAAACTATAAGCTACCAATTGTTTTTCAAAATATTCACCCTGAACACCAGTCATCAAATCACTTTTCCCACATCGAGTCGGCCACCTCCAAAACATGCTTTTTAAACGCATCCAATCGCTTGTTCTTAATGTATGGGAATAACAAAAAGTCATTAGGTGCTAAATCAGGACTATATGGTGGATGGCTCATCAAATCAATGTTTTTAATGCTCAAAAAGTTCTTTGTTTTGCCCTTATCGGATTGTCGTCGTGGAGAGTGATTCGTCTTCGACGGTGGGTTTTTCTAATTTCTTCGAAAACTTTCGGCAAACAAATGGTTGTGTACAACTTTTGTGGGCTTTGTCTCATTCTGAAAGACCCACACAGTCGACTGCTGCTTACATTCAGGTTCATATGCATAGATCCATGACCAATCAACAGAAGCCTTTTTTTGAGCTGATATCAAATCCAATGCTAACAAATTTTTTTAGCGACCAAATGTTCATACAAAATTGTACGTATGCTGGTCCCATTAATGCCCAAAGATACCTCAATCTCATTGTAAGTCACAGGACGATCCTGCAAAATTAGTTTCCGCACCGCATCAATGTTTTCTTCTACAACCACTGATTTTGAACGACCTTCATGAAATGCATCCTTAAGAAAACTACGATCACGACTGAAGATGGCGCTTTAACTGCAAAAGTCGAATTAAGTTCATGGATGTATTGTTGTTGAGTTAGTCCACGTCTAAAGTTGTAAAAAATCACAATTTTAATTTATCCCAAAGAGCACTCTTTCGCCAAAACCTAACTGAGCAAACCGAACCTCAAAATGTCAAACTCGAGTTTGCGGTTTGCACGTGTTTCGCTTTCAAATTGAATTGAACAGTTGAAGATTTATGTAAGGCGAGTTAGCAATGGGCCTGCCCGTCATTGTTATGTTAATCTAGTACACAATAAATATTAAATTTTCCAATATGTTTCAACAGGCTACTGCGATACTATTTTCAGCTCTTCTGGATTCATCCTGCGTCGGTTGTTGTTGAATCAAACTTGCTGACGTTTCGCCATATACATTAGAGAGATTAGATAAAAAATATCACCTAGGCTAAAAGCACATGAAACGGGTTTAATACTGCGACAAATAAACTCTACTACTATCAAATAAAAATGTGAGACTTTAGCTCCGCCCCCATCAAACAGTATGTAAGCAGGTACAGAGAAGCATGCGAACCAGTTTTAGTTAAGGTCTCACAAAGCCAACAGGATCATTGGTGAAACGTCAGCAAGTTAAGACAACAACCGACCCAAAATGAGTTTAGAAGATTTGTAAATAATAAATAATATTATTATTAAGACAAAAAGTAATAATTTGTAGGTGTGGCAAGAAGCTGAAGAAATGTGGTCATCAGTGCGTAGGCTTCTGTGGGGATCCGTGTCCGAGGTTGTGTCGCCACTGCGACAAAGACGAATTGACCGAAATATTCCTCGGTAACGAAGACGAAGAGGACGCCATCTATGTGATGTTAAAAGATTGCGGTCACGTGTTCGAGAGCGGCGACATGGAACGTTGGCTGAATGCGGACTACAGTGAAATCAAACTGAAGGTTTGTCCGCGATGCAAGACGAACATAACCACAACCGAACGGTACAGCGATCACACGAAACGGGCGATGGGTGACGTCATCGAGGTTAAGCGCAAAGCGTACGGCGACTCCGAGGCCAATGGTAACACTAGGATGGAGCTATTGCAGAAGACGTTGATTCTGGAGGAAATGTTTTCAAATGCGAAAGGAATGATAGGTGTGTACTCGCTATACAGAGAATTCGATCAGCGTTAAGTATAAAGGTTTTAACTGCATATTTATTAGCTAAGAAAGAGTGTGTTTTTTCATACAAAAAAAAATCATATTTTTAATAATTATTCACAAAGCGACCACGAAATTATGGCTAGCACCGAAACGGATGTAAAGTGTGTAAAGCTTATTCATCTATTACATAGTTACTAAATTATTACGTTCTCGCGAGTTTGCATGTTTTCAACGCCAAATGTGTGCAACGATAATTAAATTCTCTGTACTTTGTACTTGTACCAAGAAAACATGAAAAAACAAACGGGATTTTTTTCTAATTGTTTAATATCAACTGAAACATTTCCATTGCTAATTTTTTTTTATCGGGTACACAAAAATAATGGCGGTTCTATATGTGGGACGCTAGGAAAAATGATGAGAACTAACCAAAACATATTCTAAGTAAACAAAAATGCTCGCTCTATAGTCTAACTACCTAACAAATCACTTTTCGCGAAGGCCAATATTGCATTTTACATAACGGGTAGTTGTTTGAAGATTAGCATTTGTCTGACGTATAGAGCAGTTTTCCTTTGGTCGATATTATTTTCGAAGTATCCGTACATTTTTGTGTTTTTGACAGTTTCAGATTGATTGATTAAAGTGTGTTGTTGTTAACATACTATTTAAAACTAGCAGTCGTAAAGACGTGCGGAGAAAAATTATTACAAAAGTGACCGAGAGAAAATAGTGGAATTTGTTTACTTATTTATTTTATTTGTTTTCAAAATGTTTGTCAAGGTATTTTTCACTAACTAAACATAGCTCAAATGCTCGCTATTTTAAACTAAAAAAAAAATTAAAGTAAAAAAAATTGTAAAAGATATAAGTTTGTGTTGTTTCCTTGGATTAATCTGATAATAATACCGGGTTAATAATAAAATCTTATAATAGTAGCATCAAATCAACCTAGCCAGAAATAATTGAGGTTGAAGGTTGGTTTTTTCAAATTTTCATTTTATTAAAAGTAAAACACGCGACAACTGATTTACTTACCATTTCAACTTTTGCGGTAACCAACTTCACGGAGGAGAGCCCATTTTGTTAGCCTCAGATATCGAGTTCCTTCCTGACCCTCCCGAGTGAGTCGTCTTAACCGACATCGTCCCAAGAGTAGGATAATCGTAGGAGGTGTATTCCGGTACTTTCATTATTGTCATTTTATTATTGTTATTTTAATTAATTTTTTACCTATACCTCAGACCTATTTGAATAAATATAAATTAAACAAAAAAAATTTTTTTTCCATACTTACATAGCAAATTGCAAAAAATATAATACAATTAATAATTCAACAATACTCTGGGCAAAATAGAACCCATAACAAACAAAACAGAAGTACCTCATTTTCATAAGTATTTTGGTCCCCGACTTTACAATCCATTACAAGAACAAATCAGACACAAAAATTCGTAGATACAAATCCCTTGGAGAGTGGCAGGGCTATGTTTAGTGATCATGTAATAACTGCCATGGCATGGATTTTCTGTTTTTCCTGGTAATTTTTTATACGTAAGTGGTAAAAAAAAACTGTCTGTGGCAGTTAATTTACAACTCTGCGGGACCTTTTCATTAGTCTGTATGTCATGTAGTTTAGTAAAAAAAAAATTAAAATAAAACAAATGTGAACTCGAAAGTCTACCACAAACAAGCATTCATTTGTTATTTAAAATAAACTTATATTTTAATGATAGATTCAGATAATAGCAAATTGCACAACATGAAATGCGCAAATTTACAAACTATTCCTTGCAGTTATAAAAACAAATTATAACTAAATGTTCTTCAAAATTTTCCAAAAGAAAATTGTGTCTTTTATCAGTAAACATATTTTAAAAAATCGATACACATGTGTTTTAGTTTTGGATTTTTTTTGAACCATTTTTTAGGAGTCTGTGTGCTATTTTTAATATCTGACATACATATTTTTATAACCTTTTTCGCAATCTACCCCAAATTAAAACCACCGAATCTGTCAAAAAACAGAGGCAGAATCCAATTTCGCGTGGGCTATAGGTACAAAAGGATAATTTCTTTTTATGAGTATTAAATTTTCTTTGACCGTCGCGTTAGAAAAACCTGTTTTTCAATTCAATGTTCTCGGCATAAAACATAGCAGCGGCTAACCGAATTTCCCCAGTGAGTTTATTGCTGGTTGCGATGGTACATTTTTGTGTTTTGGACAGTTTTTAGATTGATTGATTAAAGTGTGTTGCACATTCAGGGCAGTCATAAAGACGTGCGGAAAAAAATATTACAAAAGTGACCAAGAGAAAATAGTGGAATTTATTTTCAAGTTTTGTAACTAAACATAGCTCGCATGCTCGTTATTTTAAACTAGAGTGGGATCGGTTGCTCGACCTACAAGTGACATGGACGCGCATCCTCTGAAGATGCCATATGAAATTCTAGCGAAACGTCGGGCAACCGATCTGATTCTAATACCAGCACACATACTTTCATCAGTGAAGCTTTCACCTTTAAGGAGAAGTTTCCTCATTATTTAACGCGCCTCAAAAATATGGGACGCGTTGTATAAATAATGAAGATCTGTTTTTCTTTTTGCGCAGAATTTTTCAAGTCCGTTTTCCGTTTAATCCAAGACCGTTTGTACGAGGCGAAACGTCAACGCAGGCAGCCGATAAACGCCATGGAATTGAACTCGATCGGTTGGAAACTTCAGTGCTTGGAGGGGATCCTGAAGTGTTGCGAAAGACGTCCTCCGTTGTCTACTGGCGACGATCGCGGGTTCAAGGACCAAGTGTCATTGTTGGAGGTGGCGTTGTCACGCAACAACGATCACGTGTCGGACCAAGAACGGGAAGATCTCGGGTTGGAAATCGACAGGCTCCAGCGCATCGTTCAGTTTGCGAAAATCAAATCCAAAAGGGACGCACTATTGCCGATTGTGAATCAAATCAGCACCGAGTTGTACTCGAAGGAAAGGTACACGCCCGAACGAGACGCGAAAGTGAAGAAACTTCTCGAGGAATTGTCGTCGACGACGATTTCCGACAGGGAAAAAAGGGAGATAATCGAAGCTATGAAGATGGGGCAGGGGCATTGGTTCAGGTGTCCAAACGGTCACGTGTACGCCATAGGAGAGTGCGGCGGGGCCATGCAAGTGTCCAAGTGCAACGAATGCGGCGCCACCATCGGCGGTACCAATCACCGGCTCTTGGAGGGTCAGACCTTCGCGCCGGATTTCGATGGTGCTACGCAGCCCGCTTGGCCCGGGGTCCACATGTAAAAAGGGAAAAGTTACTAGCGTCCGCCAAAGAAATCTACATTATTTGTTTTCACGAATTGCCTATTATAATATTCTTAGTTTTCTTCACATGGTTATGTTTACTATACCTTAAATACATATATCAATTTGGAGTCACTTCTCAGTTTTAATTCCAAATCCTTTTAGACAGATAGCCCAGTCGGGGCCGCAAATAAGGTCATTTTATTCACGTATTTATTTTCAAACAGGCTCACCTTTTCAGGGACGAAAAATTTGACACAATACCGGAAGAATTGCTAAAAGTAATCAGTGGTATACCATGACCAGAAATATTGTGTTTTTAGCACCGACCCCGTGATTGACTTTGCCTGCTATTTAGCCCCTTTTAGAACGCCCTGTCGAGCAGAACCTTACCCGTACCCATTCCAGGACCGTCCTGCCATTGCTATCATCCGGGCCAGATGAACCCCGTTTTTTTTTTTAATTAGATTGTTACTCCGTCCTCTCCTCTTCCTCTTGGGTGGACTTCGCTTGGGACTGGCGCGGCGGAGTTTACAGAACATTTAAAATGTTACTGAACAAAATCGGAGTAATTATGTTCAACATGTCATAGAAAAGAACAAAAAGGAAATGTGATCGGATGATAATCTCCAAGACGACGTCGATTAACTTATTATTACCGTATATTCTGGCGACATTTCTCAGAGCTACATTGACATTTCCGATATCGACCAAGAATAAAAATGGCGAAAATTGCTACGACTGGCAAGGGTACACTCCGTAAACCTCCAAATTTTATTCCATAGAAAAATGCATACAGATAGTGGCGACGCGATGAGCGGACTGCGGCAACTAATAGACAGTTCAGCGGCGGCAATTTTGAAAACAAAATTTGCAGATGCAACGTTGTACTATTCTACATTTAATTTTTTTATTGCACAATGGAATGTACAATGGTAATAAGCTTTGGAATATATGTTTAGAATGTTTATTTTAAAAATATCACAATTATGTAAAAAAAATAAACTAAAGAAAATATTTCTTATAAACAAATACTAACAAAAATTCATATGCTATAGAACTTCATACAAAAAAGATATAAAAAACAAACGAAACATATTTCTTAAAAACAAATGACCACACAAAAGTAGGAATATTTGAATACTAGCATGGTTAGGCAAAATGCTCAACACAAACCAAAAAAGGGATAAATACAAAATTAATAACATTTTTGGCAAATTTGGCAGGATATTGATCTTCACAATATTTTTTAGCTATGAAGGTTATTGATGTATCCAGAATCTTTGGTAAATCACCAACCAGATGTTCTTTACAAGTAGACCAATCGAAGGACAATTTGGAAGAGACATTTTATCTAAGTTCAGGACAAACTACTCACTTGCAATGTTTAAATTAAAAATGATGATTCTACTGCATTATGCCTGCCTACGGGCTATATACTAGTTACAGAACTACAAACCAAAATTTGTACTTCACAAAAAAATGACTAGCATTGTATGGTTGACTCGCCACTACACCTGATATTTTCTCTTCAATTCGTTTCATGAATTTCATGAGGTTAGAAGCTACCTGATCCTTGATCAGCTTGTATATCTTTTAGGATATATCCCAGTTATGGAGGTAGGAAAGAAGAGTGACCACCAACTTCAAGTTAAATATCTTTGGTTCGCTTGTTACTTTCAAAAATCGATGGAATCGAATTTTTCCGTTGGTACAGAAATGATCACCGTCCAAAAAAAAATTTTTTTTTGTCTGTCCGTTCTCCGTTCTCCATTCTCGTTTTTTGGTTTTTCCTGAATAATTTTTGAACCGTTGGAGCTACAAAATTAAAATTTGCCGCACATAAGCTTATAAGAAATGGCCCTGATCCGAAGTCGGAAGTCCATCTTTTTTTCGTGATTTTCGACTGTTCGAGTGCCCGAAATTTGAAGCAATCGACTTCACGTTTGGCACATGTATGCAGCTTTGCCCCGTGACGGAACCTATTGAAAATGGGGGGGCTGGGAGTCGGGAGTCTAAAAAAATAAAAAATCGCGCCTACAAAAAACATCATTTTTCAAAAACTGTTTACGAGACCAAAAAAAATTTTGAACCAGAAGACGCAGAAGATACGACTCTATAACCTTTTATTTTTGACATTTTTTCAAAAATATACAGGGTGCGCTGCAAATTCAAAAAAAACTGAAAAATGGGTCTCCCTATTATTGAAAATTGGTTATAAGTGAAAGACTATTATTGAAATCTCACTTTCTATTATATTGCGATATAGCCAGCATAGACAGAAAAAACTTTTGTATTTAAGGTTTTCACCTATTGTACAGGGTGTTCCCAATATTCCGTGCTAAATGATATCAACTTCAAATTTAGCAGAGAAGTAAAAGTCCGTGTCCATTTTTAAACGGTAGAAATTGGTCGCTATCCAATTTTAGCAAGTATTTTTTAAAAATGTTTGAAAAAAATTTTTTTTGGTAAGTTTAGCTTTCAGAAAAATATGTTTTTATTCTTTAACCGACCGACGAAGAAGATACAGTGCAATAATATCTAAAGGACCCAGAAAATTGTTTTTTTACAGAGCAAATTATTAGCCGCAAATCAACAATCGTAAAAAGTATGGCTAACTGGTTCAAACGGTGTCTATCATAGGCCGCATCAAGACCTACAATTTTTATATTTGCAGTTTTCGTCTATCACATACGCATCGTTATTTCGGGCACTGTCAAGACGCTTGTCGTCACAGAGTTTCAGGTTTCGTCAATTATACGGGGCGCGAGATATTTGAAGAAATATCATTCGACAACACTATCACTGGTCTGCAAAAAAAATTTTTTTTCTCTCCTTGTTTTCACGCATGAATTCATCTTATTTTATGCTCTAAACACGGAATCTGATATACAAATAAGTACCACACGTAGGTTTTAAATTTAATATTTACTTCATCAAAAAACAATATTATTAAAGTATAAATTATTATAAGGAAATAAAAAAATGTGGCGGCTTGAGTTTTACAGTAAAAAATCCTAAATTATATTAACAAAACTAATAAATATCGTCAGTTATTTCATTAACTGGTGGAACTGGAGGTGGAGTGTCTTTATCACGAGGAATTGGTCTCTTTGCAGATAGGACGTTCGGATAAACAATCCTATCTTTATTTTTTTTTCGAGAATCCTCGTGTAACAGAAATAACAATCATTCTCATGATTTGGAGGCTCACTCCAAATCATTGGCATTGAAAACGGCATGGATTTGTGTGACTTTCTTCAAGCCAACCTCTCAACGTTCTTGAGCAGCTATTGCAGCACACTTTTGGCAACCGACTTTTATCTCGCTCATCGATAGAAAATCCAAAATATAGCTTATAAGCTGTTTTAACCAGGTCGGTCATGACATATCGCTGTGTTTTTAGTATGTATTCCCACAAATGTAGCAAAAACAATCTGAGGAATTTTTACAAGTCCGTGGCATTTTGTAACCTAAAATCACATAAAATTAATTTTAAAACAACTTTCAAACTTCTATTTTATATTTATTGGCTCTACTTAAAAAAAAATACTCAAACTACACATCAAATACTTAAATCCAATGTAGAGAACATGAACTTTATGCGAAACTTACCAAAATATTTGATATGAAAGGTAAACAATTAAACGACAAGTTTTCACTGAGCTGTTGTAGTGTCATAATGAATACTGCGCATGCGCATATTTACTACCATAAAAATCACCTTCCGCACTTCCCTCCTTCCTTTCTCTTACAACTCTCTGTGCAAATTTTAATATTTAGCGATGTTCGCTGTAACTTTGAAGATCGACGAGATGTGAAGGACATTTTATACAGGGTGCATGCACAATTAAATTACATCGATTTTGCGAAAGTTCCATAGTGGTCCACAGGAGCACGAGAGAAACACAATGTGTCCCTTTACCACACGAAGCCGCGAAGCTCTTTTCTTTTATAAAAAAAAAGCTGCTTCGCGCCACGCGCTACGAACTTGCCCCGACGATTTTTCGAAAGCAATCTTGTTTAGGCCTCAACACTCTAAACACTTATTAGTTCGCAACAAACAAGATTGTTTTTTTTGCGATCGACCCTCCACATTCCTTATTGACATATGATTTCAAGTGGCGTAAATTGATAAGACCAATAAAGTGCGATTCCATCATTAATTATTGCATTCGCGTTTACCGCTACAAAGTAACCATGTCTGCGTTTATGTTTTCGTTTGTTTTGCTGACATTACTCACCAAAGCTTCACCCGCGAGTGCAGAACCGTGCGTAGTAACCCAATTCGATGAAGTTGAAGCGGCCACCAAAACATGTTTAGATATTGTTCTCGACAACCTGTTCGTACCTGCCAACGTAACGCTGAAGCTCAACCTCACGGACGGCGCTACAGTCACTTTTAAAGGCAACATTACCTTCGGGTACGCTATCTGGGACGGCCCTTTGGTTACCATAAATGGGACCAGTATTACCGTCAAAGGGGCCGAAGGTATGTTATAGACCTATAAGTGCCAGACCAATAACTTGTTCTTTAATGCGAGAGTGTGATAAAATATAAATTATATTATAAATAAAAAACAACTTTAAGGTTATATCGTAAAGTTCAGGTACATTGCAATGATAGTTTAAAAAAAATCCTTTCGAAATTAGGGTAACACTAATTTGCACACAATAGAAAGACGAATTTAGTGAATGAAAGTAATGTGACTGCGGTATTACCAGAATAATAAATATAATAATAATAAAATATGATCATAATATACTTAGACCAGAAATATAATGCTATCACAACCGACCCCGTGATTAACTTTGCATGCTGTTTATTACTCCAAAACCGCAACGCCTTATAGAACACCCTGCCGAGCAGACCCTTACCCGTAACCGTTCCAGGACCGTCCGAGGAATTTATTTACCTACACTAACAATAAAACAAACAACAATAAAAAAGTTGTATCCCGGTTGGCAGTGAAGATACCGCCTGTATACTAGACTGTTTTGAGAACGGCACCTTTTGTTTTACGTAATTAGAGAGAACAAAGTTATGACAAATTGGTTAGTTCTCACATGTAAGCCTAGCTTTTCAGAGCCGGCAACACAAACAACCTTAACTATTACTAACTTTGTATTTTTTAAATTTTTGTAAAAAAAAAAACGATGATAAATTCCAATGCGACCAACTACACACAATCAAGAATAAAATTAATATAACCTAAACAGGATCTGTGTGCGACGGCCAGGGCCAGCTCTATTGGGATGGGCAAGGAGGCTGGTCGGGTCCGAAACCACAATTTTTTACCATTCAAGCATTTGGAGGGTCCGTTTTTAGAGACATCTACGTATTAAATTCGCCAATGGACGTCGTACAGGTGACCAACTCCGACGATGTCCTATTCACCAATTGGGTCATCGATGATTCCGTGGGTGATAAGGTAAATTAATATTTTTCGTTAGGTATGGGAACTCACTGAACACACACATTTCGTAAAATCGAGGTTTGATTTTCATTGATGAGATTATCGTTAAACAGTGTAATGATGATAAAATATTTTCTTTGAATATTCCATATTCCACTCGACACCAATGATAACAATGAAATCGAAAACCTATAGATTTCTACGTCAAGCAAAATTCTAAGTAGCTAACTTTTGTCGATAGCTATTTTCGCAAAGCATATTTCGGCGCGGACAAAGGCGGTTGCCACGGTTACGGACGGACAGTTGGCTCGCGCGGCATAATTAGCGCATTCACTAGATCTAGAGTCAGCAAAACTTTTCTCTAACAGAAACTTATTATTAGCGTTATGAGGTCTCTCATTTTTCTTTTCAATTTTGTTGATCTCATTATTGTGCCAAAACGGTCAAACGAGTGAGGTGAAAATTTTTATCTGAATGTATCGCATCAGGAAATTGAATGCTCAGTAAAAAAGGTCAGACTGAAAATTTTCATCAGATGTGCTGTTTCTAAGAAATCGAGATTTAAACATCAACAAGTGATTGCGATTTAACATTTTCATTTTGATATTTGGAGACTAACAAATACTAAGAACAAAGCCCTTACTTTCATCCCCACTTTAGGAAAGTGACAAGTAGATACGAATTCGTCTATATTAACAATGCTAATGTAAAAACTACAGCAACTACTGTAAGTAAATAATTTTCAATATAAATAATATATTTCTTATTATTAAAATTATTTTTAGTTGAAATTTGATTGCAGGGCGTGGCGCCGACTGGTAAAGAGGGCCACAATACCGATGCGTTCGACGTCTGGAATTCAACGAACGTTGAAATACGAGACTCTATAGTTTACAACCAAGACGACTGTCTGGCAGTTAGATGCGGTAAGGACGTACAGTATAATCACCGATCTATCGAAGTCATTAAAAATACTCTCGATCTGGTTGTGAAATTTAGCTACCGGATCTTTAAAGGTGACACAGGCAGCTAAAAACATTCCATGCAGCTTGCAACAAATTAAGCAGCACTGTCGATAACAACTACACTCTTTTGCGTTTTTAATTTAATCCTCTTTATTTTTCGGTTTTAATATTTTCCTCAGTCCTTTGCGTTTTTAATAATTTCTTCGGTCTTTTGAGTTTCAAATATTTTCCTTTTTATTTTACATTTTTAATAATTTCCTCTGTGTTTTGCGTTTTTAAAATTTTTGTCCGTTATTTTATGTTCAAGATGTGAATTTCAGCTACTGGATTTGCACGTAATTTCAAAATGGCTTGGTCGGCACAGCATATTTTCCTTTAATTAAAACATTTCATATTATAAACATTTGCCACTTATATTTTAAATAATCTTTCAAAGTGTGATTTTCTAGATATGTAATTACAAGTCGATATTATTCGCTTATTTGTCAATCATCAACAATATCGATCAGTACTTATAAATACATAAGAACCAAAAATTATGAACATTTAAATACATGAACGATATTTTTATTTGTTGTTCTGAATCCTAGAAATAACTATAATGACTTAAGTGTTCGTCTACATTGATAATAAAAGTACAGTGATGCCAAGTCATCTACCACATACTTCTTTTTTGTTTTATTATAAGAAATAGTATTGGTACTTAACATGCTACAATGTGTAGTTCAGTTCAGATTTGAATGATGTGTTTGAATGTTCGATTTTTTGTTCAGTTAATCAGTTCTGAATTCACGCGTTGGTCCTCGCTAATAGCATATTGGGTAAGCAGCATGGTCGATAACAATGACAGATTTTAAAATCCCACCACCACCCAATAGCAATCAAGGATGTCAACAAATCGATATGGCATTTTTTAGATTAGTGCTACCAACTGAATTTGGTGATAATGGTTGGTAGTACTGTTAATACCTCTTTGCACCATCTGCCATTTTTCGGTGAAGATTTTATATCTCAAGTTATACCGTTGAGCACCTTAACAGTTCAGGTTTTGATCGCCATATGACTCCATTTTTTGCCTTTCGTAGTAGTGTGACAGAGGAGGATTTAGGACAGTTTGACAGCATGCGACCTAGTTCTAAAACAGTGCCTTTTAATTTATTGATTTTTTTGATAGTAGTAGTTTAAATTAATTTTTTTAAAAGTATAAGCAAGGCTCGCCTGCTGTATTGTCGATGTTGTTTTACTATCGATCTTGAAAGTAATAAAAAAAATAAACGATACATGGCGTCGAAAAACGGTTAGGTAAAAAAAGACATCTTCAGAATTCTATGGCATGTTACCGAACAGGTTTCAAAACCACCTCGACGATACCACTATAGAAAGTAAAAAACATTTGTCTTCATTGAATAATAATAAGGTCGATAGATCGGTAGTTCTGCTATACCAGCCCTGGATTTGCTCCGCTCCTAATATAATGGTCAATTGAAGGTGCAAATGTTTACGTTCACGATCTTTTCTGCCACGGAAGCCACGGCTTGAGCATTTCGGTGGGATTTAGTAACGACTCAGTGCCGTTGAATACCTTGGAAAATGTCACGATCGCCGATTCAGTCATCGTCAATTCCGACAACGGGATTCACATCAAGACCCACATAGACGGTGGATACGGATCCATTAAAAATGTGACCTACAGAAATATCACGATGTCAGGTAAGATAGGTGGCGCTAGTATCTCCTGTATTTACAAAGTTCATGGAAAAAGACCATAATTAAAAATTGCGTTCCGCCCGTACTAGGTAGGTAAGAATCTGTAAATTTTAAAAAATGAATTTTTTTAAAAAAATCTTCCGCAGAAGAAACGCACACGTTTGGGTTATAGAAACCTCGACTTGGTTTGGTTTAAATACAGTTCAATTCAAGTTTAATTGTCAAAATATATCACCAACACTGGCTTCAAAATATGTTGGAATAGTTTCAGATCAAGAATGAATAGTTTTTTCTATTTTCGTAATAAATTTAACCTTCTGTGTAATTTTTTATACACCCTCGTATGATGTATGCTTAAATGTCATTCAATAATATGATACAGCAGTATACTGATAAGCCGTAAACAAAATATCCAAGTTTTATGTTATGCGATTGAAAGATAGATAATTATTTTCATGATAGACATAATAATTTTTATCTCCAAACAGCTCAAGGAAATTATAACGTGTATTATAATAAATTATTTTTTAATAAATTCATTTTAAAATTTTTCATTGAAACTAAAAATGTCATAATGTATAGGACATTACATTTAATATTGAAATACCCATCGCTCATTAAATATGTGATTTAAATATTTTCTTACTGCGACACTAAAGTGAACAGGTGCGCCGTCATGCGTGGATCCCATTTTGTTCCTAATTAAATTTGATACTTCTTCTGGCAATATTGGCAATTCCTCTTCTAAAAATCCGCGATAATTATGTCCATTTAGGCTTTCCGGCAGAAAAAGTAATTTCCAACAATTCCAGCCCAAAGCACTTACCGAAAACTATTCTCGATATTTAAATTCTACAACTCCGTGGGGGTTTTATCACCTCAAATATGGTTATTGTGTAAGTTTCTGATTAAATTAGCTCCATCTTTAAATAGTGGTTCTTTGTTAAACAAAGGAATACAAAAACATTGATAAAAATTAACACGTAAAGGAACATCTATGGGAAATTACGCTTGCACTCATTGCATGTGATATCCAAACCAAAACGTTCAGTTCAGTTCAGGATTCTCATTAATAGACTTTAAAAATGCTTCAATTTATGGAGTTCTTACAGTCCGATGGGCCCCTTTTAAATGATTATTTGTCCTCAAAGTACCTGTTTCAGGCAAACTTCCATGTACATTTGAAAATGTTCCCCTACCTGGCATGACTCTATTAGGAAAGCGCTCTTGATATAATCGCCTAGCTTCCGGTGCATTGCCATCAGACAATCGATACATACAATGCATATCTGCCAACTCCTGCTCATTAAACACCAAATTAATAAGACGCGAATAACTGAATTTAAAAACTGATGTCAAACAACTGTCAAACAACCGCATTGACGACAGAATTGATAATTCTTACGGGCACAGCCTACTACAATGATAAAAAATCATTAAAAAGATTTCAAAAGTTCACCTCGGGGTTTACGTGTTTCCTATTCGTACTTCGATTTTTTGAAGAATTTTAATAAAACAGATAGACAATTACTTAAGTAAGAAGTAATAATGATAATAATTCTCTGCTTGCCCCCATATTAACGACCATGCAGAAAAGTGGTTTTCATTTTTTTAACCGACAACAGCACAATTTCTTTAGAAATGATTGGAAGTTCTAAGAATAATTGTTAATTTAAGAGCAGTCAGTGGCGTGCCATCAATGCCTGCCAAAACAGACATGTCAAATTACGTAGGTCCGCCACTGGTGTATTTAAAAAAAAATGATACACTATATAATGTCTCTTGATACAGGCCTTGTATATTAATGCTGACTATACTTTTGAAGATAACATAAAAAAATATGTTGAAAATATGGGTCTAAGTCATTTCGGAACATTTAGCCAATCAATAAAAGCAACTATTTCAAATCCAAATAACGGGAGACTAAAAATATTTTTTTAAATTTTCAAATCTGTCACTTTTTGGGAAAATTCAACGCAGCATTTTGAAAATCAGTTAGAAAATAAAACCTCAACAATGTCGGTAGAATCCATTTGAAAGTAATATATCAACGTGTGTTTTAAAATGACACAAATTGACAGCTTTCTAAGGAAAGAATGTGCGGGAAGGCGACGTCCCGGATAGAGGGCCGTATGTGCCGTAGGTGCACGCGCCCCGTCAAAGGGTGCTATTTGAAAAAACTAGGTTATCCTAAAGAATCAATAGTTTATTACATTAAATGCTATTTCATATGACAAGTGAAGAAAAGTTTCATCTACAATCTTTTCCATAATCAGATGACCCGATAAATAGTCACAACCTCCTAGACACAATTTTCAAAAATTAAATAAAAATTTAAGAAAACAAAGACTGATTAGGTACAGGGTAGTTTGTGAACATTATTAAGGTTAGTAAACTTATAAATAAGTATCACCACCATTTTTGACATGGATACGATAATAAAGTGTTCAACATCCAAAATGGGCGCTGACAGTTTCTAGTTTGGATGAGGTATTTGCCGGCAGTGTTCTGTCACGACGCGCCCAGATAAAGTTAAGTGTACGGCATTTTTTCGTGTGTTATAATCCTTCCGGGGTCTTCTGACGATCTTTTTGGCTTTTAGACATGAATAACTTTGGCATAACGATCGAGCAGAACTATCAAAATCGAGCACCAGGCAGCACAGGGACCGCGGAGCCCAAAAACAACGTACCTATCAGCGATCTCAAAATGATCAACGTCACGGGAACCGTCGGCTCGAAAGCCGTCCCGATTCACATAGTGTGCGCGGAAGACGGTTGTTTCGATTGGTCATGGTCCGGCGTCAGCGTTACCGGCAAAAAATCGAACGACTGCAATTACGAACCGCAGGGATACAGCTGTTAGATTTTTAAGTTAAATCCCTTGGGTCGCTGGTGATTTCTGAAAAGTTACTTTGAAAACAGACTACGATGGGTACGTTTTAAGGATACCTACTCCGCTATACATAAATATTGACCAAAGGGGGGCCCAAGGTAGTACGGTTGGTCATCCTTCATATACGTATACTTCGACCAGAAATATGGTGCTTTTAAAACCGACCCCGGGATTAACTTTGCCTACTGTTCATTACTCTAAAACCGCAGCAGCTTATAGAACACATAGAACATTCCTAGGAATTTATCTACCTACACTGACAAGCGAGATATAAGTATGTTTCGAATACTTTTCGCAGACCAATTCTTGAAACCCGTACATAAAAAAAAGTGCAAAGTAACAATGTATTACGTTCTATTTCATTACATTTCTACATATTAATACACAAAACATTAAATATATTAATAATAAAGTATCAGTCGGTTCAAAAATCGTCACTATCGATAAATATTTTCTTCTTTTATTGCTCCTTTTTCACAGTTAGACCAGCTTTGTACTGATATTTTTGGCTACCTCTTGCCGCATTACGTTTATGGTACCATCACTAAATTTTGGTGCAGTTATTTTTTTCTATATGCGCTTTGAACTCTGACCAAGTCACCTTAATTGTTGTGCTATCGAATCGATTTGGTTTTAAACGGTCCATTTCTATAAATATTCGTTACGGTCCATTTCAGATCTACTGTAAAATACTTAAAACGTTAAACCAATAAATGTACTATATTTTTGGTCGTATTATACCCATTTGCGAGTCTTTTAGAGTCGGAAACGACCTAAAAATTGTGTATACCTAACCTATTTTTAAACAATACTTTCAATAACAAATTTTGCAAAATTTGATAGTAAATTTTGGCTAATTTGATTATGTTATTTGTATGTTAATTTTTGATTCTAATACAATTAAATTTGATTTCTTAATGTTCGTTTTTACTTTATCACGCTAAATACAATGTGCCCCAGATTAGTTCCTATTATACCTACAGCAAAAGTACGGGGAAACTGAGATTCACGATCGGTCAATTGGTTTGAAAAATGGCAGATTTCGTTTATCGCCAGTAAATCCAGAGCGGTTAAATTGACAACTGGCAGGGAGTGACATTGTTGAGACACTTTTTTAAGACGGGTAAGATAGCGTGTTTTCATGGGTGGACAAAGTGACCAACAAACAAGTACCGGAACAATGCAAAAGCATTTATAAATAATGGCCACCATCAAGACAAGAAAAAATGGATAACTTAAACACATTATGAGGACCGAATATATATAAGGGTTTCTAAAATCTGTTCTCCAAAGGAAAGTCTATGACAAAAGAGGACCAGGAAGACAAGGAATATACTCATTCTCAAAAACAACAAGCCAATTATTTAAAGCAGCCGTGAACAAAGAGGTTATCTGAAGAACATATGACAATCGCTTCACGTTATTAATAATTTGTCGATATATTTTGAACTCTGGGGCATGCGCGGGGTCCATCATTAAGATATCCATAAATATGGAATGCATAACATTTTCGAAATATATGTATCGAAATGAATACCAAATGCAAACATTCTTTTTTATTACATTATGACCATTAATATTATTTAAAATAAAACCAGTACTATTTATTCATAATGCTCTCCACAGACCTATTTGCATTAATATAAATAAACAGAAAAATTCGCAATGAGAGTTTTTTAATTCATAGATACACACATTGCTTACGTAGCAAATTGCAAAATATGAACATTTTACAGCAAAAAAATATTGATGACGATGATACATTCAGATGATTCAGATGATACATTCAGATAATAGCAACTTGCAGAACATATAATTCGTAAATTAACAAACTCTTTTTTGCAGTTGTTAAAACAATCGATGAATAAATTGCCCAAAGTAAAATTGTGCCTTTTGTGTGCAAATATATGTTATCGGAAAGTATTTTGGTTTTAAAATTAAGTTTGTTTGTAATTTATACAAAATTAAGAAATAATTTTTAGGACCTTCAAGCTTATATTATTGAGTGCTATAGCTATAAAAGAATATTTTTTTTTATAAATATTAATTTTTCTATCACTGTTGGGTTAGAAAAAAGAGTTTTTCTTTTTTATGTCACCGATAATCTATTAAAGACATTTGGTACAGATTAGAATTCTGGGGACTGGAGGTTTTTCATGGGGTCGTCCGAGAGCAGTGTTAAAGCTGTTCTTTTTGCACAACCCAAATGTTCTTGTTTCTGTACCGGTTGCTCATTCTGTGCAGATGAAAGAATGGAACTGTTGCTTGAGAAAATCAAATAGTACAATGACTATCGATGATTTGTGGTGACTTAAAAAAAGAGTCCGGATTGTCGTATTGGAGGCTTTTTGTAATAAAAGAGAACTCCACTACAAGTCCTTTATTTAATCTGCGTCATGAGGTTCGGACATAAGCGCGCGAGATGCCAGGCCGAGAGTCCCACATTCTAACCTCTCTAGACCATAGAATAAGAACACCACATACCACCACACCCCACCACAGAACAACCCCGATGCAACACGGATATTCGGAGGTTTTTTGTGTGAGTGGGACAGTAGAAACAGACAGCAAAATTGGGTAAAAAAGTACTGGCGAAAAAGAGCTAATTTAACTCCGGCATCAAAAAACATTTTTTGCGATAGTTTTATTGATCCACGAAAAATTGTTTTTTTTACTCCCGTCTGTAAAATATCTAATTACACACCGATCTAGCTGGCGGCAGACGTCACTTTACCACGTCAGTTTTCCCACTTCGGACATTTCACACACTACAAAAACTCAAAAGCAATGCTTTATTGTCGCCTATGCAAGTAGATTGAGCCGACCATAGATTCAAATTTAGGTCGAATGCGCCAGACCGTCTGCCATTCAAGTGAAGTATAGTAAGTAACATGCACAAAATAACGCTCAATCACTATGATACGGAATAATAGGATAGGATAAGATAAGATTTAGCAACGTCATCTATTTTTGAAAAAAGCATTCTTTCCGATTATTACGCCATCAGAATAATGACATCAGCACTAATTATAGATACGATTTAAAACGGTTAAGTTCTATTTTTGTTTGAGGCGATTTTTCTAAGACACCGTTTTTTGAAATTAGTATTGACGACCTATTTTGGTTGATGTTAAAAATTGGCTGGTTCATTTTCTAAATTATAATGTCGAGTCGGGTGACAGAATTCGTCACCGAACTTGTCAACGAAACTGACCTTTCTCACCTTTTTATCCTTAAAGATGAGTGAGATAACTCCCCAAAATCGACATGTCTAATTTCTTTCGCGTGGAGCATTGACTCTGTCTTGGTGACATTTCGTCAAAAATGCACCAGGTTTTTTCAGACTGAGTGGAGATTGCTCGGAATTCACCTTAAACAATGACCCGCATCAATGGATAGACTTTCGATTTGTTTTTGTATAGAGGAAATATGAATGAAATCTGGTGTCTTATCTCTTGATGATGTCCAGACACTGCTAATGTTATTTGTCGAAGTCTGATGTCTAGTTTTCTTTTAGCCTGGTTGATATTTTTCGACCTGTTTCATCGATGCATTCTTCGCCCCAGCTGCATGGTTTTCTGGAAACACCTTTATGACTAAACGATCGTAAATGTTTTCGAGATTTTATTACAAGTAGAGAATCCTGTTTTCATGTTATACTTTTTTCAGAATTGTGGATATTTGATTGGTGATATTTTAAATATACGTGGAAAAACTACAAGATGGTCGATTACGGAGTTACTCTGTCTAAGTGGTTATGGTGAAGTGTATTTTTTGATGGAATGCATGATATCTTGATAATGGTAGTAGTTAGAGAGAAGAACTAAAGTGAGATATGTTAATTGATATATTAATTAAATATTCTTAATGTTGTGTTAATTAATATACTCCTCACCATACAGCAATTAGATAATATAGTGTCTTTAGTACGGTACGCCTTGGGCAGCTATGAGAGCTTGGTGAAGCTGGGATCTTTCATATTGTTCCATTGTTATTTCTCAACAGCGATCTCCAGGCACTTAAATTGTTTTTTGAGAAATTGACGAACTATCGCTAGCATGTTGCCAGGTCTTATTGGTTGCAGATAAGATTTTAAAGATATTGACTATATGAGCCATGGTTTTATTCATATAGTTATTAGATAGATAATATACGCAACTTTTTCCAAAAAAATTTTTTTTATAGTTTCCCCATAAGTCCTTATATTATCGGCATAGGTAGAGCCTCTATGTCTCTAGTAGCTATATGGGTTTATTAAATGAGTACATCAAGGGCATCAAGGGCAGCCTCGCCCATTCGTTGATTGCTTGATTCATCGAGTTTTCACACCTGTCAATCAATATTTTCTAATGGTGATCACTCGAAGTAAACGTCAATAATAGGGATATTTAAAATGCTCATACGAGTAGCACACAATTTTAAAAATGTTTTTTTTTTTAATTAACACAATTAAAACAATCTTATCAAAATCACTAACGAATAGATATATACTCAATCCATAATAACGAGCTGAGATACACAGAACGGTATTTTTATGTATTGAAAAATATAGGGAAAATTAAAAATATTTTAACAAAATTTCGTGCTATTTTTTCGTTAAAGATTATCATACTTTAACAAACTTTTAACAATAGCGAATATGTTTTCTAAGAATTTGTGACAAATTAGGGGAATGTTTGTGCTACATCGGCTATTGCTTATTTTTTGTAAAAATAGTGACCTTATGAAGGGGAAAATGTGTTTAGTCAATAGTCATTACGACTTCCCTCTCTTGTTTCATTAGTCTTAGCATTTGTTCTTTATATTTGATATACCCAGGGCTCCAAAGTTTCTCTTTTCTTCTTTTCTTCTTCACAAAAGTATTATTAGCGACCAAGATAAAACACAACATCTCACGAGTCATATTTTCAGTGCGGAACACTTGTCTCATGTTCATAACAGGCTTTTTGAATGTGGGTTTTTATTTCCTGTGGGATGTCAGCATTTTCATTAAAGAGAGTACCTAAGTAATTTTAATTTCTAACCCTTTCAATATGTTCGCCTTTGTGTATACATTGCCGATGTTTAAAAGAATAATATACTCAACAACCAATGATCAATTGTTGTTTACAGCCTAAAGCTCTTCTGATGCATCCTTTTGTTATTCTAAAATCAACTAATGTGGATCGCAGTGTTCATAGATTTTGTTGTTCAATAACGACGTGTAAAGTTTATAAATAAGTTATTATTATTATTATTATTATTATTTTTATTATTATTATTTTGGTGAGCCAGTTAATGTGCCAATAACTGGGTATCCCCGTGTGTTTACTGCGAGGTTCCTTGTAAAACACGTGCGGAGATCATCGCATCTTACATAACGTTTGTTTGCTCTGCTGTGGAAGTAGATAATTAGAGTCCACCGCTCGAAACGTTGATAAATAATATTTGCGACGTAAGGACTATAAAATGAGTACTCGTCGGCGTCGGAGCGAATTGTTAATTGGCGCGAACACGTAGTAGCGATTCGGTGCGTGGCAGATAAAACCCGCGGATCATGTCGAACGAACTGAGGGACGTCCAAAATTTGGACGAAATCCTCCGATCGCATTTGAAAAGTGGCGAAACGATCGAAGACGTGCGAACGACCAGGCTGACGGCTGTCGGTGACAACTACGGTTCGTTGATGTTGAGGTGAATATTTTAAAACGAATTTTTAATTACGTTCGCTCTATTGAACTGGTATTATTGAGACGTCACAGCCGTGAATTCGCGAGATAACTTTTATTCGATTTTTAAACGGGTTTGTTTAAAGTGGTATACTTGGACCAGAATTATAGTGCTTTTACAATCGACCCGGTGGTTAACTTTGCCTACTGTTTACTACTTCAAAACTGCAGTCCCTTATAGAACACCTTGGCTAGCAGATCATTAACCATTCCAGGGACGTACTAGGAATTTATCTCCCTTCACTAACAAGTGTGATATAAGTATGTCTTCAACCTTTTTCGCCGAACAATTCTTGAAACATGTACATAAAAAAATTAGTACAAAGTAACAATTTATTACGTTCTACGTCACTTCTTTTTATTGCTGCTCCTATTTTCCCTTGTGAATTTCTTATAAAATTGTAAACATTCTTACATTGGACAAACTGTGTAATAAATAATAAATGAATAATAAATCACTGCAGAAATAAATTCATTTTTATAGAACACTGCCCAGACTAACATCCAGGATGTTACTTAAATTTCAGTTAAATATAATTATGAATTCCTTAACCACTGTTCGTAGTAAAAAAAAATGTTTGTCGCCTTTCGAACGTTCGTATTCCTTTCGTACAAGTTATTTTTGCTTTTCACTTCACCTCACATACTTCACTTGCTAAATAAACTTTTTTGGGAACGAATCTTCTTTACATATTTAAAAATGCGAGACAATTGATAATTGGAAAGTAAAAGTAATGTACTAGGTAAAAGGGAAATAATATTAAGTAAATGAATCAAGAGAAAATAGTGGAAATATATTGGTTTCCACAATTTTCTTATATTAAAGATATCTAGAGTGAATAAATACTATTTGAAAGCTGTTTGTCAAATGTCTTTCGCCTTATCTAGCGGGTCGCGGATCATTTGATTCGTTTTGTTTTAAACACGGTCTTATGCATTATTTTAATATGTCCAACAATCTAACCCCATGCATCCTCGCTCGCCATGAGAACCCGCCCCCAGCATCATTTCAATATTTATTAGTTTTATTTATTTTACCATCATCGACATATATATATATATATATATATATATATATATATATATATATATATATATATATATATATATATATATATATATATATATATATATATATATATATATATATATATATATATATATATATATATATATATATATATATATATATATATATATATATATATATATATACATATTTTGTTAAATAAAGATTTGTTAGAAAAACATAATTAAAACTATGTTACTTTCTCTGCAATAGGAAATCATATTACACTCAGGAACGTCAACTTCTAATTAACCACACACCAGTTTAAAATAATATAATAATAATAATAATAATAATAATAATAATAATAATAATAATAATAATAATATAATACTAATATAAATGTTAAATTTATACAGTTGCCTTTTTTTATCGAAGTCTGTTTCTCTCATTCTTATTTTCTTGAGATAGTTGAACTTTTGCTAAAATTTATCATTTACACCGAAAATTTACATTTGTGAGGTATGGTGTTGGAAAGTGCTTATTATGGAACGAAAATATACAAATTTGACTACCGACCTGTATGATCGAACATTACAGGGAGGCAGGTCGGTGTTTAAGAAGAGCCAACGGTTTGTGGCAGGAAGATTGCTGCAGACACAAGTGCAGGAAGCAGACGAATTGTGAATTTCAACTGATACTTTTCTGAATTTGATCTGAGACCAAGAAACCCAGACCTTCATATAGCAAGGTTAAATTTTGCTAATTTTATGTCAGATGAAACTATATTTTGTCTCTACAACTCAGATAAACGTATCATAGTTTATTGAAGACCAATGTAACTTCCAAAATATCAGATTATTTGGTATAGGGTCAGATATGTAATGGCGACGAATCTCTTTAAGTGCTTGTACTGACTTGGTGGTCATTAATAATTGGAGTTTGTGGAGATCTTGCAAGAGCATGTAATACCACTTCTCCATTACATTGGTGACAATTTTCTGTTTCATCAAGATAAAGAAAGTTCTTAACCTAACCGGAGATATTGTCTAAACTAACCAAAAGTTAATTATTTTTAACTAAACTTAATATTTGTTTTATTTTCTGAATTTTCTTGTTGTGTTTATTTGTTTTTTTTTTTCATATTCTTTTGCGATTTTATATTTTGTTAATACTTTAGTTAGAACAAAAATATACAGGGATTAACAGAAGTTACCTAGAAAAACTTCAATTCAAATGGCAAAGTTTAAAAACAGTGGCACTTTTTTAAAAAATTTAAATGGAACACTCTGTATATTTTCTGTTGTGACGAAAGATATTTTTCTCTCATTTCAAAAATATATCGATTGTTGATATTAAGAACGGATTTTCCAAATTACAACAATCTATAGATTTTAGAAATCAGGAGAAAACGATCTTTTACCGTAGCAGAAAATATATAGGGTGGTCCATTTAAAAACAAAAAGGTTGCTACTATTTATCAACATTGCGACGGGCATTTCTTTTCTTTCAGAAGTCTAAGAGATAATAATGCAAAAATTACACAAGTTTTGTGTTAAAAGTTTTTCTGTGTGACTTTCGTTAACCCCATAGACGCAAATATAAAAAAAAATGTATATGAAAATATTTGATGAGTATTATGAAATAAAACATGGCCAGTGAAGAGAAAGCAATAATCTTACCAATCAGAATATCGATAAAAACAGCAAATAATACAATGTAAATATGCGGTGGCATTTGAATATTTTTGTCCTACTTTCAGGCTGGAAATCAGGCTGAAAAATGACGTGACCAAAGACTCGCGAACTTTGGAGGTTGTGGCGAAAACGCTGCCCCGCAGTGAGTTCGTTCAGCACATCTTCAACGTCCAGGTCACCTTCAAGAACGAAATTGCATTTTACACGTCGATCATCCCCGCACTGGATCGCTTCGCGAAGGAAAGGGATGCCAGTGCGGATACGGACTTCGTTCCCAAACCTTACGGGGGTCGAATCAGTCTCAACCCTGCTAACGCCGTAGTGGACGACGACGCAGTTCTGATATTGGAAAATTTAAAGATTTTGGGTGAGGATCCTCTTTATTATTAGGTATGGTCTGTTCATAGATATAAGAAAGTGACCAATTGCTTTTGAATGGTATTATCCAAAGGTAGTCATTAGCATACAATGCAACAAGATTATTACCTAAAGTTTCGAAATTTAAATTCATGTAAAATTGTAGTCCGTAATAGAAAATAATTTTATACCTACCTGTGTATAATATTCTTTGTTTTGGTATTAGTAATCATTCTTATTTCGTGTGTGATACAGCGTGTGTTGAATCGTGTGCGAATTATGTAAAATATGTTCGAGTCTAGTGTATCTCAGGAGATGCTCCCGCGCAAATGTAGAAAACACTATTCTATTGAGACTAAGGACTAAGGACTAAGGACTAAGGACTAAGGAATAAACAATGTTTATTTGACTCTTATTAAACGTGGTGCCAGCAAGCAAGCATCTTTAGAAGAAACCACCACATTGACGAAAAATCAACTGTATGGAAAATTGTGAATAATCCCATTTCTCGAGTGTAGATGAAACTGATCAAGATATAATACGGCCTAAAATTGGTCAGTTATACGAGGAACAAAGCGTGCCTATATTAGATATCTTAATTAGGAGGCTCGAAAAAGATGAAACCGGTGTTAAATGTCGCAGAACTACCTTATGGAAGTGTATTCAACACATGGGTTTTAGATTTAAAAAAATTGACAAAAGGCAAGTTTGAATGGAATCTTTTAGAATTCGGAAATGGCCACTGGAATATCTAGAAAAAATTAGGATTTACAGAGAACAACAAAGGCCAATTATTTACGTAGATGAAACCTGGTTCGACACTTATGATACCCCGGAAAAGGGTTGGGTTGACTCAACCGATAAGTGTAAAACAAACGCGCCATTAAAAAGAAGTAAAAGAATAACTATTTTGCATACTGGCTCTAAAGATGGTTGGATTCCAAATGGACTTTCTCTGTCTGCGAAAAATATTAGAGATTCTTCTCTGGATTACCATGAAGACACCACCGCTGATTTATTTGAAAGTTGGTTTAAAAACAAACTAGCCATAGCGCCATAATAGCGCCATTGTAATGGACAATGCAAGTTATCACAGTAGACAATTGACTAAAACCCCTGACACGAAAGCAACAATCCAAAAGTACATGTATGATAACGACATTTATTTTCACGAAGATTATACCAAAAAGTAATTAATTGAGGTTCTACAAAGCTTGAACCTATAATAGGAACACGTCTGTGATAATTATGCAAAAAATCTACGGCATACAGTTTTAAGGCTTCCAAAAAAAAAAAAAAATAGTGTAATATCAATTGATTGTAAAAAGCATTTTATATGAGAAATATAGGAATTCATCGTACTTAACTGTTTGATTTCCTATCATGAACATGGACCATCTTGTATATAACAAAATGTTTTTTAATATGTCAGCAACCGAGTCTCCGAGTCACGAGGAATTTTTAACCAATTTGTTTTTTTTTAATTCAATGAGCTCGCGTCTTTACTTAGACGCACGCCCAGGTTTTTCCACATATCAACGAGTAAATTAGGCTAGTCGTTAAACTTGGACAAACATAATAACACCCAAGGCTGCCGGTGGGAATCGAACTCACAACCTCCGGCAAGTCGAGATAGCAGGGATACCGCCTTACCAGCCGAGCCATCCTCGCTCCCTTCTAATTTGTTTAACTGATCTGAGTTTACCGATATACGCAACAACATTTTTATTCCAAATGAACTTAATAACTGTGGATTTTCTGAATTTATCTCTGTGTTTCATTTTACAAATTACACTACAATGTATTTATTTTCATATTATTCCTACTTATATATAAGTTTTTATTCAATTGATACTAGAATAATTACCTCGTCATTTATCTGGCCATTTCTATAATTATGAACATGTATAATTATTATATTTATTTTTCTGTTAAATTATACCTGCCGTGACGTCCTTCATTCCAACTGACCATAACCAAAACTGCCAATTCATATTTATTTGACTGGGAGAATATATGAAATATACGTCCAAATTGTAACGGTTCCAGTATGGATCAGTTTAATTGATTTTCCTCCCTGTTTCCTAGGTTTTGTAAGATGAAGTAAAATAATAGTATATTATGCAACAAGTGCGCTAAACGGCGCGAGTCTTTACTAAATGAGTGAGTTGCGTACTGTTAGTTTTTGGGTACATTTTTGCAAAACAATACGGTAAAATATTCGAAAACATCGATCACGTGGTAAAGAGACGCCATTTTAGAGAAGAGGATAGAAAAATAAATAAAATATCAAAATAACTAAGAACCAAAAGTTCAGATTTTCACGAAATTGTATATATATATATTTTTCGACGACACCGTGTCTTTATCAAATGTGATAAAACAAAAAACATTTGATAAAGACACGGTATTGTCGAAACAATTGTCATTATTTATTTTGCAAAATGGATTTTCATCAAGTAAAAGCCACCTCAGTTAAAGTTTTGAAACAAGCTGAAATTGGTTTCTTGGCTATTTGGTATTTCAAATAAAATATCCTTCAAAATATTAGTTTATCCGTTAGTAAAAAAAAAAAAATTGGCACAGGCTCAATTTTCATGAAGACAAAACGAGAAATCAAGAAGTTTGGAATTTGTTGAGAGATTTTGAATAACCAAATTAGTGTATCTTATTTATTCGATCAAAATCTTACTGGAGCCCGATATTTACAATTTCTTCAAAATGACTTAATTCCTACTCTCCCAATTTTTTCGCAAATCCAATCAGCTGCAAGATCTAAAGATATTACTTCAATGGATTTTTCCTCCGGGTATATTTATAATCACAAAATTTAGATGATTTAAGATTAATGGAGGCTTTTTGAACTGATTAGAATATGAAGGCTTTTCAACGCCTATTAAAATACTTTTTTTGACTTGACAAAAATTATGATGGCCAGCGTTTTTCTTAAAATACAATACCAGATTTTTAAATAAATTTGTTCCATATTTTAGCATATTAATTTTTGGGTTAATTAAATTGGTTATCTAATTAACTGATTAAGCAAATATGAAATTTTCTTGTCCAAGGGGCTTCTTTTAAGTTATACATATGAAAAATAAAGATTATCATTATTATTATTTCTATTACTCTCTCTTTCTCACCGTTTCCAATACTTCATTTTTTCAGGTAAACTTTACTTTCAGGTTATAAAAATGGTTCCAGACAAGAAGGCTTCGACCTGTCGACCTCCAAACTAATCTTGGAGTCATTCGTAAAGCTCCACGCTTATTCTATTGGCCTGAGACTGGAGGATCCGAAGGTGTTCGAGTCAGACGTGAAGCCTTACCTCCACGATTACATCTTCGATGAAAAACTCGTCGAAATGGCCATCGATAAGACCAGGGACATCCTCAAAGCTGAGGGCTTGGCGGCAGACCTAATCGAGCGATCCATAGAGACCATTAAACAGAGAAATAAGAATGCGGTGGAGCCGTGGATCGGTGTGACTCACAACGATGGTTGGGTAAGTGACCCAGTGACAGAAGACTCCATTTTGTATTATTTGGTTGTCATTCTAATTTTTGAAATGAAGGTTTCTGTTATTATGGTTGAAATACATTTCGATATAGCTTCAAGTAATATATAAGCATGTACAGAGTACAATGCGAGCCCGATTCAGCTAAGCTCTGAAGAAGTAAACAGGAGGATTGGCGAATCGTCAGCAACTTCGATTTATCACCAACCGATACAGGAGGAATCCAGAAGATTTTTAAATATTTTGGCAGAAATTTCGCAGTAACTACGACATAACAAAGAACTTGGATTTATGAATGGTCTTCAGACAAGGAAATTGGAAGCGGAATTGAACAAGTCCTAGGCGTATTCCTAAAATTAAAAAAAAATGTTTACTTGTAGCGACTTTGATTTTGGTCTTTGATTGAGATTTATATGCCGCTGTTTGGTCAGTTGTACGGTGTTGATGGCTGGGCACTAAAAGTAAAAGATATAAACGAATTGGAAACATTTGAGATGTGGATATCTGAAGAGAATTGGAATGATGTATACAAGGTCCGAGAAGGAAACGTTAACTTTTGGTAGATTTTTCAATCATTATTTTCCATTGAAGTTGAAAAATAAAATTAAAAAAAAAATAAACTAAACATTTTAGTTGTACTTTCTAGAAATGATGATTACTTTAAATCGCACCAAAACCAAATAGAAGAAGAATATGACAAACTAAAAAAAAGATGAAGAATACAGACAGAAGATTGAATGTTAGGATAATAAAACAAAATGTATGTGGCAATTTTCAAATGCAAGGCGACCCTAAGTACCCGGAAGTAGCAAATCGTTATAATGAGTATTTATTACCAATTGTACCGGATCTAATCAAACAATCAAAGCCCAAAAAATTCACTTAAAAAATGCCAGTTAACAACCAAACAATGTTCCTCAGACCGGTGTCAGCAGATGAAGCAGCAAATAAAATAAAAAATAAGCACAGTAGTACTTATGACGAAATACCTACAAGCATAGTTAAATTAGCACTGCTCAATGTTCTTAGTCATTTATCACACAGCTTCAAATATGGAATCTTTCCAGATCAATTAAAAACAGCTCTAATTAAGTCATTATATAAAAAGGGGGAGCCGGAAGAAATGAATAATTATAGACCAATCAGTCTTCTCTCTGGTTTTTCAAAAATATTTGCAATAGCATTATGCGGTAGATTGGTAGATTTTTTTTTTCATTGACTGTAACTCGTTTAAAGACCATCAGCATGCACTTTTTGAGTTTACTAAAACAATCTTGAAACATATGGAAAATGACGGTATGTCATGTCATGGCACTTTTTTTGGATTTGTCAAAAGCCCATGCCCAGTACGAAGATTATTTGTAGTTCAGAAGAGAGTTATAAGGCTAATTAAAAAGATGAAGTGTGGAGATAGTTGTCGAGGAATTTTTCAGATGGAAGGCTTAATGACAGCGTATGGTGCCATTTTTAAAAATCGGGAATATTTCGAACTACATGTATCATCCCATACCTACAACACAAGAACGCGAAATTTAAATTACCCAATACATAGATTAACTCTAACTGAGAAGAGTCCATACTATATGTGTAGAAGATTTTATAACAAATTGCCCAACAGTTTAAAAGAAATAAATAATTTCAAAAGATTTAAAAGAAATACTAGAACACCTGATAGAATTAGAACACTACTCAATAAAAGAGTATTTTGAGAAAATATAGTAAGAATTTTTATATATTATGGTTAATTGTATAGTAACTCTAGGTATTAGACACTATTTCCATGATGCTTTTGTATTTTGTAATATACTAAGACAATTTGAAATAAAGATGATGATTATTATTATTATTATTAATATTACAGGTGAACAATATCATGATCAAATGGGATGAAAACGATAGGCCAGTGAGTGTAAAACTGGTCGACTTCCAGGTATGCGAGTACAAATCAGTCCTGAGGGACATTTTATTCTTCCTCTTCACCAGCGTCCGAAACGATATCCTGGCCGATAATCTGGATAAACTGCTCGACCACTATTACGAAAATTTCGTCGCAACGTTGAAAAATATAGGAGTTGACGCGTCGAGGTATTCGAGAGAATCTTACGACGAGCATCTGAAGATTGCCGCGAGGGATTACGTGTACTTTCACACGGTCGTGATGCTGGAACCGATTCTCACCGACAAACCGGTCGATCTTTCCGACTTGAGCTTCGAGGAACTGGAAAAGACGCCTCGATTCCAGGAAACCAGCTCAGGTCACAAGGATAAGCTCCTGCTGGTGACCAACACGTTCGACGCGAAGGGCTGGTTGGTTTCGTGACGCTTGGAAAATAAGTTTTTGTTTTGTTTTTATTAAAACTGGTTTCGGAAACAATTTAGTTTCATTTACACAGTTCTTCAACCCTTTTAGATCAGATTAGGTCACATTGTTCCGCAAAATACAGTGAACGGCTAAAATATGGACAAAATTAGATTGTCCTTATCTGTAAAGCATCAATGGTTCGATGACAGAGGTGTAACTCTATTGTTGTCTTAAATCCAGGAGCAGACTTTTTGCTCTTAGAAATGAATGTTTTGTCTCCATTAAATACTTGCTGAGATGCCGCTTCTCCAACGATTTTAATGTTATGCATTGATTGTCTCACCTTAAAGTTATTGAACCAACCTTCTGATGCTTCAAACCCTCCATCCGTAGGCTTTTCTTCGCGAAAGATTACCATCCTATGCACCACAACAAAATGGGAGGATTAACACTAAAATGAGAACAAATTAGACGTCCATTGAAGATTACGTTGTTAGTTTTATGCATACCGTTTGGCGCTGTTAAATTAAAACAAACCTCAAACCAATTTTCTACAAAAAAAAAGCGTCCCGTTAAGGGCAAAGTTAATTTAGATTTGTATACCCAATAAAATATTTTTTCTATGCAATATGCAAATAAATTTCCAATTTAAGCAACCTTTGATCGAACAATGATAATTGCTTGAGATAATAACCGAGTCGATATTCTACTAACTCTATTTGCCACCTACAACTATTTAAGGTGCGTGGAGAGTAATCGGCAGGTCATAGAAGAAGTCAGCAGGACAGATTCAATACCCGACGTTGAAATCCAAAGTGTACCTACAAGTTCCAGAGCTTCCAGCCAGTTCAAAAGTGCCCAGTATAGTTTTCTCTTTATCTTTAGTAGGAATAACACACAATATTGCTATTAACGATGTTCTTTTTTATATTAAGCTCTCGTATATCACAGTTCAACAGTCGAATCCATCAATTTCGAAATTGCAGAAGTTGGATTTGTTTCCTGCAATGTCGACCCCCGACCACTTCCAGTCGACGCAGCCGTCATCCGCGCATAATACGTAAACAGGAAACGCGCTATCCGACACGTCACCACTGACGTCGATCATTTGCAAATCGCTAATGACCACGTTGTTTCGCGGTTCCGCCTTGCTGTCGGGATAGTTTTCCTGGATGAATACGCCGTACTTCTGCAACCCTATAAAAATGATAGCAATAAAAACTCACAACGTCACAATGTCTAAAATTCTCTTAATTTGATGGTCTATTCATCTCTCTAAACTAGAGTATCAAGAACGCGTCAACACTCTCTCTGCTGCTCCTTTCCAAATATTTGTCTTTTGGATGATGATCAACTCATGCTCTCAAAACTGTCCAGTTGATTATTTACCATTTATTCTTCTTTTAATCTAAGCTTCCAAGAAGGTATAGCAGCAGTAGAATGTGCTTCCTTCCAAGAATTTCTACTTTCTGAGACCGGTTGCGTAGTTGAAGTTTTTAAATGTTTATTTTCAAATAAAAATGGATTATTCAGCTCGTTCAATTGATTATTTACAAATATAAATATCTGAATGTGGTGCGTTTATTTTTCAAGCGATTATTTATAAATTGGAATTACAATATCAGAATGTGATGCGTTTATGTCTCTTTCAATCTAACCTTTCAAAAAGTCGCAATCATTGTGAGGGTTATATGCTCGTGAAGCGTTGTAGTTGAATATTTACAAATGCAAATGTCTATTTCTCTCTCAGTATAATCTTTCAAGAAAGTCGACTGTGCATGATGGGACTCTCTCTCTCTCTCTCTCTCTCTCTCTCTCTAAGAATTTATGTCTTCTGATTTATCATTATCGTTTAGATCCCTATTGCTTCTTTCCAAGAATTTTGGTATTCTGCTTGATGATGGCCAATTACGGGCTCTTGAGGCCTTTAACTTGATTGTTTACAAATCGAAATAATCGTATTTCAGTCCAATCTTTTGAGGTATCAATTACGGTGCCACTCTTTCTATTGTTTCTTTCCGAGAATTTCTGTCTTCTGCTTTATGATGGCCATTTCAAGAAGGTATATTGGCAATCATGGCGTAACTCTTTCTTCTGCTTTTTTTTCTACTGCTACTGCTTCTGCGTGATAATGGCTTTCACGACTTGCAGTCTGGGAGAAACTTGTATACATTGGTCCTTTAAAATTGATCAGGCAACTTACCGGTCATAGTGATGTTTTGGTAAGTTACATTCGTGATCGACCCGTAACCTCCGTCCCTGTGAGTTTTGATGTGGATAGCGTTTATGGAGTTCACCACTACGGAGTCCAAGATGGTGACGTTAGTCAAAGTGTTTAACTGAACGGAGGTGTTACTGAATCCAACGGAAATACTGAGGCCGTGCGTTCCGCTGCAGAATAAGTTTCGTACCAATATGTTGGAACCTTAATAAATCAACATTATTAGGTTGTCTCTCTTACTGTCAAACATCAAATAGTCTAAACGCCATTAATGTATCCGGCGTCCCAATAAACGGAACACTAAAAAAAAAACATTTAAAGTACCGCATCTCAGGGCCACGCAGTCGTCTTGGTTGTACACGACGGAATTTTGTATAACTACGTCCGTCGAGTTCCAGACGTCAAATCCGTCAGTACTGTGGCCCTCATGTCCCCTAGGTGCGACCCCCTAAAAATAATCAATGTTTATTGGACTTTTCATTTCCAACAATTAATGTGGTATTGTATATTCCCTTATTTACTATTTTATCGAAACAGTGTTGCGTAAAATTAATAGAAGTACAATTTAAAATTAATTATTCAAAGAAACTTCCATTATAATAACCTTTATTTACTTGTTAGTTAATACCTTTGTTTATTTATTTTAATAAATTTAAAACCATTAATAATTTGCGCGATATAATTACAGCATTTGACTTTTTTTAAATTATTTGATTCTCACAAAACGTAAGAGAAAACACTGGCGATTTATTTACAGAGGTAGCCAACTACTGAAAGGCATTATGCCAAAATCAGCTCCCAGGGACTTTTGCCCAGTGTGGTGCTAAGTATCCCGGATTCTTCATGAGGAAGATGGATTTTTTTTGTGTATATTTGCCGTATACCCATGTTTTTAATTTTTTTGCGATATTTCTATTGGTAGCATGTGGGTGTTTCTATACCTCCCCAATCAACTACTCAACAATCGACTGAACTAGTAATTTTCATAAAAACTTCCTACATCGATATAATCTATACATCAGTCCCTGAGTTTTTCTATAACTTTCTTGACTTGGATGTCCCATCTTCAAAAAGAGTCTGTGTGTATATCTTCATACCGAGTTGTATTTGTTAACTGAAGTAGTACGGTATTTTTATTGACTTGTATGTGGGTAAGTATTTTTCATATGATGTGAGGGAACTATTAGCGTTTTATGTATATTTGTAGTCAAATCGTCTAGTAAAAAATAATTCCAAATGTTCTGTATATCTTTACTTGCAATGTCCTTAACTTCGTCCAAACTGCAAATACCGGTATACTTCCATGAGAAGTCATTTCAAGTAGGGTATTAACATAGATATTAAATTGTATGGGACCCACTACAGTGCCTTGCGGCGCTTCGCAGCTCACACTTCGTTCGTCACTTTTTCAATCTTTTACTTGAACGTCCTGTGGTCTATAGTTAAGAAACTAAAAATTGAATCCAATGCCTCTTATTCCCATATGCTCCATCTTGTCCAGCAGAAGCTGACACCTAAGCAAAGTCTTAATATCCTTTTCAAATATTTTGATTGCAGCCGACGAAAATGGCTTAAACGTTGCTATTTTCAATACTTTGGGAAAAGTTCCGGAACAAAAGGACAAATTTATCAAGTTACTTAAATGTTCCGAAATATGGTCTTCACTTAATTTTGGCATTTCATTTTTTATACCATTCGGTTGTTTTTTTCGATTCAAAGATAATTTTCCTAATTTCTCCTGAATAAGTTAGCCTGGAGAGCAGCGATCTTACAAGTAGGTGCTGTTCATTCTTTTGATATTCTCCGTTCCAGATTTGTCTATTTTGCTAGCTAATTTTCGACCAATATTAGAGAAATAGGCATTGAATTCATTTACAATCTCTCTTGATTCTCTTTTGCATATTCTTCTATGGTTTTGCAAAGGTCTTTTGAGTTATTTCTATTTATTTATATTTTATTTTTAGAGCATTCGTGCTTGGCTTTCTTAATTAGAATATTCGATGTTTAATGTTAATGTTATTGTCATTATTCAGTTTATCTTTAATTAATTTTGAAATATTTTGTCAATTTGTTTTATAGATTTTACTAGTCCTGATGTCTTCCAGGCCTCAGCTGCTAGCAATGTGTTCTAAAAAGTTCTTATATATTTTTGGAATTATTTCATCAACTTTATTATCAAACTCTGGTAGTTCCGTCTGAACCACTATCGCCATCTTAGTTTTAATTACTGCCAGTACTATATTTTCGAAATTGCAGTTTTTTGTTTTAGTAAAAATATGATCAATTTGAAGCTGATTTTGTTACTAAACCATATTCGCGATATTCACCATTTCGCCTGTATGTTATCATCGATTAAGTTGTGGCTGAGAGACCTATACTCGTCTCGTTTCTAATTATTTATATTATTTACAAATCTTTTTGTTGATGAATGGCACTTGCTGACATTGCTGAGTTTAACTGAAACTGGTTTGTATTCTACTCCGTACCTGCTTATATACTGTTTGCGGGAAGATGATTCAAAGGAGGGATATAATTTAAATTTATTTTTATTTTATCCTCGATATTGGACAGGGAATCAACCTCATTCAGCATGCAGTGGATACGTTGCTTTGGCGTTGATTTCATGGCAATAGTATATTATGCAACAAGTGCGGTAAACGGCATCCGACTCACCAATTTATTTGACACGAGCGGAGCGCAGCTTCCTTTTCTCCTTCATGAAAGCATAATGGGCACTACGTCCCATCATATTGTTGGTACTTTATAACCTTCAATAATCAACGTCCGATTTTCGTGACCATAAAACAATTGCATTCCTTTCCAGCAAAAGTGTTTTACGGGTAAAGGCAGGTTTATGCGTTTTGATTAATAAAAATAAATACGTAGATTTTCATTTCAGTTGTTTTCAGTTTACCTGCCCGGCCGACAGCCACTTCATAACTACAAAAAAGGTCTGTCCATCTCTTACAGACTCAACTTTTATTTATTTTAAACACGAAAAAATAATTTTTAATTTTTAAAAAGCAACTGAAAAATAATTAGGTTTAGGTAAAAGAATTTGAACAAATTTAGAAGTTGGTTGATAGATATCAGCAGGAGTCCAACATTTTAACATAGGCAGGATAAGAAGAAACACTTGGTAGGAATGTCGTATTTTGTGCAATCTCCATACGCATCAATTACGTCTTCGGCTCATGTTTTTTTTTCTTCAACCGACAATTTTTCCCACGTTTCCTATATTTCTTGTCATTTAGAGCCATAAAATTTCTTCGTTACAGCTGTCTCATCATTATTCTCAAAATGCTTTCGATTGGATCGATGTTGGCACTGGCCATGGCAAGGTTTCAATGTTGGCATTTTTTGCGCCGCAAATATAATTATTTGACGCATCTTCTAATTTGGTCACAATTTTTGCTTTTGAACTCTATGCTTGTATGTGACCATTTTAGCCTTCCTTATAGTTTCTACCGTGACAGTATTAGAAATATGCAAAGAATGAAGTTTGCATGATGGCCTATCATACACGGCTCAAAACTTAGAAAAAAGTGCATTAAGAATCGTATCAGTTTTTGTGTGAAACCTTTGGAGTCTTTATCAAGGACTTTTAGATTGCACTTAACCTGCTGTCTTTGTCACGCCTATGGCCACCATCGTTTTTGGAGTTTAATTCAACCAAAACGCTAGTGGAAATACAGAAAGAGAACAACTAGGTTTACTTAGGATTATCTTACAAAGGTGCCGACTCTGTTGTCTATAAACCAATCAGTAAAAGTGACGTTTATTGCATTGGTCGGCTGCACGCAATGGACGGGGCAATTCAAAACGTTGATGTTGCGGAAAATGGAATGGAATGCTTCTATTGTGAAAAATTGCGGCTTTGGGGTGCCGCGCGTTCCCTTGTCGTCCCAGTACAGTTGACCTTGACCGTCAAATACGGAACCTTTAAAGCAAAAAATGTGACTAGAAAAAAACATCGCGTTTTAATTAATAAAATGGCTCGTACATTATCGCCGTTCATTTTAATGAAAAGAGGCAAAACTCATTGTTTGAAAAGTAAGCCATTGCTTCAGGCACGACTGTCGTACAAGAAAATGGCTGGAAATGGCATTCAAATTATTGCAGAAAAACGAGGCATTAGTTTCACTATATTTAAAAAATCATCCGAGACGAAACAGGAGAGGAAAACAAGAGGAGCTTTATTATCAAAATTCTTGGCTGAGAAAAGCATAACCTCAAACTGGTTTAGCTGCAAAGATATTGATTTGAGCTAAAGCGAATTAAGAAGAACGTTGTTTTTCGAATCACATTTTTAAGTAGAAAACATAGCAGAAAATTAAAATATCTACGTTTATCACCATATCACTGTGAAGAAGAAGAAACACAAAATTTAGGAGTAAAAACGTTAAATATGAAAGTTGCTCAAAAAATAGTAAGTTAATTGCAAGTAATATTTTTATATATACAGGGTGTTGCAGAAATAACCCACAGATAAGTTATTTATTTTTTATTTTAAGTAACGTTGAAGAAATGATGATCTCATATCCTGATATTTAAAATAGAACACCACACATTTACAGTTTGTTGTATTGAAAAATTGAAATTCCCTGTAGCAATGAGGATTTACTATCTGCTGCTTTTTCGATGACTCGTCGGTCCAAAAAACATTTTTTAAATAAGCATCATTTCCGTTATTTTTTTTGCAACATTATACTGCAAAACTCAACCCTTTTTCCTCGATGGCCTAATTCTGAATGCCTTATATCCTGCTTTTTTGAGAGTAGTTTGAATCTCATCGTAGGAAATATTTTTTCCGATATTTTTCTTATGGAAATATAGGGATTTCTTCAACTTCCCTCAATGTTCTGTTCGGTCTCGATAGGCTGGATGGTTGTAGAAGTTTTTCATAGTTTCCATGAAAAGTTTTTTTTATCTGGAACGTGCGTCCGTTTTTCTCTTTCAGAATAAGGCGTTTTATAATAAAAAGAAAGTAAGTTTTTGAAAAATACATTTTATGACTGGCAACTGTCACTATTTTTTGGTGACAACCTACTTCACAATCACCTAGGATATAAATTCTAGAGTATTGTTTCATTTTTGAATTTTATTGTGCCAATTTTATGTTAAAAGCGTGTATATATCACTAACCAAAACTATTGGATTTGGATATAGGATATATTTTACAAGAAATGTTCGGATTTTTATAATATAACTTTTATCTGTGCCTACTATTTTTTGAACAACTTTGGTATTTGATTTTTTTCCCCAAACGTTAAATACGGGGGGAGGACATTATAAGTGATCATAATATAGGTTATATCAGAAATGGATACATTCAAAAGTTGTAGGGTTTATTCTGCTATTTCATTTAATTAGCCCTATTTTGTCTTTTTACTTGTATAACGGGGACTTATACCTAAATTACGTAAGTTCCTGACTATTACCAAATAATAAAGAAATATAATAAGATAGATAGACAAATTGCTGCTTGATACTAATGGGTGTTTTTTTTTATGTATAGAACTTTAAGTTGGCATTATTGTTCAAGATGGCTACCGATTTAACAGCTGTCAAGTGATTTATTCTCAGTTTGGTTTGGCAATTCATAATGGATTCATCAAGTAAGGCGTAGATTCGTCGAATGGGCCCAAAACGAGATTGCCGTTGTTCCCGATTTTCATAAGCGGATTTTGTTTAGCGATGAAGCGCACTTCTGATTGAATGGCTACGTTAACAAACAAAACTGCCGCGTTTGGAGCGAAGCTGATCCTCAAGTGTATGTCGAAACACCGTCACATCCAGAAAAACTGACTGTTTGGTGCGCTTTATGGGCTGGTGGAATCATTGGTCCGTACTTCTTCAAAAACGATGATGGCCGGAAGGTTACAGTGGTGATCGGAATAGAGCTATGATTACTAACTCTTTCATTCCTGAATTGAATAACCATGATGTGCAGGAGATGTGGTTTCAACAAGACGGCGCAACATGTCACACAGCTCGTGCCACAATCGATTTATTGAAAGACACGTTTGGTGACCGCCTAATTTCACGTTTTGGACCTGTGAATTGGCCTCCAAGATCTTGTGATTTAACACCGCTAGACTACTTTCTGTGTGGCATTGGTCTACGCGGATAAGCCACATACGCTTGACCATTTGCCATTGCCGATATATGGCCACAAATGTTGGAAAAAGTCATCGAAAATTGGACGTCCAGATTAGACTACATCCGCGCCAGCCGTGGCGGTCATATGCCAGAAATCATATTTAAAATGTAATGCCACAAGATTATCTTTCTGATAAATAAAATTCATGTCAATCGAATCATCCATAGTTGTTTTATTGCAACTTAAAGTTCTATACATCGAAAAAAAAACACCCCTTACAAGTTGAAAATGTAGCGCTTCAAAACGTACTCATTCAACATGGAGTTTATGAATGTTTGGACGCTCTTTTTGGAGACATCTGGTATAGTAATAATGCCGATATACGGAAGGTCCAGTTTGATGAATTGAAATTGAGTTCGGTACATGATCGTAACTAACCAAAAAGCACCCATGGAAAATGCACGTTCTCCGCTACTATCCGCCTGTACGACTAAACAGACACAACGAAATCAACTCACCTGCTTCCCCTTGGACGACTATACCGGTACCATTTATAGTGACCAACGGTCCGAACCAGTTGGTGAATCCGAACGTAGTGTTTCCCCTAAAGGTGACGACGGCACCATCTGTCAGGTTTAATTTCAACGTTATCCCAGCAGGCACAAACAGGTTGTCGAATAATATGTTAGAGCATTCTTTGACGGCTGCCACTACGTTATCGAATTTGCTCACCACGCAAGGCTCAGCTTGGGGTACAGAATAAGCTAAGCCTTGTAGTATGAGTTGTAACAAGAAGGGGTATATTCGGAGCATGTTAATCTGCTGACTGCAGCGGATTTTTACAATTTTTGAAGTACTCAAGATAATTTGTTATTGTAGATAAGGAAAAAATTTCGTTTCGATAACTACGTTGCACAAAACAATGGCGTGAGCATCGACGCTAACTGATCAAAATCTTTATGACGATGTCTCTTTGACCATTAGAGCCGTATCTTTTGCGTACTTCACTTTATGTATGAGAACGTCATTATGTTGTATTTTTCAGGAAATCTCAAAAATGCTGGTCATCAAAGAAACACTTCACGTAACTTGGTGAAAGAGGATTAGCACGCAATTTTGATCAGAGATTATCCTTGTTTCTTTTGGACTTTTTTTGCATTTATTTTAAATCATGTCTCAACATTTTGGTTAGCATGTTAGAACCACAGAGAAAAAGACAACAAAAAAGCAAGGGAGGAGGAGGCGGTGGATATGAAGGACCACGAGAGGACCAAGCTACCAACATTTTGCCAGCTGACGATCGACATACAAGATAGATGTTTTTTACTATTATATTTTACTATTATATCCACGAATATTATGCATCCAGGAATAGTCATTATGGTGATTTCATTATTCCAATGTCTTCACCTTCTTCACATATCTTACAAACAATATGTGGCGCCTAAGGTTGGACTTCATCGTCAATTTCTTAGTATTGTTTTTTAAATAGCACTGCCGACAACAAACGCAATTAGAGTTCTCCAAACGATATACCGTTTTTACAACATTCTATGGTTTTCACTTCGGAATGAGTTTAAGAGCCGTCTGTTGTAAAGCAGAAGGGACTATTCTTTTCAGCAACTGTACCAGAAGCCAGGACCGTATTTAACAAGAACTGCGCCGTGCGGACTGTTGTATTTGAGGAGTAGGGAAATTTTCATTGATTAAACTGTTATAGTAATTCATAACCTCCCTAAAACAGTCCCTACTAATTGACCGATTAGACAGGTTGATGTCTTATTTTAAAAACAGATTAGGAAGCTTAAACTGATTTCTAATTGAAGGGTTTAACATAATGATTATAAAATATTTTCCAAGGAAAGCAATACAAAATCTTATGTAGATAATTAATTTGAATTAAATGAATGTTTTCCCAGTTTGCTATTGGTTGATTTGTGGGGGTTGGTTGGAAACACTTGTTAGTTGGGTAGGTAATGATCTGTTGTTTCCTGCAAAAGATGTCAAAAATCATGAAAGCAGATATCTTTGAAAAATGGTTTTCTGAAAAATTGCTTCGCAATATTCCACCAAACAGTGTTGTGATGGACCACGCCCGCTACGCTACCATTCTGCACGAGCGGAAAAAATGCCGCAATCATCATAGACTAAAGAAGTCATTCAAAATTTTTTGCTTGAAAATTCCTGCCCAAAGAAGCAGTTATTGGAAAATTTTAAGACGGAAACCTTTGATAAGAAGTGTGATGTGGACGAGTTGGTCATGGAGCGGAGATTCAAAGTCTTCCACCATATCACTGTAATTTTAAGCATTTGTGCGCACGAGGTACCGAAGTACGGTTCTGGAACCAAATGTATTTATTGACGGTTACAAAGAGAAACCCGAGCGAGCTAGGCCGAGGTTAGTTTCAGGTTTTAATTCAAGTGGCTATTCTCCAATACCTGTAATATTACTTTCTTTCATCATTTAGAATGACCAAAGAAACTCATAATAAAAATAACAAATATATATTGTAGACTGACCCACTAATAGTCCAGTTTTGGTTAGTATTTGGAATTGCATAATTTTGCCAATTAATGTACGCATGGAGTAGTTAAACCTTTTCAAGATAAGGTTAACATCAATATCAATATTTGTGATAATGATAATGTCAATTCTGATGATAATCACACCTCAATCAGTGAATGTATTCTTCTTCTTCTTCCTCTTCTTTATAATTTACCAAACGTTGGACAAATCTATTAGAGATACTCGCCCATTACCGACTTGCCTTCGAGCTTTCGTCTTGTACATGTAGTGCTTAGTAAAGGAGCGAAGGAGTGAAGCAGCATTAACTATACTCTTTCTGCAGCCGCTTTTCTGACTGCTACTTCACTCCTTCTCGCCTTTACTAAGCATTAAAACGACATTTATCAAACTTACTGAATAATATATTATTTTATAGGAGTGCTATAAAAAGCGTATAAAAAATAACGCCAAACACCAGAATATGGTTTATCTTATATACATGTTGCCATATTTACTAGGCATATTGTTATTGTAATTAACATTTTATTTTCGGTGATTTGATGTATGCTGTATTTTAAAACTGACTCAAACCAAAAATTGTGAAAGATACAAATTTGTACATTTTTATGTTGCAAATAGAATCCGATATTCCAAAACAGCGGTAATTTTGAATATATTTGATATGAAACGTTCTTGTATACCTTATCTTGTAAAGTCTGTTTCGGTCTATCCAGTCCATATTCTCACTTTTTTTCCAGTAAGTAGTAAAAAAAAAGTATATTAAGTATATTTTGATAAATTAGGAAAGATTTTTTAAATTCGTGTTTTTAAAGCACGTGAACCCAAATTAATTATTGCTTTTTTGAGTTGTACAGATTCGAACAGATAAAAAATATATTGTGGATCACCATGTCGAATCGATAACCGGCATATTTGCATTTTTTATTCATTTCGGGTTTTTATACTTTTATTCAGGACGGTGGCGGGGGACAATTTACATTGGTTCCCAATATAGGTAAATTGTTATAATCACCTCTAGCGATGCCGAGAAAAATTCAGTTAGATTAATCAACAACGGAATTAGATAATAGCAATATGCTACGCGATAAGGATTATAATATTTACGATTAAACGCTATTAAATGAGTATTCGTCGGTGTCGGAGCGAATTGCTAATGGACACGTAGTGGCAATCGGTGCGGTGGATCATGTCGGACGAACCGGGAAACATCAAAAATTTGGATGAACTTCTTAGACCCCACTTGAAAAGTGCCGAATCGATCGAAGATGTGAGAACCACCAGGCTGACGGCTGTAGGCGACAATTACGGTTCGTTGATGCTGAGGTGATTATTTTCAATTTCAATTTGAGTCCGTTTTTACGTCGCAGTACATCAATAGCGTAAAGAATCAAGAATTCAATTCAATCAGGATGTAAAAGTTTTGAGGTTTATCCAAGTTTACTCCTAGAATTTTGATAATAAGGAAAATTGAATATTTAAGCCTAATGCCCCTGTGTCATCACTTTTGAGGGTGGCACTCAATTTAGTAAACTAGGAAGCAGAGGCACATAACATTGAGAGTTTTACATTGAGTGCCGCCCCACTCTGTAGTCATTGAAAAGCTTTGAATAGCCTCAAATATAGATTGATAAGAAAATGTTATAACTTGGACACTCTGTAGCTCGGAAATGAATCAGTCGTGCTATAAATTATCAGGGACAATTCGAAAAAAAATTAAAAAAAGTTTTTTTTTTAAAGATTATATATTAGTAGCTCCAGAAATGTTCAGTTTCCAAGACGATACACATTAAAAAAAAACGACTTGAGAGAAAATGTTGATTTTTCATCTCTTTGGCGCTACTATTCCTTAAAAGACTATTCCTCTAGTGAAGGCGCTGCATTTCAGAGTTTTAATTTGGTTAAAGCAAAACGATTCCTTATCATTTTCAACAAGCTCGCAATGAAAAGATATTTCTGATATTATACAAAATACTTAATGAATATTTAATGAAACACCCAGTATGTAAATATAAAACTGTGAAAATTTGTATTAACTGTATTTAATGTATTATATTTTTTCATGTTATTGCTGAATTTGGGAACGCTGATGTTTAATAACTTCGCTTCTACAATATCAATCATTGCAAAGCATGTAATTAGGGTAGGACTATTTAATACGTTTAAAATTTAAAAATTCGTCCTTATTTTAATCTTAAATTTTACTTTGACCGTATATAGATATATGTCTAAGTACTGATGTAATTTTTTCATACTTTATATCTACAGCAAGATAAAATGCAATTCGCATCTAAATCAACCCACTACCAAAACTTAGGACAATTTCAAATTTAATTTTCCAGCGAACTGCTGGCTCGATTTGATCATACATGTTTTTTAATTCTAGCTTAAATTCTCAGAAAGGAGATTATAAAAAACATTTAATCTAAATTTAAACGTAATAATTCGAATTTAGTACAAACAAAATGGATGAAAAATTAAACGAATAAAAAGTGAACATCGACTCGACTACTCCTTACAAATCGATTGAAATCGACTACTCATACTTTGAACCAGACGTTTAACTTTTGCCTGATCGATATTAGTTTATATATCTCAGATAATGTTTTCAAAATCGTCCATGGAACGGGGGTTGATGATCTGTTGATGGTCTATTGGGTTACGGTCTGTATTGTGTGGAGGTAGTTCAAAGTCTCAATATTCTACTCATTTAAATAATCTGTTTAGTAGAAAACTGTTTTTTTTAAACACTCTCTATCTACTTAAAACTTTAAATAAATATTTTGCGTTAATCTGCGTTAATCTGTTTGCTTGAAAACTGTTATAACTCATATCTAAATAAAGTAAACACGAAGTCACAATGGTGCTTTAAGTGCATGTTTCTGACTGTCAATTTGATTATGATTTGGACTTGAATGTCATTAACTGAGTGAAATATTTGCCTTCAAACTAATTATTTACATGGCCCGACGTTATTACCTCTATTTTATTAAAAACATTTAAAAAAATCGTGAGAACTTTAGCAGAAGCAATGTGATTAACTATAGAGGTGTATGTATACAATCTGTCATTCCCAATTTTGTTCATATGCTATTTTGTTAACATTTTACCTAGCATTGTAGAAAAATTATGTGTGGTTTCCTCAGGGTAGGTGGCTAACCTGCTCGCTTACTAGCTGGATCTGTTGAATGCTTTTCAGAAGTCTGAACAGGTGGACAGTGTTTACACGGACTTTTCAAAAGGCATTCGACAGAGTCAGTTATGAGCATCTTGTTCTTAAGTTTCAGGCCAGAGGACTGAGCGGTGCTCTGGTTGAATTTTGTCTCAGCTTTTTAACAGCAGGTATACAACAGGTCAGAATCGACAGAGAATTGTGTGTCCCTCGGGGTTCACATTTAGGTCCAGTTATCTTTAATTTGTTTATAAGAAATCTGAGTGGTGTAGTTTTGTATGCTGAACATCTTGTCTTTGCCAATCATCCTGCTGGCTTCTTCAAAGCTAAAGCGAAACTGTTTCCCATTTTACTCTGTACCTGCTTATATATTGTTTGAGGGGACCGGAGCTGAATGAGGGTGACTGGTAAAGACCTGAGTCGCGGTTAAGATTGTTAGATTGCTTATAGATTTCTATAGATTCTCGGATTTTTCGTTGGTAGAAGAATTGATTCCATGCAAAAATTATATTTGTCTTAGTCTTAAGGCTGTTTAATGTTCTTTGGGCCTTCTTGATATTTTTCGTCCCGTCTCTCCAATGTATTCTTTGCCACATATGCTGTAAACGCCTGGCATCTCAAATGGAATTTTATCTTTGACGAACCGAAGATGTTGAGAAATTTTTGGACAATTGGAAAACCTGGTTTTGACGTTATACTTCTTTACAACTTTTGATATGTAGTCAGTAATGTTTGAATTCAAGGGTGGTGAAGTTTATTTTGTGATGGGTGGAGAGGTAAGGTGTTTTAATTCTGGGTTCAGTGACTCGAGTTGAGAGAGTTGATAACCGATGATTTTTGGGCCGAAAATGCATTAAGGTATTGGTCTACGTACGTAGGTTTTCTGTAAGCACAATGACCCATTGTTAGGTCTGATTTTATATAAGAATGGGAGGTTATTATTAATTTCTAATTCAATTGTAAAATGTCTGCTAGGGTGTATAAAGTTTAAATGTTGAAGAAAATCTACTAGGGCATCTTGACCATGAGGCTAAATAACAAAAGTATCATCGACGTAGCGATTCCATAATTTTCGATTCAACAGAAACCGACGCAGGAGGAATTCAGAAGATTTGTAAATAGTATTACAGTAGCCTGTGGAAGTTTCTTTGAAAAATTGGCATGAGAAGTTTTGGTTTTATTACCAGCTGTCTCTCTCACCCTACTATTTTAAAACGCTTTGTTCCAAGGGCATTTCCGAGATCCCAGCGTTTAAAGCTCGTATAAATATCTGCAACAACTCTCACATTCGTTATGATTGGTTATGACTTTTATGATAGATAGTCTGGAAATTAGAAGAACCTATTCCGATACCTTGATGTTTTATAAAATTTTGAACAGTATATATAACTGTTCGGTTCTCCTGCAGTTACAGTTGATTTTAATATATATCAAAGACCTCTCCGATGTTCCATTCTATCTCGCCAATTATTTTTCTCTTTTAACTCGAACCTCCCGATAATTTACCAACTGCAGCCTTGATCCTTTTGCAGCGATGTTCGACCATTTCAGACAAAATTAAAAGAATTGGTTGATCGTATAAATCTAATGTGATATCACACATCCTAACCTCTCAACTAGTCTGCTTTACTCCCATCTTGTAGACGTCCATGACACCTCAACCATCGTCGTAATTGAACACAATATTGAGCTCCTACCGTAGGATGTACTAATGAAGTGCCCGAAACTCATATTGCCGCCTTTTTTTAATTTTAATCTTACCTAGCTTAATAAATATAAAATAAGGTATGTGAATATTTTCCTACGACTTGCAGGCTGGAAATCAAGCTGAGAAATGACGGGACAAAAGACTCTCGAACTTTGGAGGTTGTAGCGAAAACGCTGCCGCGCAGTGAATTCGTCCGGCAGATTTTCAACGTCCAGGTCACCTTTAAGAACGAAATTGCATTTTACACGTCGGTTATACCCGCACTGGATCGCTTCGCAAAGGAAAGGGATGCCAGCGCGACTACTGACTTTGTTCCCAAATCTTACGGGGGTCGAATCAACCTCAACCCTGATAACGACGTAGTGGACGATGACGCAGTTTTGATATTGGAAAATTTAAAAATTTTAGGTAAGAAACTCCCACTGCCCATAAATAAGACACGTTCCAACATTAATAGGAAACCAAATAACTGTTGTTTTTGTAATATATGTCACAAATCACTTAATGACGTTTGTCGAATTTGATGAATAATGTACTATCTGCCTATGTCTAGGCAATGTTCAAATGACCTAAATGGATTAGAAAGAAAGGGGATTTTGAGACGTATTTATTCCTGAGGACCTTCTAAGGTTCTAAGCACCTATTAATTGCTGACATAGATAAAATAGACATGTAAATAGATGTACAGTAGAAACTAGTGGGCTGCCCACTGATGGACTCTAAACTATATGTTATAGCCAAGATTTGAAGTTGCCAATAATTCGCTAAGAAATAGCTATTTCTTTGATAGACGCATTTAATAGCGTTTTCTAATTTTCAACAGTTAACAATTTTACAATATTTTCAATATTTATATATACAATATAAAATATTTTCCTAGCTAAAACTAACAGTTTTCGAAATTAAAGTATTTCAAAAGTAGAGCATATCAGGGATTTTGCATTAACCATAGACACAAAAGTGAGTTTTGAAATTCATATTGAAAACATAGTGAAAAAGGATTACAGAAACTTGAATTTCAATACAAGGGTTAGCAAAAAATTTAAAGATCCCAAGTCGCTGGTCGTACTCTATGATGCATATGTGTTACCACAATCTAATTCTATCACATGAAGAAAATACCTGTTTGGCGAATAGTATATAGGAGCATTTTTTGCACAATATTGTTAACAACGAAAACTGTTGCAAAAATTAATGACTAGAACGATTGTACAAATATAGTACAAATTTAGGAAGCAACTCACCAATATCTCTTTTAAAATTATTTCTACATTATTTCTTTTTTCTTTTTTGGGTTTAGAAATAGTTTTGCTTACTAGTTTGAATTAAAATAAACGTACTTAGCTTTAGTGTACCTTTGTAAATTGTGACGTTAGTTCACCTTGTCATAATAAATAAAAATAAAACTTGTATCTCGCACTCTATCGAACTCTCTCCATTAGAAAATATGATTTGTGATTCTATTTGTTGATTGGTTTCCATGTCTTAGGTTTTTCTGTACTTCACTAAATTTGAAATAAAGCAGTAAACCTGAGGCCCTTCTAATTGGACATTAAAAACTTTATATGGGCTTAAATACTATAAAAATTCCTAATCATTCACTGACCCAAGCCATAAGAGATTTTAAGTTCAATTAATCATTTAATTGAATTTTGCTGGGCTTTAAGTTAGTACCCACTGCAATCACGGTTAAGATTAGAAGATTTTATAGAAACCGAATTTTATAGTTCAAGATAAAAGTTGGTGGCGTTTTCTGAGACTTGGAAATATCTTCCAGCTTTTGGTCTTGTACTTGTTCGCTGTTTACTGTGTACTTATTAATATTTATTTATTCTGTTTCAAATTTCTAGGACCGTCTGTCTACTGAGGCACTCTTTGTTATGCTGTAATTTTCTTTAAATTATTATTTCCAAGATAATTTTACTGAATACCGATTAAATAGATAGAGTGTTCCAATTAAAAACATATCCCAAAATTGCTACTGTTCTATTTTACGTCATTTAGCAAAACTGGGCTGAAAATAATGCATTTTTTTTATATTCACCTTGATATCATTAATCATAAAAAAGGTTATGGCAAATCAAAATGACATCAAGATAAAATGAACGCAAAATAGAGATGGATGGATTTTTAAATACAGGGGGATTTTGAAAATGTTGCATTTTTAAACTCCCTTCCTAATTCGATTGTGAGTGTTTTTTTAACGCCCCGTATAAATGCGCGTAATGAACTTTTCAAAAAGTGCGATGCATAAGAGTTTTCAAATATAAAGCATCTTTAATTTATTTTTTTATGGGTAACTAATGAAAAATTGGTGTCCATTTTCCTAATATATTTTAGCTATCATGCATGTTACCCCAAAGCTTGATAATTACGAGAAATTAGATATAACAGGGGTGTATAAATGAGCATTTATTGTTGCATACACTAGTTTGTTTCGATAGATAATTAAATTTTTGTAATAAATGTTAAGTATGTAAAAAAATCTGGTCTACACATAAAAAATATGCTTTCTATTGGAAATAGCCCTTACGTGTTTTAGACATATACGGTGTTCCATTAAAAAACACAAGTTTATATATCAAAATTTGTGAGTTTTTGCAGAAAAAAATATTATGCGTTTCTTAAATATAAATTAAAGTTTAATTTTTATGCAATCTTATAGCACGAAAACTCCGACCTAACTAGTAAGTACCCCTCATCAAAATAATTGTCTAGCTTCACATTTTTTTAACCAATGATCTTGCGGCACTAAATAATCAACATGGCCGATGACAGATCGTCAATAAGACTGGCGGCATTTTTAGAGCGGTATTTTCTCGAAATATGCCTATACCTCGTTAAAAGAATGAGTTTTTTGTAATGCAGAATCACAAATTTTATTAAAATGGTAATTTAGTCGGTGGCGTAGCGTAGCGATTTAAAGCATTGAAAGTAAATCTATCTAAGACTAACAATCATGTCAATTCAATATATTTATTGTATAGTTGACTCAAAAATTGAATAAAACAAAACAATTTTAAAATCGGCTGCACTTGCAGGCTACAAAAATGGTTCCAGGCAGGAAGGGCTCGACTTGCAGACCTCCAAACTTGTATTGGATGCATTCGTCAAGCTACACGCTTATTCCATAGCTCTCAGATTGGAGGAACCGGCAGTGTTCGAGTCGGAAGTCAAGCCCTACCTTCACGACTTCATTGTTGACGACAAATTCATCAAAGACATGGTCGATAAGACGACGAATATCCTAAAGTCCGAGGGCGTCGCCCCAGATCTAATCGGACGATCCATACAAACAATTAAAAATAAAAATAAGGATGAGGTAGAGCCGTGGATCGGTGTGGCACATAACGATAGCTGGGTGAGTTACATTTCTCACAGGAGCAGACATTTTATCCTTAATCTTATTTTGTAGTCATTTTTGTTAATAGTCCGGTCAAAATAGACATCTCAAATAATAAAAATTCAAAAATTCTGTAATCATCTACAAAAAAAAACTAATTTTCCTAGGAATCGCCATCAATTTATTCATCCATCCAAGGAAGTTAATAAAACTAACCCTGATATAAAAATGATTCTTTTGACTACTCCGTATTTGGTGGATCAAATCACTTTCCTTCTTAACAAGTCTCTTTTGTCTGGGGTTTTCACGGACTCTTGGAAGCAAGCAGAAATTATAAAATATAAATATAATTATAAAATATATATAAATATAAATAAAGAGTGTCCAATTGGCATTAAGGATTTTAGACAAATCAGTTTGTTGCCAACCATCTCAAAGGTTGTTAAAAAACAGTTCCTATGTGATAACAAAACCCTTCCAGACACTTAATCGGGTTTTCGACCTCTTCCCAGCACTACTTGCTTCATGTTACTGATAATTTATTGAGAGCAGCTGATTCTAAATGAAACTTTTGTCTTATTCTATAGTAAAGCTTTCGACACCTTGGATCACTTCGTGTTCTTAGCTAACCTGAAGTAATTCCGGATAGAGAGTACTTAAAGAAAATACTCATTGCGATGCAATTGTTTTGGAAACGGCTGTTCTTCAGGAGAGCATTTTGTTCTCATATACGGCTGACTTCTTTATTTTTCTTAAATTTACTGAGTTTCATTATCTTTTGCTGCTAGTGAAGCTTTAAAAGCTGCCACTTAAATAAACTTGAATGTGAAAAAAAAATTTGAAGGTGTCTGCGGCTCATGACCTCTTAATGAATGCCACCAAAATGCTTTTCTTCAGTTGGTTGTAAAAATCTAGGATACAAAAATCCTTCTATTGATTGATGATATTGTATATTCATAAACACCTTTTAAGTAAGGTAGTTAAACTTAAACTTTGCGACATATTAGTTTTACCCCATGTCGCTTATTGTAGTATTTAGTTATAATCTCAGAACGTGATCATAAGACTAGTGCCTCTCTGATTCGGGTTGACTCAAGCTGGAGGACCTTTATAGAGTTCAGTTCGTCCCCTTTGTTTTGTTACTAAACTCCAATATGAATATCCGAATATCGCCACAACTTATGTTGTAAATTTTATTGTTATTACTATTTATTAAATATTGAGCATGGAAGTAAGATTGTTTATGATAATGTTGAAAAAGTTGCTCTAAATTAGATATCCCCCCTTTTTCTGGTGAAAGTGCTCATGTTACTGATGATTTATTGAGAGCAGCTGATTCTGAATACAACCCTTGTCTCATGATATTCATAATAGAGACACGCGGTATTGTTAGGGATATTGCGTTCCTAGACTTGTTTGACTTTCCAGAGATCATCTAGCTATAACGCAGTTAAAGTATTTAATGAAATACCTTATGCAATAACGCCTATCTCCACAAGAAAGTACTTCAGAAAAGCGTTAATATTGTTTATTAGGACCACCAGTATCTAGCAGATGTGCGTTTTGGTGACACTTATGGTGTTGTTGTTCTTGTAGTCATATGGAAGAGTGCAATTTGCGAATGCCGCTACTTTTGAATTAGAACTTACATTGTGATATTTTGATTTTTAATAGAGACAGTTTATTATTATTATTATAAGATATATATTAATATTATGAATGGCACTCAAACGTGGCTGGTTTTGGTTAGTTCCGTCGAGGACCTTAAAAGTTTAAATTTGATTGTGAATTTTAATCGAGAAAGTGTTGATGGTGTTTTTTGGTCATAAAGTTATGAATTTGGAACTTATTTGGACGTTGCTGCTAGAGCGCGGTAGTATTTTTTAGATAAATTGAATCATTTTTTTTTATCTGTTGAGTTATGGTTGAAACATGATGTAAGTTTAAAAGAATGTTCAATTGTTCTTTAAAAACATATTTTTGTTTTGGCCGCCTTACTGCTTACTGCTGCGTTTAAAATTTTGAAGTATTTTCTTTTCTGATTTATTTATAAATACTTAAAAGATGAAAAGGAATGGAGAGCAATAAAAAAACACAAAACAAATCTCATTTCAAACGTTGGGATTGTCCACATCAATACATTTTACAATGCACCCGCTTTAGTGTCTTTGGATTTGGATTAAACAAACCTTCTCTGTTATTACTAAGGGTATTTCCGGATACTTGCATTTTCTGTAGCAACTCCTGCAGAGAATTAAATTCTTTAGCGTATACTAAATTCTGTAAGTATGACCAGATTGAGAAGTCTAGACTCCTTGGACTCGAGGAAACTGCGCAAAATGTGGTAGCGCATCATCATGCATAAACCGCATGTACTACTTGCATTGCCAAAGATAGAGGTTATGTAAAAAATGTTTTATACTTTTGTAATAAGTTATATTTATTTGAATTACTTGTTAATTTTATATTAAATTTATGTTATTAATGTTTAAAAAAAACGTAGAATCGGATTTTATACATTTTTTACACAGATTTCAAATAAAATACACTAATTGTTGCAGAAAATTGGCAATACCTTCTAAACTATCAGTGCTAAATAGTTCCTTTTAAAAGGCTGAGTTTTTTTTAAATAAAAGAAAAACGTTTTTTTGATGGTCATTTGTGACCACCTGGTGTAACATATTTATATAATGTGTTGACCGCTTTCCTGGATCCATAATAAAAATTCCCAATTTTAGTTTTCAATTGTAAAAAACACATTTTTCCAAAAACCTGGTCTTCCGTAAAAAAAAGTGAAAAATATTCATTACTTATCGTTTAAAAAAATGAAGTCGAATGTATTCTCGGTATTTGAAAAATATCCCTAGTTTTGTAAAAATTGAGCAAATTGTAAGCAAGCTTGTAAATATGCAACTGCAACTGCTAACCCAACATATTTTTTTTGTTTGATTAATCTGGGCAATTTGACCGGACTATAACGCTAGTTTCATCTATAATTAGCTTAAAATAATGTCTATCAAAAATAAAGATGAAATGTTGCAGGTGAACAATTTTATGATAAAGTGGGACGAAGACAATAAACCCGTGGGCGTGAAACTGGTCGACTTCCAGGTATGCGAGTACAAATCAGTCCTGAGGGACATTTTATTCTTCCTCTTCACCAGCGTCCGCAACGATATCCTAGCTGATAATCTGGATAAATTGCTAGACCATTATTACGAAAATTTCGTCGCAACGTTGAAAAATATAGGAGTTGACGCGTCGAGGTATTCGAGAGAATCTTACGACCAGCATCTGAAGATTGCTGCGAGGGACTACGTCTACTTCCACGTAGTTATGATGTTAGATCCCATACTCACCGACAAACCTGTCGATTTATCCTCCTTAAGCTTCGAGGAAATGGAAAATATGTCCCAGATTCAAGAAACGTGCCGACCTCACAAGGACAAGCTTGTGCTGGTAACCAACATGTTTAACGAAAGGGGCTGGCTGATTTCGTGATGATGCTTTTGTAAAATAAATGTGTTAATTAAAAATTGATTAAAGCGAATTATAGCAGATAATTATATTGGTATTCGTATAAGCGTAAGCTGAAAGCGTCTAGATCTAAATTGTGTGAAATAATAAAATCTCTTTATACATACAAAAGGGCAACAGGCCAACATGCCAATAATTTATGCGCTGATATTGCCTATTGTTATCTGTTCTAACAGTCAAGACAGGCCTGTAGAGTAAAATCTATTAGTAAATTAAATTTACTATATATAAATCTATTGGGGCGGAGGGACGGATTCGCATATTCCTGAAAGGTTAAGGCCTGAATATATATATATATATATATATATATATATATATATATATATATATATATATATATATATATATATATATATATATATATATATATATATATATATATATATATATATATATATATATATATATATATATATATATATATATATATATATATATATATATATATATATATATATATATATATATATATATATATATATATATATATATATATATATATATATATATATATATATATATATATATATATATATATATATATATATATATATATATATATATATATATATACCGCGCTCCGAAAACACTTCGAACACTGGGAGGTTATCAGCGGTGCGTGCGGTATTTATACCCTGCGCCGGAGATGGTATCGGTGCTGCTTGTGCGGGAGGGGAGGTGGCTCCGCCCCCCGAATTGTCGCGTTGTTAATTTCGTAGTTGCGATGTCCCCGTTGGATGCTGCGTATCGCTCTGTTTGATTATCGTTCTGTTCTCCACGTATTGGATAAATGCAGAGCGTCGTCTCTCATATTCAGGTATCCGGACTTTTCTATCTCGATGGCCTCTCGTATAATCCTAGTCTTAAAATCAGGAATATTAGCTATTTGTTTGCAAGTACCGAAATCAATTTTATGGCCTGTCTGATGTTGGTGCTGAAACAAAGCACATGTTGTTTGTTTGTTTCTTATGGCTAAACGATGTTCCTCGAGCCTGGCTGAAATCCTTCTGTTGGTCTGTCCCACATAAGTCAGGCTGCACGATCCGCATGCTACACTGTATACTCCTTGGTTTTCCAGAGTAATTTTTTGTTTTGGGTTTCTTAGTATTGCTCCGATGGTATGGTCAGGTTTATATGCCGTTGATATGTCGTGTTTCCGTAATATTCGGCCGATTTTGTCAGTAACCCCCTTGATGTATGGCAGGACAGCGATCGATCTTCGTTGGGTCTCGTCTTGCACTCTCTGCTGCGGCTGTTGTTGTTTACCGATTGCATTGCTGATGATGCGCCTTTGGTATCCGTTTTGTCGAAGACAGGTACTAATTTTTTTTTCAGTTCTTCATCTCTGTTCCTCTCGTTTGTGAGCCTGAAGGACCGAGCAATTAATGTATTTGCCACTGCCTGTATCTGTGATGGGTGGTGATAAGATTTCGCGTTCAGATATCTATTAGTGTGTGTTGGTTTTCTATAGACAGTGTGTTCCAAATGTCCATCTTCGGTCCTTGTGATGTGCACATCTAAAAAGGGCACACTGTTATCCTCTTCAAATTCTATTGTAAATTGAATCCTTGGGTGAATGGAATTCAGATGATCTAGGAATTTCAAAAGCTCCTCCTTGCCAAAAGGCCATACAACAAATACGTCATCAACGTATCTTGTCCATAGTTTTGGCTTCAGATTTGCCTTCTCTATTGCTTTCTTTTCGAAGTAGATCATGAAGAGGTTGGCAATCACAGGTGAGAGAGATCCATCTCCATCTATTTGTCGGTAAATTTTCCCGTTGTACATAAAGTAAGCGTTTTTCAGGCAATGTCTTGACAGATCCATTATGTATGGCGGAAGATCTTCGTTTTCTTCTATAAGCAAGAGTGCCTCTTCTACCGGAATGCTCGGGTAGAGGGATTTGACATCGAAACTTGCCATAATGTCGTCCTTGTCCATTCTGAGAGAGGAATCTGCCTTTTCCACTATGGGCTGAAGTGCACTGGCCAGATGTTTTTCCAGCTTGCATAATGGTGAGTTAAAGGCGCTTACGATTGGACGCAGGGGAACCCCGTCCTTATGGATCTTTGGGAGCCAGTAGAATTTTGGACAACGACTCGATTTTTCCCTCGGAATAAGTTTCTTCTTTGTATCCTCGTTTATTGATGAATCGAGAATTTTGGACTTAGTCGTTTTTTCCAAATATGTCGTAGGATCTCTGGTGACTAGTTTGTATATTGGGTCGTTCAAAATATCCTCCAATTTTGGACAGTGGTATTTCCTTTGTCTGCTGGCATTATTAGAATATCTTCGTTTTTGTTTAGATTCCTTAAGGCTTGCATTTCTTCTCTGCTTAAGTTTGGTTGCGGTGGTTTTCATTGTCTTAAGACTCTGGCGACATCTTGCCTAATTAACTCCGCATCTTGTTCGTCGAACACTCACACTCGGAGCGCGAGCATTGAAGATGCCAAGTGAGATTTTGGCGAAACGTCTGCAGGATTCCAGTGGATATATATATATATATATATATATATATATATATATATATATATATATATATATATATATATATATATATATATATATATATATATATATATATATATATATATAATAATAAGTTCTATAAAGCAATAAATGTTAGACGTCTGGTTCATAGTAAATGTAGGCGAAAGTGCTAGTAAGACAATATATTGAAACATATATATCACAAATAACCATATAACATTTTATAAATTAAGATAACATCGACATATATAAATATTCCAAGGTACATTTTGTGGTCAATTATAGTATGGTGTGTGTCCCATATTTCATGGTTTTGGCGTGGAAAATATCACAGCCACCTTGGTATTTAACATACAGGGTGATTTTTGAGGGTCCCACTGGCGCAATCAGTTTTCCGAAACCCACAAATTTTGATATACAAACTAAACTTGTGTTTTTTTTTGTATGTATGACTTTTAATAATTTGACTAGGCTTGGTATGAGCTTTTCAAAAATATGTAACACAAAACACACTCGCATATCTTTAATTCGTAATTTTTATTTTAATTTCAATTGAATTAAATTTTGGGCTCATAATTCCTGAAACAACGTTTTGTAGACAATAGATAAGAATCTGCTATACACATACACACAAGTATATTTTATAATAAATTCTGTAATTTGTGTATGGCCCACTCATTTGAAATAACTTTTGGGTGTTAAACGTCTCTGAAAAACTAATAAGAAGCCTAATGATATTATTAAGAGGCATACACGACACAAAACCGACTACGCCTACCCGGTTTTCACATTTTTGATAAGTTAACGTATAACCGACCAAAAAAGGGTGCCAAAAATGGAACATTTTCAAAATTGCCCTGTGTCTAAAAACCACCTCACTCATTTCATTAAGTCATTTCGTTAGATCTTGAAAGCTACAAAAACCAACAAAAAAATGGAACACACTGTACAAGTAGGCTTAGAGATTATTATACTATGAGATAAAAAAAAAGGTTAGCGTTCCAGTTCCTCCTGAATTTCCGACACACTCTTCCCTCTGGTTTCTGGAACGACGAAAACAATAAAAATAATACCTAAAAGAGTGAACACCGAGAACGCGTAGAAAAGGGTGTCTTCCCCGACACTGCGGCAAAGTTCCAAATAAAACTTGGTTAGGATAAAAGCCAAGAACCAATTAAAAGTGCCGGCCATAGAACTGACGAGACTCCTAATTTCGGCCGAGAGGATTTCCGACGAGATCATCCAAGGAATGGGTCCCAAACCTAAAAACCGAAGCCAATTAACGCGGATATTTTTTAGCAATGTTTTCATTTACCCAAAGAAAAGGCTACGACGAAGAGGCAGAGTGCTCCCACAGGCACGAAACCTACAGCCCTAACCAAGTTGGAATCTGAGGCGCATTTTGCTTTAAGGGTTAAGTAGGCGGCCAAAATAAGCGCCGTCAAACTGACCAGAGATAAAGATAAGGTCAGCAGAGGTTTTCTCCCCGCCTTGTCTATAATGACACTTGCGCAGAATGTAGCGACCGCTTGGAATGCACCTATCTAAAAATATGTTAACTTATGCAGCAAATTATATAGGATGCTGGGCATTGCTTCAGGAATAATAGGCTTTCATAAGTTTGCTTGAAGGTTGTAAACCATGATTCGATAAAATTACGAAGGGACTGTCGCACTTCCATTTTTTTTTCATCTATTTATTTTCTAAACGTAAGATTATGTTCTTTGGCGGGCTGAGTTAATACACCTGGGAGAAAGCTTTAAGAAAATAAAAAAAAAACATTTGGAGGAAGACCACAAACTTATATTGGAGAGGATCCATCGAATTTGTGCCAAAATCCAGACTTCAGAAGAGTCATGATGAGAAGAAGCTGCTCAAATCTGAAAAACAAATAAACTAACCAAAGGACTTAACTTCGCCTTTGTGAATAAGCTCCATAGAGAAGTTACAACTGGAATGGCGAGAAATAACAGCAATGGAAAGTCAGAATTGTTTTGGAGAAGAGAACTAAAAGGGCTAAAAGAGGAATAAGTAGACTTACAAGAAGACATGAACATCAAGATCGTCCCAGTGAACAAGCACAATGCCAGTCATCATGGATGTACAATGGACGTCCATGAAATTTTTAGTTAAGAAAGCGAAGAATGGGAAAATATAGGAAACCTACACATACTGGAGAGTATTTAAATTTCAAACACGCACCAATGTCCAGTCTAGAATTAAAATTAGTCTGCACTTGATAACGGGTATTGATACATCAGCAGGAAAACAAAAAAATAAGACAACGGAAGTTTGACAATCTCTTATCATTTCTCCTTAATAATTTTTTCACATCTGTACTATTATGAACTTGTTACCTTAAATGCCGGGCGTGTTTAAATTTTTATTTACGGAAATATGGGGTTTGGATAAAGGCATTAGTAAGACACTTTTCTGATGACTGATTTTTTTTGTATAATTTGCCCTTTTCTCATGAATGAATACTTTGCCATCGCATGCTACATCATATAATACAATCAGTATATTTGGACCCTACCTTTATGCCGAATCGAGATTTTGTTCAGATCAAATCTCAGAAAAGGCTATCAAATAACCCAACGTTGCCAAATCGTCGGGATATATTTGCGGCAATTATTTCATATTAACAGAGATAAATACGTTGGAAAACCTATTCATGTGCTATATTGTACGCATGGTTATGATACATGACTAATCAACAATGCCGTCTACATATGGTGTTATTACTCGAGTTAAAATTCAAATTTTACAATTCGCCTGATTTAATTACATCAGAAAATTTTCCAATGTATCCATTCCAAATAAACTTTTTGAGCATTTTTTTCGGAAACCAGGCGTAACTGTTATAACGAATATTTTTTCCATTTGTTCCAGAATTTCAATTTCAATTTCAATAACACCCTGTATATGTGTAGCCTACTTACTAATAAAGAAAAATGCTTTACATCTCGACAATTTTTCATGACAGATGCTAACAGCCACAGATGAATGAAAAGGGCCCAACATAATACGATTACTGCAGTAATAAGGTTTTTTATACAATCAAGAAATTTTCGTAAAGAAAAAGTCATCCCCAATTTTCAAAATATTTTAAATACTTGAAAAATCGAGCTCATGATATGGAAATTGAGTTTTATTTATCTACTTTATAAGTCAGTTGATGTTGATTTGGGTGTAAACCTACGCAGTGTGCAAGAAAATTAATATCGAAATGGGTGAGAAATTTCTTATCTAATTGAAGCTTTTTTGCGACTTTGCTAGTTCCATATGTTCGTTACATAAATTTTAGTTTCCAAAAATTGTTCACAACATCTATTATTACTATCTAATGACTATCAGCATTTTTTAAAAGTCAAAATGAAGTATGGGGAGGGGGAAAATAGGCCTTTGCTTTAATTCATAGGAATTAATATACAGTATTACCCGTATGTCCATTACTTAAGGGAATTTTTACTATAGCCATAGCTATAGCTAACTATATATAACCAACAAGCGCGACACCTACATTGGAAACTGTAACTAGTTACTATAAATGTAGTAAATGTAGGGACAGAAATTTTGACCCACTGCTTTCATGGATCTGGGATTTTTGAAATAACTTATCTGGAATAAATTTCACCTCTTCTCACGTTATAAAACTTAATAAAACTAAATATAGTGAACTCAACTTTGCTTGGGAAAATTGCAGTATCAACCATTGAGGATATGGTTTCAACCTAATTACTCACCATTATAGTCGCTGTATTTGCATCAAGATTAACCCCAGTGGATTTAATGATATCGCTAGAATACATTACAACAGCATTAATGCCACAAAATTGCTGGAAAAACATAAGCGCAAATGCAATGAGAACTGCTTTCCAAACAGATTTCTTGGTGAAAGTATTTCTAAATGAGATTGTCATTTCTGAGTCTTCCTTAACACTTCCTGAAAGAAAGCAAAGTCAAAAGTACACCAGGGCCATGATTTTAAAATAATTGGAACTTTTAAAAAAATCAGCAGCACATACCTTCAATTTCAAGTAACTCCGCATCAACATTATAGTGTTCACCCCGTAATAGAATGAGACATTTTTTGGCTTCTTCTAGTTGCCCGCGACGAATTAAATGTGTGGGTGACTCTGGTTGGAAAGCAAAAGTCAGACCAAAAATTAAAGGCAACAACGCACAGAACACCGTAAACTACAAAATAGAATTTTGTTTCAATAGCCAACAAATCCCAACAGGCCACATACTTGAAATGGTGAAAAATATTTTCCCACTAAATATGAAACAAATATACCGATTGTTATCATAAGCTGGAAACAACTTCCGAGGGCACCTCGTAGTGTCTTGTGGGCAATTTCTCCATTATATAAGGGAGTTGCAATGCAACACGCTCCCACTGCCATTCCAGTTATTAGTCTAAAAATGATTTTGCCAGAAGCAGATTAAAAAAATTATGTGCGTTTTCGAGAATCATTTCTTAAAAACATTACTTATTATTGCATACCTTCCAAAATACAAGTCGATTGGATTCTTAGCCCAAACAATTAAACTCCAACCAAGCGCAAATGGTATCAAAAGTAACAGCAAAGCCTTCTTGCGACCAACCAAATCACAAATGAAACCAGTGGGGATACACATTGTCATTGCACCAAGAGTAACAAATGAACCAATCCAGCCCATTTGATGGTCATCAATATTTATATTATTGTATTTGCCATGAACTAGATCATTTAGTATTGGTGATGTCCAACCAAGAACTAAACCGGCACTTAATGCGGACAATGACGCTAAAAATGGATTTTTGTGCAGCAAGCAAAAATACTTAACACAATTTGCTACCAGAAAATCCGGCAATTATTTGTCTTGTATTTTTAGGCCGATTGGCATCAACATATCTATCTATATTTCCGATATCCGACACCTGAGTATCCTAAAAAGGGCAAAAACAATTCAACCAAGAAAAAGAAAACACGGAAATACCTACAATATTATCGTAGACCGTTGGTATACAAGGAAGTTTTGGATCAGTTTCTTCCAGAAGGGCATCATTGTCTTGGTTCATATTCAATCTTTCTAATGTTTACTTAATGATATAAACACGTATTGTTTTTATTTTGGTTGACGAAAACCAATTTTCTTAGGTTAGGTTACCTGGTAATTGAAAATTTGTAATTGGGAGGCGGAACTATTGAAGGCATTCACCCAATTTCGAAATTTATCTGATGAGAAAAATGTGTACTGTTACTTCGATCGTATTTAGAAATTTTGTTTTGTCTCTACCTAATAATATTGTTTTAGCAGCGAGATACGTTTTAACCATCGCCACTCAACATGCTCTAACGTCATCGTCATCGTTATCGCTATAAATGATTACTCGCAATTTGTGCGTCGCTGTGCTGTTATCAATATTATTGACCCACAACATTTTAACAATTCGGAGTAATTTATCAAAAGATTTAATCTAGAGCGGTTTATTTTTCGATTGGAAAGATCGTAACCGTCTTTTAACGTTATATTGAATATGAGAATAACATTAATAGACATAATGCGTTAATTCAGAAACTGACTCATATATTTATAAGTAAACCTGTAATTTTGTTTTGGATTTCAATTAAGCAAACCCATACCTATATAGTTATTTAATATCAGATTTTTTTTATAATTAAATACTTGTATTAACTTCTTTAAACTTGATTGCTAATATCGATAATTCATATAAATATGTCACAAGACGTTGACTAAATGCCAGTTGCCTTCTTTTGTCTCTTTCGTGCCTATGTGAAGTTAGCAAATTTGTCAAACTGAAAGGCTTCTTTCTCAACAAAACTTTTACGTAAAATTATCTTTTTAATAGGTAATATAGCGGGTTTTGATTAAAATCACAAATTGTTGCACTAAACATTAGTTTTTAATCACATTTATGTTAGAAACAATGTAAAGTATTACATGATAAAGGAATAAAAAATAAAAAAGAAACGACAAAACTTTCATGATGCATGGAGAACCGGCGATAAACTTATTCTGAAATTGAGTTGTTGACACATCGTCACAACTACCTATGATCCGTGACCGTTACAGTGACACATTTACTAGTGACTTACTCATCACAATCATTTAAATCGTTTGTTAGCATAGACAGACCTCTGCAGAGGGAGTTTCAAAAAATACTAGACTTATTTCTCGACTAAACACATAATGTTAGTTTGGATAATAGCCTCGAGAAAATCTTTATTATTTCTCAAATTGCTGAGAAAATTTAAAAATGACAATATTTTTACTTTGCATTTGTTTCTAAAACAATTATTATTTGATATGATAGTTGATTCTCAAATATGAGGATTGTTTAAAATACTTTATTAATTCAGTTGCTAGAAAAGAGTGTCTTTTTTTATTGAGGTTTGGTAAAAAAAACAAGGAAAATTTTTGTCCAAGAAGTTTAAAATATTGCTATAAAAAAAGTTTCACTCTGCTTCATAAAATATAAAAATAATTTTCAGCGGTAAGTTTTATGACACAATCAAAGGTATTTGTGGTCTAAATTTCGTTTAGGTATTTTAAACCTTTTCTAAAATAATAAAAAGGGCAATTTTTTGAAGCCCCTTTTTCATCTTCTGGAGGAGACGTTTTCGGAGACTTTTTTATTAACCAAACAAAAGTTATTGTTTAATATGAATATTTAATATTAATTTAATGCTAGAGACATATTTAGTGCCATGTCCACTCCTTACGTTTCACAAAAACTTCTCAAAAATGTTTTTCCCAATAATTAAAATATTATAATATATTGTAAGGCAGTTGTTACTACCAATAATATGAAATACTCAATGTTAAATTATCAGACATCAGTAGATACAAAATTATTAAGGAATGCTTTATATTTTATAGAATTTGTTTGTTTTGTTATTACTTCTTTCTTTTAACAAATAATTGAAAAATGTATTTCAAAAATAAAATTGTTTTGGAAATTTCTTTGTTTTTTCAATTCAATGACTAAGCCTAAAAAGACAATACAGAGTTCCCGAGGATGTTTTACACAAACACCAGTGATACTTTCAAATCAAATCAATCAATCAAATCAAATTGAATCAAACATTGTGTTATTGTTGTTTTTGAAACACTCTGTATAGTATTATATAATTATTGCTTCGATTACGAGCAATTTTAGTTCAAGGAAAAGTGAGGCGGCTGGATCGATAACTTATCGAGATCACTTTCGAAGAACGCTCAGTCCTACAAACACTTAAGGAGAATTAGAAGATTGATAACGTCAATTTGTTGCATTCTAAACATTACAAGCTTTTGTCATCCGTTCAAATGCCACTCGCGTTTGTTTTAGCGGTTAAAACAGATTTGACGGCTTATAGAATATAAATCAATCGTCGAGATAGAAAAAATTGTCGTTTCGGAAACTGGCATCATGTGGACGATCCCATTCATCGCATTTTGGGTTCTTTTCTTCGTTACCGTAGAAGGTTACGTAGTTAATCCTGGACCCCTAGTAGTTGCGACCAGAGGCGAAGTATGGCCTAAACCCCAGAGTCAGAATTCGTCGGAAAATTATTTTATACTTAGGCCAAAACAGTTTCAGTTCAAGGTAATAGCTTTAGATTTAAATAAAATATAGGAACATGCGAATATGACATTGAATACGACAAAATCACAGATTTTAATATTAACAACAAATTTTCGAGTTTTTGGGACACTCTGATAGAGGAAGAGATATAAAAAAAAGAAAGATGATTAATAGCTTCCTTCCAGTATTTCATGAGAACTTGACGAACACATCAAACACGACGATATTTTTCGAGCTAAGTTTACATGAACTTATGGGTAAATTTATTGCATCTGCCTGTTCTGCTTGATTGGTATTAAAATAAAGTTTGCCAACTGTAAAAATTAAAATAATTTAAACAATTTAAATGTTAGGTTAACGATGCGAGTTGCGAAATTCTTGAGAACGCATTCGAGAGATACTGGAAAATACTGCAGGAGAACAGCGTTCCTGAGTCGGTTAAGGCATACGCATCGAGAACTCGCGCGTGGCTGCAGGATGTCAGTTTCCTGGGGTACATCGATGAGTTGAACGTCACCCTAAGGGGCAGATGTGAAGATAATGAGTTCCCATCTAACGACGTGGTCGAAGAATGTAAGTAGTGTGGAAATGTTTTTGTTTCATCCCAACTGTTAAACTTGTCTGTGAACTGCCATAACTTTGGAACGCACGCGCGATGAAAATAAACAGGTAGAGATTCATGTCATTCATCTTAGAAAGTTCGTATTACAACCTGTAAATTTTTAATAATTTTTTGTCGTTTTTTTTGTCTTAAATTTGTTCCCATACCTATCTTGAGTGGTTTTCGAGAAATTAATTATTTTATTTATTTTTCCACCAAAACATGGCTTCAATCTTTATTACTGCGACACGGGAGTCAGTGGAAAGTTAAAATACTGGACGAAACTGGATTACTTTGGCATAATTCATCATTCAGGCACAGTTCAATAAAGATTTACTCTTTTTTTTTTCAAAGAAACTTCCACAGGCTACTCTAATACTTTTTACACAACTCCTGGATTCCTACTGTTGGTTTCTGCAGTGTCAGTCAAACTCGGTAAACTTTTTAAGTCACTCGTTTATTAAACACTCGTTCCGCAGCGCTCCGCTCGTGTCAAATAAACTCGTGAGTCAAATGCCGTTTACCGCACTTGTTGCATAATATATTATTGAATAATCAGAATTTCAAACTAACCTTAAAAACTTCTAAGCAACTGTTACGGTTAGAAACTCAGTATAATGTCATGCATAGTATAAGAGGAGAGTTAGAAAGCTGGTTAAAGTTAGCCTAATCCGAAGAATGCAAGCGTTAAAAAGAATCTATTTCCCACGCAAAACAAGACTTCGGCGTCAAATTTTATTTGCACACTTTCAACCCACGTAATTATGGTGCATCGGACCTATTGGTCATTGACTAATACTCCATAACACTTTTTACGATACTGCACTATAATGTAATTTAAGAAGCTGTGTTCGTAACGCCGTCACTAGTTCTCCCAATAAATCCTAAATTACGCAGTGCTTTGACAATAATAGCATCTGTATGGGGCCACAATTCACAGTCCAAAATGACCCCTAAATCTTTAACCACGATAGCATTATTTTATTGTTTAATTTTCAGAAAAGCGGGAGAAACTGGCTTTTATTTCGCCATTTTTGTGTCTGGTAGGCAAATAATTACTTTTGACCAACCCTGTATACTGTAGAACTGATTTAGTTATTAAGAAGTTCTGGCCGATACTTCATTTAAAACTTCGATGTTGATGCTACTTTTCGAAGTAGCGGCAAAAATATTTTAGAGCAACCGCTGACCTTGAAACATCCCGCATATATCAGAGGTTTAAAAATTGAAATTGATTTCAATATTAACAGATTCTGGTGCACGAGTACTCCCGTTACTATCTTTGTCGTTAATCAATTGTCAATTATTTGCGAGATTCGATATTTAGGATGACACGAATTTATTTATACGAGGGTCACTTGAAAAGTTTTAGACCTAACGATGATACGAGACATTTTTTCTTTTTTTTAATTTTTCTACACAATCTTGTAATTCGATATAATTCTCCCAGTGATCTCTCTAAACCGTCCAAACAGTACCCAGCGTTTTTCTCCTCAAAACAGCTGAAGGTGATTGCCTCCTCATTTGACGAAAATCTTTGTCTTCCGACCCCAATTTTCGGATGAGGGAATAAAAAGAAGTCGCTTGGGGCTAGATCTTGTGAGTAGATGTAGTATAAGTTGTCTTGTATAACATTTTATACTCAATATGTTCCATTTGCCCAAAAAGACTCACATCGACTAATTCAAACGACTCTCAACTAATAACCAACGGCTGAAACCAAACCAAATAGCTAAAACTTCGGTAAGTAACTATCAAGAGTTGCACAACTACGGTCATTAACTAGTGCCACCATCTTCAGGGTGGGGACGGAAACTTTTCCAGTGACCCTCGTACAGTGGGTCCAGCGCTATAATAAAAGTGGCGAAGTTTTATCATTTTATGTGATTTTAGGTTACTAAATGCCGCGGACTTGTAAAAATTCCTCAGATTGTTTTTGCTACATTTGTGGGGAATAAATACTAAAACCACAACGACATGTCATGACCGATCTAGTTAAAACAGCTTATAAGCTATATTTTGGATTTTCTATCGATGAGCGAGATAAAAGTTGGTTGCCAAAAGTATGCTGCAATAGCTGCTCAAGAACGTTGAGAGGTTGGCTTGAAGAAAGTCACAAATCCATGCCGTTTTCAATGCCAATGATTTGGAGTGAGTCTCAAAATCATAAGAATGATTGCTATTTCTGCATGACATCTACACGAGGATTCTCGAAAAAAAATAGAGATAGGATTGTTTATCCGAACTTCCTATCTACAAAGAGACCAATTCCTCGTGAGAAAGACACTCCACCTCCAGTTCCACCAGTTAATGAGGAGGCTGAAAATAAAAATATTTCAGGTCTACAATCTCAATCGAGTTTTGTTAATATAATTTAGGATTTTTTACTGTAAAACTCAAGGCGCCACATTTTTTTATTTCCTTATAATAATTGATACTTTAATAATATTGTTTTTTGAAGAAATAAATACTAAATTAAAAACCAACGTGTGGTACTTATTTGTATATCAGATTCCGTGTTTAGAGCATAAAATAAGATGAATTCATGCATGAAAACAAGGAGAGAAAAAAAATTTTTTTTTTGCAGACCAGTGTAATCTGTTTGAGAGGTTCGACCTTGACTCATGCAGAATTCTATCCTTTCAAAATAATTAATACAGAATGTGTTTCCTATGTGATTTTAGATACCTTGCAAATAGCTAAGGGCAATTTTGAGCTGAGTGCGACTACAATATGGGGTGTACTCCGAGGCTTGGAAACATTTTCCCAATTGTCTTACTACTCCAAGGATGAGGAATACGTAAGCAAAGTGATACTATTTCTTGTCAAAAACAAGACGTAAGCATTATTAAATATTCTAATTAAAAACGATATCTCCAAGCTGCGAGTCAACGCTACAATCATAGTTGACTATCCACGATTCAAATATAGAGGGTTGTTGCTGGACACATCGAGGCACTTCATTCCTTTGAACCTTGTCAAGTTGACATTAGACGCCATGTCGTATAATAAACTGAACGTCTTCCATTGGCATATCGTCGATGATCAAAGTTTCCCCTATGTCAGTCGAACGTTTCCAGAACTTAGGTAAGCCAGTTAATTAATTGGGCGTGAAAGACTAATTATGTATATGAAATTGCTAGCAGCTCCAAATAAGTGACAATTAACTGTATGCCCAAATAACAAATGATAACTTTTTTCGAAATCGTGTGTGTTTCTTTGAACCGTCAATTTCACTAGAAAGTATTTTTATTAACACAATTTCTAAACACCTTTGTAATTCAATATTCACATACCATTCATAATTTGTTTTTTATTTTCACTGACATAGTCAAAACATACTTCCAGGCGCTACTATTTATATAATCACCTCTTTTTTGTTATTTTCATCTCCGATTTTTTTTCAACACTACCATTTCATTTAATTCGGGCGAACTGAGAGTCGTAATTTTTTATTCCCAATGCCTTTTCTCAAATGAATTTTAAAATATTCTTCCTCGCTAGCAAACAGTACTTGCTGGCTCAATAAAAATATATTTTTCTACTCCCTCTTGTAAAATACATAATTACACACGGATGCATGCACGTGATTTTTTTGTCCCACGGATCCGAGCTCTGAGTGAAATTATCCGTGTTGTTTCCTTTTACTACACTTATGAAATGAACAATAAATGCAAATAAGCATTTTTATGATATTAAAAATTATGAATATTTATGTGATATTCAATAAAGGCAGGCCTATTTCTTTACAATTTTTTTAAAATTTCGAAAAAAAGGAGAGAGAAGGGAGAGAGATAAGAGAGAGAGAGAGGAGAGAGAGAGAGAGGAGAGAGAGAGAGGAGAGAGAAAGGAGAGCGAGAGGTGAGAGAGAGGTGAGAGAGGAGGGAGAGAGGAGTGAGAGAGAGGAGTGAGAGAGAGGAGTGAGAGAGAGGAGAGAGAGAGAGAGTAATGAGAGAGAGAGGGGGTGGGAGAGAGAGGAGGGAGAGAGAGAGAGGAAAGAGAGAGAGAGAGGAGAGAGAGGGAGAGGAGAGAGAGAGAGGAGAGAGAGAGAGAGGAGACAGAGAGATTCATCAACAATAGTATTAGTATTACTAAATAGTATTATAGTAGACCGCGGAAATTTCTTTGAAAAATCAATAATTTTTTAACTATACCACAGACCTATTGGTGTAAATATAAATTTAACAAGATAATCAAATAGTAAATTGCAAAACATAAAAATTTTACAGTGACAAAATATTATTTCCTATTTAAAAAAAAAAACGTTTAAATACAATGAATATATCAACGATAGAGTTGGTACATTCTGGTAATATCAACTTGCACAACATACAATTCGTAAATTCTTAAACTATTCCTTGCAGTTATAAAAACAATTAATGTTTTTCGAAATTCCTCAAGACACGTGTCTGGAAACATAATTTTAAGAATGGAAGAACTTCGCTCAACATACATGACTCAACCAGGAGATATAATAATTTTCACCCACTTTTTTTGACCAATTTCGGACGTAAACAAAGACACCACAACAATAATAAAAATAAATATTGCACCAAGGGTCTAATGAATTTTTATTTATTTCATTTAGCGAACAAGGCGCATATAATCCACACACTCACGTCTACAACCCTGACGATGTGCAGACCGTAATTGAATACGGAAGACAGAGAGGTATCAGAGTTCTTCCGGAGTTTGACACTCCCGGTAAGTCAAGAGTTTCGCTTTTAGTTTTTGGTATCGATAGGCGACCTCAGTATCAAATCTTGGCATCGAACGATAAACAAAAAATGTTTGCTCTTCACTGATGACGTTAATGATCACTTGAAAGGATAACGATGCCACGATGTTGTCAACAAACTTATTTATTGATGCGCAAAATGGCAAAAATTCTACGAAACAAAGTGCAACGTTCAGGTCGGCATTCGGATAAGGATTCAGAATTCATCTGAGCGAATCCTGAACTCTTCCGAACACCTCAAGCAACGGACATTTTAAATTGACTGCTTCACCATCCGCCTTACTCACCAGATCATGTGAAAACTTTTGCTTCGAATGAGGAGGCAATCACCTTCGAGAACAATTATTTTGCTGAAAAAAACGCTGGGTACTATTTGGTCAGGCATAGTATAGGAAGTGTAATGCAGAGTATGTAGAAAAATAAAAAAAGCAACGGAGAAAAAATGTCTTGTATCATTATTGGGTCGGAAATTTTTCAGTGGCAATATAACCTTGACTGTTCAACGATGCCTCCAAGTGAGAAAATTCAGTATACAGATTTTTTCCGTTAAAACTAACAAATTTGTCTGATGGTCCTATTTCAATATGACCCCACGGTTTAGACAAATTTAATGTTCCAAATGGTCAATTATATTATTATGAGTATTGTATATAAAAAGCAATTTTTTGGTGGAGTTACTTTCGTCCGTAATAATATTTCAATTTTTTTAACTCATCGCTAGGACATACGAGATCATGGGGGGTGTCGCATCCCGAACTGCTAAGTCCGTGCTACGTCGACGACCACGGCAGGATCTACGAAACAGGAAACTACGGCCCAATCGATCCCACCAGAAACGAGACATACCCGTTCATTCAGAAACTATTTGCGGAAGTCAGAGAAGTGTTTCAGGACAAGTTTATCCATCTTGGCGGGGACGAAGTTGAATTTGAATGTTGGTAAGTATTGATAGTAGATGTTGAAGACCCATGTGGGGATTCATAACTATTATTTGGTGATTTTTTGTTGTTGTTTTTTTGATTAGTCGAAGAATTAGTAGAGTAATCGGGAGATAGATGGCTATAGTTTTAACAAATAGGTTTTTGTGAAATCCGCTTATATTTATATCGTCGAAAGCATATTAACCCTAGTATTCCAAATTAAAGTTAATTTGAAAAGAAATATCGGATTATCAACTAAAAATCATAATTTAGAAAATGTGTGCTATAACCATCTATACCGTATTAGTTTTCCTTTTTGTTTTCTTTGATGCTTTCTTATTTTCAATTTTCAAAATGGATTCATTTTTGTAGTTTTTCTTGGGGTTTTCCCTATTTCTCTGTGCGGTATGTCAAATGTTCCGGTGAACAGTTATTTTTTCTGGAGCAAGTGACACGTCAGACAAGATTTTGGAGGGATTTGTTGTATCATCTTCTTTTCTACTAGTAGATGGTTGTGTTGCTCGATTATCTCTTTGCAATTCTTCTCGCTTCTTCTGAACTGAGGACCGCGATGTTGTTTGAAAATCTGATAGATAGAAGCCTTACCCCAACCCAAACTGAGTAACTCCCCAAACGGCATGCTTCATACTTTGAGTGATTTGAAGAAACTTCTATCTAAATGTTGCCGATAGTCGAGAATCAAGGATTTTCCGGTAGAGATAGGCATAAAATGTTCCCACGTGCTGTTTACCATTCCAATAACTAACTTTTTTATTAATGGAAATTTTGGACTATTAGGCACTTCTTTAAGGAAATGCAGTTCTGCGGTTCTCTACAGTTGCTGTTTTAACCATTAAATGTTTGTCAAAAATCGAGTCCATTTTGCTAGTTCTAGTTTAAACTGTTAAAACGCTCCATTTAAGACCACCTTGTACATAATGCCTGCGTAAAAAGTCTTCATATTGAGTTCTTTTTGAGTTCTTGTTTTCTCCCAACACCACCTATCACTCATTAATTCGATTCACGTCTCATCGATAAAAAGAATGGATCTCTATTGAGATAATAGCTACTCTGATGCTCTCTTGCTCAATCTAATCGTTTTCGTTTCAAGTATGCGTCTTCTATGCAATCCAGCGATTGCGATCTCATGGTTCCAGATCTAGTTCCTTGACCATATCTGGAAATAGAATTTTTAATGTTTAGCCTGGCAACAGTCTGTTGTCAATAAAGACATTTTCTTCATACAGCAACTACATATACAATTTTGTACTAATTATTGTTTATGATTTCCTTTTGAAAGAAAATAACAAAGCACACAAAAATAATTTTACCTCATAGTGTAGCATAGAAAAGATAACGGGTAGCGTTCCATGATTAGGGAGAATAACCCAACCATCGAGAGATTCATGCAAAAGAACAACATAACCACGTACGAAGAATTGGAGAGTTATTACATCAAGAAGGTTATCGATATGGTCGACGATATTGGGTTCGACTCCATCGTATGGGAAGAAGTATTCGTCAACGGGGTCCAGACCCCGAACAACACGATCATCCACGTCTGGAGGGACAATTGGATGGACACGATGTACGCGGTCACCAAAGCTGGAAAGAACGCCATCCTGTCCGCCTGTTGGTACCTGGATCATTTGGAAACTGGAGGCGACTGGGAGAAATACTATTTGTGCGAACCGTACAACTATGGAGGCAGCGCGGCTCAAAATAAGCTTATCATTGGAGGTATTTAAGATTAGCCAATTTTGGTAACTGCGTAGATCATAGATTTCAAATACATTTATTCAATAGAATTGTGCCTGACATTTTCATGAAGCAAATTCCGTTATACGAGTGCTGACTGATATGATATACAGGGTGTCAGAAGTTGATATCTTTGAAATGGATGGTAGCCGGTGGTAGTGATGCACAGGTGTATGACATGTATAGCCTAAAATTATTTTCATGTGTATAATATATATGTTACACTCTGTAATGTAAATATCCCGAAATTAATGCATTTCTCGCACATAGTTGGAACACTCAGTCTAAAGTAGAGCGATTGTATTAAGGCGATCGGTTAAGTCGTAGTTTCGGTGATTTCCCGCGAAAAATAGAAAAGTTTATCAAAAAGAAAGTCGTGAATAACCTTTGTCAAAGTACTTTGCAATTCATATAATTTTTCAATACTGGCACGAATGTTAAGAAATATAAAAGTTGTGGTTTCATACAAAAAAAACATAACCTTAGTTTGTAATCGTACATCCGCTATCTTTTTTGAATTGGATTTTAAGATTTTGATAACATTTCTGTTTTAGTTATTTTTGGCCAGCCACGGTTTTACTAAGTTTTGCTTAGTGTTCTTTAAAATATTGGTTGACTCCAAATTTTATCTCAACAATTTTAATTAGCCTAATTTTTATGTACAGCTAGTTACATAAAAAAAGTGATACGCCTTGAAAATTCCACTTTATATACTTTTTACACAACTTCTCGATTCCTCCTGTGTCGGTTTTTGCTGAGTGTAAATTGCTGACGTTTCGCCAATTATCCTGTTGCCTTCTTCAGAACTTGACTGAAATTGACTCGTATTTTACTACGTACCAACTTATATATTGTTTGAGGGGGGCGGAGCTATAGATGAGTCTACAGATTCTCGGATTTTTCCTTGATAGACTACGTGCAATCTACTAAAATTTGATATCTGGTATTTCTCTGAGTCCAGTTAATATTTTTCGTCCAGTCTTTCCAAATGTATTCTTTCCCGCAATGCTCGTGTCCGAAACGGAATTTGGTTTTTGACGGATCGAATATGTTCATAGATTTTTGTGGTAACTCTGGTTTTGACGTTATATTCCATAAGAACTTTTGAATCATGTGATCACTGATGTTTTGAATGTGTGGGGATGCTTTCCGATTCACTGTCTTTGGAAGGTTGTGGTGAAGTGTATTTGGTGATGGAACACTTAATATCTTTAATGTGCAAATTATGTAATTATGTAAATGTATTGACACAGGTGTATTTCCGTCGCTGTTTAAGATTTCGAGAGTAGTTCCAATCCATAAGGCAGGTGATATAAATGATGCTAACAACTACTTACACAACACGCTAACACAACTTTGTTCGGAAAAGTTTTTGAGATCTTACTAAAAGATCAGCTAACTTCTTTATTAATAAGATCGAATGTCTTTGTGCTGGTCAGTTTGGATTTAGGGGAGGGTGTTCGACGATCCAAGCAGTGTCTAAAGTTGTGAGTTGTATAGTTGAGGGCCTCGAGGGGGGTGAACTAGTTGGTTTGACCTTGAGTGATCTCTCCAGGGCCTTCGACTGTGTTTCTCACCAGCTTCTTATTAAAAAGCTATACAGATATGGTATACGAGGTCTGCCCTTAGATCTTATAGCGTCCTACTTGCAGGGCCGACAGCAGTTTGTAGAAGACTAAGATTACCGTTCATCACTTGAATCAGTAGTAAGCGGGGTGCCCCAAGGTTCCGTCCTGGGCCCGCTACTATTTACAATCTACATAAATGACCTTTATCATTTCTTGGCCCCCAATCAGTGCGTGATGTTTGCCGACGATACATCCTTCACTACATCTGCTAAGAGTATCGAGGAGTTGTCCGTTAGGGTTGGCATGTTGGAGGACAGGGCTAATGTCTGGTTCGAAAATAATTATCTTAAATTAAATTTAGACAAGACCCAGAGTATTGTGTTTTCCTCCAATTGCTTGGTAAATAGTGGACAGTCCGTCAAGTTGCTTGGCATTAGGATCGATGATAGACTAAATTGGAAACAACATATCTCAAACCTGAAAAATAGATTGTCCAGCAACATATTCGTTCTTCGACGACTGAGAGATAGGAACAAGGACTCTGCTTATGGTCTATTTTTCTTTGTTGCATTCACACTTATGCTATGGCACGGTACTGTGGGGTGATTCGTCAGCTGCTGTGGAGATTTTTAGAATGCAGAAAAGGGCTATTCGAATCGTTGCTAATATAGGATATAGGGACCATTGTCAACCTTATTTTAAAAAATTCAAAGTGGTGCCCCTTCCTTGCATCTATATATACTACCAGTTATTAGAGATACAGAGAACGAAAGGAAACTTTAGCGCTAATTCCGATTGCCATGCCTATTAAACTCGTTCGGGGGATCTCCTTAGACAGCCTAGGTTTAGACTGAGGAAGTCTGAGAACAACTCATTGAACCTGAAATCGTATAATGTTTTGCCAGGTACTGTGAAAAAGATGAGCAATAACATACTATTAAAGAATTCCTACAACGTCATTGTTTTTACTCCCTGCGAGCATACATTGACACTATCACTGGTATCGATGCGCTATAAAACTGTATAGTACTGTCTAATTTCGTTTGTATTAGATGTGTGTTTTTATGTTATTTATTAATTTGATTTTATTGCGCTTGAATATCACTTCTGACTTGCTACAATTGTCCCTTTTGTACGAAACGTAGTCAATAAATGAATCTATCTATCTATTTATTAGGGAGAAGAGTAGAGGTAAGGTGTTTTAATTCTGTGTTCCGTGACCGGACTGAGATAGTTTTACGGTTCTGTAATGCGATAATGCTTTAAAGTGGGCACAGGCTTTTGTAAATATAGTGACCCATTGTTCTATTGATAAGAATAGCCTCCCATTTTTACCAATATAAAATTAGACCTAACAGGAGGAATCCAGAAAATTTGTAAATAGTAATAAAATGGCGTTTTATTTGGAAAGTTTGACATGTCCGAGTATATTAAAATTAGTAAAGATTTGCGGTTATCGAAATCAACAGAGATGGATAAAAGACGACTCACCACATGGCTAGTGTGAGCAAATTTTGCAGAAACTTTGGGCCTATGTATCTTTTTTTAATGTCTGTCTAAGACTAAGAATCGTAAACCTAATAGGATTGCCTAATCCGCCAAATCTGTCCGTAAATGCAATGCGAAAACTCTCGCTGGCTGTGACGTAGTTTACTATGTAAATGACCTGAGTTTTGATGGACTTTGAGTATTTTGAGTAGCTAATATAGCATTTTGTTTGGATAATCACTCGTTGTTTTCATTTGGTGTCAACATTAAATCGTTTTAGGTAGTGTAAAAATACGATACGAAAAAAACGATTTACTGGTAAAACTTTGTGTTTTACGGCCTTCCACCATTTTAAATATACAAAAATCAACAAATACCTATAAACTAGAAAGCCCTATTTTTGGATATATTAAAGAACATATTAAAAAACAAAAAATGTATGAGGCATGCATAACAACTGTTTATAGGTGGTACGTAATAATAATATGTATTTATATGTACCCTCGTATGTGCATATACTTAAATCTTTATTTTACCATTTTACCATACTTTCTAATTTTTTTTCTGCGGGTACCATCTTGCAAAGATTTTCTTTTTAGACTAACGTTCATACGAATTATTGTTCTCAGCTTACAACAATCTCGTAACTAAACTAAATGGTAATTCTTTTTCTGTTTTAAGTATTTTTTTTTTTGCTAAGTTTTTTACCACTCCTTACACTTTTCGAAACGAATCGCCATGATGGGATTCAAAATAAAAGTTATATTATATTTATTAATTTTTTTCAAAAAATGATCAGAAGGCTTTATAAGAACCCCATATGATAACTGTTGTACCCAAGAGGGAATGCTGTAATCTCCTAAATTGAGGATATCTGTTTTGTGTTTTTTAGCTAAGTAGACAACAAATCCATATACTTAGCTTTATAATTTATTATTTGGGGTTCAGAGATGGGTTCTGGCCGGGGTTCTGGTATGGATTCTGGAGATGTTGCTAAAAGCTCAGACAATACCTGCTGAGCTTCTTTTTTGGCATTTTTGCAATGAAGTCTTTTTGATATAGATAATCCTGCTTCTGTTGGTGGCTTCTGGTTAAATAATAATAGGGCGGGAACAGCTGTTTTATTTTAGAATATTTTTTAAAGGTAAACCTAAAATTTAGATTTTGTGGTGAATTTAATGTGTTACTCAAGACAAAAAAAACCTAATAACTCATTTTGTAAGTCTCTTTCGTAATCATTTTCAGTAAAATGGACTGAGCAGACATAGCTTTAATCTGGATTAGGTTTGTCCTCTCTTCTACTCGTTCCGAATAGTTCGGGATACTAGATCTTTCCCTTTGGGAAAGCGATGAACACTACATTTTCGAGAACTTACTTTTTCATCAAAATAGTTGTTATCGCCCATCTTGTTCCAGGATACCTAACTATTTTTTGATATAACTTATCCCACTGAAAAAGGTAAAAGACATGTATTTCTTACCTTTACCTATATTATTATTATGTGTAATATTTTGAGCTTACCTCCTAACTAATAACACCGCTAATAAGCAGCCCGAACACAAAACTTGTAAGTCTTTTTTTAAGGTTAAAAATACTGTTTTTCTCAGTTCTCACCACTCAAGCACATACAATTTTAAGGTATTTGTTAAACCTTAAAACCACTCTTTTGTCCAAGTTTTTTTTACAGAAATACAATTAACACAACATACAACGGTTTAATACGCCCTCAAATGCATTGACAGAATACAAAAAATCGTTAGAGGACTTCGCCTACGTCACAAGCGACCACGTGTGATCGATAATTTTGGCGCACGTATGTCTTATTGGATTCGGCAATCCTATTAGGTTTATGATTCTTGACGTCTGTCGTTTCCCAACTAATGTATCTCGTTGCCGGTATGGGGTCGCCTTTCAAATTATGTATCTCAAATTTTAGGAGAAGCGTGCATGTGGGGTGAGACGATAAATGAATACAACGTAATCCCAAGGGTGTGGCCAAGGGCATCGGCAGTCGCCGAGAGGTTGTGGTCGAGTAGTTTCGTATTCGACTCGATAGAGGCCGCCAAGAGACTCGAAGAGCAAACTTGCAGGATGAATAGAAGAGGTATAACGGCGCAACCGCCCAATGGACCCGGCTTTTGTGAATGATTTATTACGCATAGTGTATTATGGATCAAAAGAAAAATGAATTCAATAAAATTTATTCCGAATCTAGTTTTTTTCAATTGTAATGGTAATGAGTCTTTTTAACCCTATAGCACCTAAATGATGAATTTTATGAAAATATTTTTGTTCCATTCGTTTATAACGAAGAGGTTGTCGTTTATTTCTTATACCAAAAATAAGTTTCATAACGGCCAGAAGTATATTTTTACCCAAAAACGCCCCCTTCATATCAGTGCGAAAACTAGTATTTTGTTAGAAAAATTCAAATATCGGAAAGAATATTAGGCTTGGGTATGTATTCCCATGAATTAAAAAATTGAAGAATTTTAAAAGAAATTAAAACTAAGGTGTTTAAAAATGTATATTTTAGCTTTTTTGAGTAACTCTGTATACTTTCAAATAGTTTGAGATTGTGCATAATAACAATCTTTACAATTTTTGTGGGATAATGCACTTTACTCTATCGTTGGCTTACCCTGTACTTTATTTACTTTAAAGTTGGCAGCAATGGATTTTTACTTTAAATATGTAATTTTCTTGAATTCAATTTTATTTTACTCTTCCTAAAACCAAAGTGCCATTTATTTTGAGCACTTTAAAACATAATTTTGATGAAAACTTGAAAATTAAAAGTATACGTAACAATTTGGCATACCTCAATGTGAATATGGGCCTTCAAATAATATTAAACGCCTTGCGAACGTTTACAACAGCTAGCCCAGGGGGCAACATTAAAAAAATATATTAAGTTTAATAGGCCAAGTGAATGTGAATACAATTTTTGAAGTTCTGAAGTTTCCACGAGATGGCGTAATTCTTATCTTGAATTTGAAAAGCTGTTTCCTTTAAAATTTACTTATATTAATGATACTTGCATAATGGCTTAATAGATTTTTCTAGGACCTTTCCTGGACTATTGATGAGACATGATTGTCTTTGAATACATTGCTACCAGATCGCGTTTTCTGACACAATGGCGAATTTTTTCATGTCAATACTCAAGAAGTATATTAGAAAGAAAGAAATATACCTGGCCCATTCCTGCCTTGTTTAAGAATAAATTTTTTGTTATTGGTTTTGTCCAACAACAAAAGGTAATGAACATCTTTAAAGTTTAATTAGGGACGGCCCGTCGAAAGCTATAAAAACGCACGAGATTCCTAAATATTTGATAAATGCATGTGGTAATATTGTCTTTAAGGAGCTACAGGTGTAGTGGAATACGGCAGTGGCGTGCAGTAAAATGTATTACAGGGTAGGCAAGAGAAAAAAAAAAACGCCTCCGGCGAAAAATTTTTGGGGTGCCACACCCTAATTATGTTTTCCCATAAAGGACATAAAAATAGTGCGTATAGTAGGCAACAGAACCAAAAAAACGAAAAACTCAAAAGAAACGCATGTATTACATACAGCACAACACAACACACAACACAATACATTATTATGTACAATGTAGGTGGATATATTATAAAATTTACTTAATATTTTGTTGTCGTGAATACAACCGCAAAGCCACTTATAGTTCTCGTAAAACTTAACATTAAAATACCTGGTTGTTTTTTTTTTGCTGTTGACATAACTTTAAATTGGGCTTCGGTCGTCCCACTTGTTGTTTGTTGGCCAGGATTCTAAAAATATCAAAATATATAGGGTGTTTCATTTAAAATTTTACAAATAATGTCGGTCCAGCACTTATTGAACACCCTTTAAACATAAAAAATAAATCATTTTAAAATTTAATTTAAACCATAAAACTTTTGTATAAACTTTTTTTCTTCTAAAACCAGTAGTTCCTCCGAAAAGGAACACGCCCTTAATAAAGTGCCCACACCGTACAAAAAATATTCTTAATTGAGATGCTTCGTGTATAAAAATCTATCTATCCAGGCCGTTCAAAAATCGAGCTAAGCAGTTCCTTGAATACGGAATTACAAGTCAACACTGGATCAAATTCTCACTTTAACCCAAGTAGGCCGTGATTTTGCAGTCACAAACGGAAATACGGATGAGTTAAAAATGGATTAACAATACAGATGATCGATTTCAGTAGACGTGAAATACATCGGTGAAGAAGTGACTGCGTGGGAAGTACAAAACACATGGTTAATGAAAATCATACACCGATCAAGTGCTGGAAAGACGAAAATGTTAAAACTCGAAAACGTACTTACTTTCTCTGGTTATCTTGCTAACATTTTAATTGACTGTGACTTTGTTGTTTTTAGAGATGGCGGGATAGTAGATAAGTTTTTTTGTAAGTGACGTTTAAAACTATCAAATATCTGTCATATAAGCCTACGTCATAGTTTTTTTTAAATATTCCCATTACAATGATGTAGCACGCTTCATATTTTAGTCACCTCGTTTTTGACAAATCGGCAAAAATAGGAAATTTTCATATAATTTCAAACAGTGCCGTGACTGACTGCAACAACGATAATTATTTGCAAATTAAAGTAGAACAAAAACACTAAAAATGATAAGACACTCTAAAGTGAAAAGTTCCTTAACCGTTCCAAAAACTGCTGTATGTGACCACCATTTTCCTGAACACATTTCTCATACACTCTAATTGTATGATGTATTGCATTTAGTATTAGTTTCCGCATAGTCTCTTAACTGATTGATTGCCTCTGAAATCCTTTCCCGAAGTTCCACTATATTATTACAAGAAGTTCTGTGCACGTGATTTTTTATGTGCCCCCAAAAGACAAAAATCCGTTAAAGTCAAGTTGGGGCTGTTGGCTGGCCAATCCACAGTTCCGCCATTCGCTATCCAACCCGAGGGATATTCCATGTGAAGAAAATGTTTGGCTTGCACAACATTGTGAGGAGTGGCACCGTCTTGCTGTCACGTAATCAGCGCTGATCTTCTATATATGAGAGTTGCAAATAATAATCTCCAGTTAAATTTTGATCTATGAATATCGGACCCAAGATATGCCTATCTATGACACCACGCCATACATTAATTGATTGGTACCACTGGGTTTTTATTTCGTGCATTTGTCTAGAATGATTTTGCCTATTACAGCCCTTCCCCGTAGTGAACGAACTTTCATCAGTCCATAAAATATTTTCAAAAAATTGTTATTCGCTTTATGTCTATTTAAAAAATTCAAATAAAACTGCATCTTCCTTTCACACACATTCTTTCTGCCCACACCAAAAACAATTTTTTAAAAAAAGTGGCTCAGATCACTCAGGTCTCTGATTTATTTATTTATTTATATTTAACAATTATACAGGGGGTTTATTAAAGATATGTACCGAACTTGAGGGCTTCTTCGTGGAGAGTAATCGTATTTTATTCTTATATACCGTTTTTTTCTTTCATGTTGTTTATATTTTGTTATTTGTCGCCATTCTGTAATTCTATAATTTGTTGGTAATGTATATCTTCCGGAATTGGGCAATAAAATTTCTTCTATGAACTACCAGCTTAAACAGCCGCAGCCTGATAATAATTAGATATTTGTTGCTTATTCTACTGTAATAATTACAGCAAGTCGCCTTTATGTATTTGTAAATTCGACAAAAACTACGTAATTAAAGTAGGGCATTAAAAGTAATTGGGTGCCGGTATAAACCTTGATATCCGTCTGTGGATTTGAAAAAAAAAATACAATGTCACCACGTGTAATGACAAAATTCGCAAGTAGCAATTTCAGCCGAATAAACACTGGGGATATTAAAATCACATATTCCCAAAAAATAGTAAATTCGTCCAAGTGTATAATTTTACGACACAATGGAGCTGGTTGCTGGGTACACAATTATCGTTGGATCCGCCTACTGGTTTAGGGTACGAACTCGTATATAAAATGCTGGTCCATTGAGTCAGTCATTAGTTCCACTTTTGTGTACGTAAAACAAACCGGCATTTTACACACTTGCAAAATATGAAATCTTGCGTGGCTTTACTTTGTCTGGTGGGCTTCGCATGTGCGGTAAGTCAAGTCATAACATTCGTAATACTATTAAAATTAGCATATTAATAATAGCAAGCAGCATATTAAACGGCTAATTAAATTTAATTAAATAAAGTAAAACTCTTTATTTCAACATCAATCAATTAATTTAATCGCAACAAAACAATTATATCATACTACGAATGAAACTATATCTAAACGATATCGCTGATAACATCTATAAGTAGATAGATAATAAGCTATAAGTAGCTATAGCGTAAAATGTTCATAAAGAAATACTAGTTTCAGTGTACTAAACTTTAAGATCATACTCAACAAATATTGGTTAAGGTTCGTGTTTTCCATCGAGTACGCGATATCAAAATAAACATTATAGCTGCCAAAATAGGAATCAGACAGTTCTTTTCTTTGATTGTAGAATTTTTTTACGTTTTATTTCCAAATATTTGACACATGCATTTTTATTAACGACACTGAGGTTGTTAATTGAATTAAATTAAATTGTGCTACTTTTCAATACGTATAGTTTTTTTATGCGTTTCATATTGTGGTGTCCACTTGTGTTTGCAGCTGGACAAGTCGATTGTTTCGGGTATTTTAAAGGACATCGAAAAAATTGGAGCTGAATGCGTCAAAGAAACTTCCGCCAGCGAGGGTAAGATAATTTCAACGTTTTTGCTGAAAAATATAACTGTTATTTGATATATATAAAAAATTCCATATAAAACTTGGGTGAAATCTATTTTCTAGAGTAACAGAGAAAATATATGGATTCGGATATGCATGATATTACAGTGGCCATTTTGTTGCTTGCCCTAGCTCTGAAAAACATGTTATGTGGATATGCAAACTCCTGAAAACCATATTCATTCTGTATCGAAAATAGCTTCTCTTCCCCCGGCAACAAATCTAAGCAATAAATAAGCTCGGAAACTTTTTCCAATTTGAAAAATATCTGATGCTGTCCCAGATATTCTACTAGCCTATAGAAAACTAATCAAGAGAGCTTCAAAATAACGTACCACGCAACAACCTTAAAATGGCAGGGAAAAATACTACCCTAAATATCATAAACGAATTTTAATTTCGCAATTTAAAAAAAAAATCTGACTTGATCGCAGGTATTGAACTCATTACAGGGCGTCCTCAGAGCAACACTCTCAACATCAATATCAAACATTTCCGACTTGGTCGCAAATATTGAACACGGCCATATAAGATATAAAGTTACCCCATTAATGAATCATCTAAAATCGATGTACAATTATCTAATGCAATTCTTCGAAAATATTCAGATTATATTACAGAAATTTATCTTTGTTCAAATTCGAAATAAACTCTCTACGTCTGACGTCTCGTATTTGTGACTCCCTGAACCAGCAAGGTCAAATTGACGTTATATACACTGGCTTCCACGAAGCGTTTGATCAGATAGATCTTCACATACTAATTGGAAAAGGTTCTCAAAAATTTGGTTTCTCCAATACTTTGATTTGAGTGTTGAGGTCCTATCTGGTGCATCGTCGAAGTTCTCGTCAGCTATGCAAATGACCTAAAACTATATCACTGTTTCAAACCCGGTACAGACTGCATGACTCTCTAGGCTAACATCAATATTGTCAGTCAGTGGTGTACTAAAAATAAATTGCGTCTCAATATCAGCAAGTGTAATGCGCGTTTTTCCAAATGGATGGTACTATCCTGACTAGACTAGCAACTGTAAAGGATCTGTTTTCTTTTATTAGAGGTTCTGCTTTGTACCTCACATTACTTAAATAGTTTCCAGTGCAATGCCAATTTTAGGATTGCTACACCTACTATTAAAATATTATTTTACATTAGGTACAAACTTAATAATGGCTCTGTGGTATGGTGGTACATAACTGGCATGCTCAGTCCATTGAGAGTGTGCAGAGAAGTTCACTGAAGTATCTAATGTTCAGGGGAGAGGGTTTCTATCCTGAGAGGCGAGTTGATCATCATTTTTCCCTGTATTTTCTGTAATTGGGTCATGTTACCTGTTGGCAATAAAGTGCTAATAATAAAATATCTGACGTTTTCTCATAGAGCTTTCAATGATATACTGCTTAACTACTTTTGAGACGACCTGCCGCCAATAGCGAAATCTTCAATATGGGTTTTAGGAGTTCACTGAGAACATTGTTTTGCATGCATGTTACGGTCCAATACCGTCCATTAACTTCAGCCATATCACATTGCAAACATACCAAACTATTTTTCGGTTGCGGATAATGTTGCTTTTCCGTTGTAGATGATATTGCTCAGTTAAATGCCAAAAAAGTCCCTACCACCCATGAAGGCAAATGCATGATGTTCTGCTATGCTAAGCATTTCGAGATGGCAAGTATCATTTGCTATTGTTCGACTCACGCATTGAAGTATATTTTTATTGATTGTAGATGAACGATGATGGATCTCTCAGTGACGCCATTCTCAAGAAATGGGACGTCATTAAAGGAAACGACGAAGACGTTTACAACAAACTCGTGCAAGTGCACAACACCTGTCACTCAAAAAGCAAGTACCATTTTCACTTTCCTTCACATGTTGCCTCTAATTCGTTAAAGTATTATATCTGTATTATTCGATCTAATTAATTTTTTGGTTCGTTCTGTGATACGAAAGGAAATGTTAATAACTACCGAATTTCCAGCTTCCTTAAAGGCTGACCCATGCGACACTGCAACTGACCTGGCAGTCTGTTCACTCGAAGAAAGTAGCAAAGTAAGTGTTTTGTGTTTATTCAAGGCTCGTTCCAAAGTTCCATCTTTCTTCATGTGGTGTGCACTTTCTTATCTAACAAATATAAATACAATAGTCGTAGTTCTAATGTTTTAGCAGTGAAGATCGCTTTCTATATATTACGGTTCGGAAAAAAACATTATGAACTCAATTTTTTGAGTCAAATACAGTTCGCGATGCGATACTACATTTTTAGCAGCTTTTCGCGCGATGTGCTTCATTAAATGTTTCTCTCAGTCTTATACTATTTCGTAAATGGCTGTTGGAGAGAATATGATGTGCGATGTCATGTTCGGGTATCAGATTTTTCCTATAAATGTCAGTTTTCCACAAATGGATACAAGTCGAGTCCTTTTAATCGTGTATGGACGTTAATATGTGTCACAATTTTTTTTTGTTAAATAATTTTTTAATTCTCTTTGATGGCTGTCATTGACATTGACAGCTTTATGCGGCACCCGCTTATATGTAAACACCAACAAAAAATTTCCTTTTTTCTCCGCCATTCCATTGCGACACATACCATATAATGATGGACTTTAATTAAGATCATAGCCAACTATGAGCGCCATATAAAATACAAAAAAGGGCAAATGGAGAATAATGGAAAATACCTGACTAGCCTAATGCATTTGATTCAAAAACGCACTATATCTTGGTTCTAAATATATGGAAATGAAGTCACATGTAAGTCGCTTTTGCTATATCTATTTAAGAAGTAGGTTTTTTATGTTATAACTGCCATAGCCCTTTCTTTTTTTTGAGATACTGGAAAATTTTGCGTTATAAGGTACCGTCTTTTGTATTAGATAGTTAATTGAGCCCGTTATAAGCTTCTTCGTAGATCCTAGCGCTGCCCTCAAACTAGTTATAAATTGTCATTGAATTTTATTACATCACTTAATAGCCCAACAACCCAGTGGAAACCTCATTGCAATATCTTTGTAGTAACCTAACTCAAAGCTTATAAATTAATAACTCTTTCCGAACATTATGGAAACAATATCTTTTATTCTACCCCAAAAGTAGTCCAGGAAAGTAAGGTCTGGTAAACACACTGGCCCTTCTTATCCAACGGTTTGGAGAAGTCAGGTCTAAAAAATTCCTATCAACTATATTATTAGGGGTAGTAAGTTTGGTAAACCATATCTTATAGTCTAAAAGTCCAGAACTGTAAGGTCAGGGGATCTGGCAGTCCCTGGTTTGTGCTGGACATCCATAGTATTGCAGCCACATATTTCTTCACCTTTTCTAATAAAATCGGCAATTAGTTTTTTAAAAAGTTCAAATAAATTTGGCGAGTAATTTTACCATTAAGGAAAAACTGGTCTTATGATTCGATCACTCAAAGCACTACACCAGACGTTCACACTCCACGGATTTGACAAATCACTTCAAACATCCAATGAGATCACTGGTCACTATGCAAATTGGTTAGGTTAGGTTAAGGATTAAGTTAAGGATAAGGATATCAAGATGTGGTTTTAGCTGGGTTGTTAGATTCTTATTTATTCATCACAGATTTTAAAATTCAAAATGCTTTCTGGCTGCCATTTCAGAATTTCAAAATAATCCCCAATACCGTATATCCCATACCCGAATACCCTGAATGTTTATTTTAATAGTAGTTGAACTATTAAAAACAGTAAAATAAATATCGAAAACTTGGCGGTTTTGATTAAAAAAGTGCCACAATTTTTATCTACTGTGATTGTGGGAGCAGTTATCAGACTTTCGAGAAAATAAGAATAGGAAAGATACGTAAGGGCCTGCAGGACTAAAAAAAACTCTTAAGGTTACGTCCACGGAACACAGAGCAATTTAATTGATAAATTTTCTACCTAATAACAATTAAATAATCAATAATATCATTGGACCCACAAACATGTTGCTTCATTTTCATTATTTTGATCGGAAGGGAAGAATTTGTTGAAATAAATTCGATCTGATTATTTGGAGCGTTTTAGGTCGCAATAAGATGAGATGTACTATATTGGTCATGTAACCTCAGTTTTAACAATGTGTATAACTTGTGGCATGACGTGGCATAGGAAACACGCCGTATATTATAAATTTATAACCTTTGCGGCAAAGCGTCCAAAAGTTGTGTACGGTTTTCTTTTACCCCCAATTTTTTAAGTTAGCATTTTATTTTCATTACGTAGACGCTCTCAAGTATGGTCGACGAACATTTCAAAAATCAAATATCAAGATGGTATTTAAAGTGCTTAATATAGCGTTTTTTTTTAATAAGGAGGTATCAATTTAGATAATTTATAGGTATTCTTTCTGTTAAGATCTACGTTGGATGCTGCTGGAAAAAATGATGAAATTGGATATACTATTGCCATTCACTTAGTCTCGATGGAGGAGTATAATAATTAATAACTTCTAAAAAAACTGGGGGCTGATATATTTTATAAATAAATCGGAATTCTCGTGCGTACGGTGCACAGATGTGCCAAATTTTTTGTACATTTATTCCCGAAATAGGAATTTTGTTCCGGAGACAACGAATCTATCGAAGTTACGAGATTTTGCCATTTTCTAGAATAATCTCAATTGCAATTTTAGCCCGTTTGTAATTTGATTTTTAATTTAATATTGTCCAGCTCCTTCATTTTTAATAACTGCTTAATTTTGTTAACACTAAGTGAGGGCCAGTTGAGTATAAGGCAAACAACAACCTAAAAAACTAGCAACAAACTATACCACGCACTCAGTTTGGTCAATAAAATAAAATATGGGATTCTTTTTCTACTAAATTTTAATATAGAAACAAATACGTTAAAATCAACTAATTTGGAAAAAATTCCTCAGTGTAACGTTTCTTTTCTTAACCTTCAATTTGGGTAGCGAACATTCACTATCAATGCAATATAAAATGTAAAAAAGTGTTCGTACTTGCTGTCAAACAAGACGTTATTCGACATTTCATTTCCTTTGTAAATTTGTTATTATCTAGCAAGTTTTAATTTTTAATAAATTAAAATCGAAAAAAGAGTTGAATATATGTGTACTCGTCTGGTTCTAGAAGACTAATAGCTTTTTTTTTTGTTATAGCTTGGACTTATGGAACAATTTGCGTAGTTGGAGCCCTAAGCAATGATGTGGCGTTCTTTTTGGATTGTTTGTTGTATTTAGTTTGTTGCCTATATTCAATAAAATTAGTTATCAAAGTCGTCCTGCTTATTCCAAAAGTTTTATTTTGCATTTAGTGTTACAAAGACAAATGAATATCAATGACGGTGTTGAAAGCAGTCGCCGAAATAATTGCCCTAAAGATCTACATGTGCAACTAAACCACACTTAATTATTAATTAGAAAACCAAACCATAAATTCAAATAAATGATACCAAATACTAAAACTAATTCATGCTTATTGAGACTTTATTAATGAAGCGAATTCGTAAATTCGGACGTGTGCTTTATATTCACAGTATTGTTATTGGCTTCAAAACACATTTAAGTGCTTTACATCCTCCTAAAACCCCATTGCCTTTTTGGAGTAATCCGAGCATCATCATCATTTGACCGACGATGGAAATGGACTCTCGGATAGCTATGAGTAGGTATCGGATAGCTCTTATTTCCTCCAGGAACCGGGTAGCTGTTTTTTCCGCCGGGGACGGGGTAGCTGTTATTTCCTCCAGGAACTGAGTAGCTGTTGTTTCCTCCAGGAACCGGGTAGCTGTTGTTACCGCCGGGCACGGGGTAGCTGCTGTTTCCTCCAGGAACCGGGTAGCTGTTGTTACCGCCGGGCACGGGGTAGCTGCTGTTTCCTCCAGGAACCGGGTAGCTGTTGTTACCGCCGGGCACGGGGTAGCTGCTGTTTCCTCCAGGAACCGGGTAGCTGTTGTTACCGCCGGGCACGGGGTAGCTGCTGTTTCCTCCAGGAACCGGGTAGCTGTTGTTACCGCCGGGCACGGGGTAGCTGTTGTTTCCTCCAGGAACCGGGTAGCTGTTGTTTCCACCGGGGACGGGGTAGCTGTTATTTCCTCCAGGAACCGGGTAGCTGTTGTTTCCTCCAGGAACCGGGTAGCTGTTGTTACCGCCGGGGACGGGGTAGCTGTTGTTTCCTCCAGGAACCGGGTAGCTGCTGTTACCGCCGGGCACGGGGTAGCTGTTGTTTCCTCCAGGAACCGGGTAGCTGTTGTTACCGCCGGGCACGGGGTAGCTGTTGTTTCCTCCAGGAACCGGGTAACTGTTGTTTCCGCCGGGGACGGGGTAGCTGTTGTTACCGCCGGGCACGGGGTAGCTGTTGTTTCCTCCAGGAACCGGATAGCTGTTGTTACCGCCGGGCACGGGGTAGCTGTTGTTTCCTCCAGGAACCGGGTAGCTGTTGTTTCCGCCGGGGACGGGGTAGCTGTTGTTTCCTTCAGGAACCGGGTAGCTGTTGTTTCCTCCAGGAACCGGGTAGCTGTTGTTTCCGCCGGGGACGGGGTAGCTGTTGTTTCCTCCAGGAACCGGGTAGCTGTTGTTTCCGCCGGGGACGGGGTAGCTGTTGTTTCCTCCAGGAACCGGGTAGCTGTTGTTTCCTCCAGGAACCGGGTAGCTGTTGTTACCGCCGGGGACGGGGTAGCTGTTGTTTCCTCCAGGAACCGGGTAGCTGTTGTTTCCTCCAGGAACCGGGTAGCTGTTGTTTCCTCCAGGAACCGGGTAGCTGTTGTTACCGCCGGGCACGGGGTAGCTGTTGTTTCCTCCAGGAACCGGGTAGCTGTTGTTACCGCCGGGCACGGGGTAGCTGTTGTTTCCTCCAGGAACCGGGTAGCTGTTGTTACCCCCAGGAACCGGGTAGCTGTTGTTTCCTCCAGGAGCCGGGTAGCTGTTATTTCCTCCAGGAACTGGGTAGCTGTTGTTTCCGCCGGGGACGGGGTAGCTGTTATTTCCTCCAGGAACCGGGTAGCTGTTGTTTCCGCCGGGGACGGGGTAGCTGTTATTTCCTCCAGGAACCGGGTAGCTGTTGTTTCCGCCGGGGACGGGGTAGCTGTTATTTCCTCCAGGAACCGGGTAGCTGTTGTTTCCGCCGGGGACGGGGTAGCTGTTGTTACCGCCGGGCACGGGGTAGCTGTTATTTCCTCCAGGAACTGGGTAGCTGTTGTTACCCCCAGGAACCGGGTAGCTGTTGTTACCGCCGGGGACGGGATAGCTGTTATTTCCTCCAGGAACCGGGTAGCTGTTGTTTCCGCCGGGGACGGGGTAGCTGTTGTTACCGCCGGGCACGGGGTAGCTGTTATTTCCTCCAGGAACTGGGTAGCTGTTGTTACCCCCAGGAACCGGGTAGCTATTGTTACCGCCGGGGACGGGATAGCTGTTATTTCCTCCAGGAACCGGGTAGCTGTTGTTACCGCCGGGCGCGGGGTAGCTGTTGTTTCCGCCGGGGACGGGGTAGCTGTTATTTCCTCCAGGAATCGGGTAGCTGTTGTTACCGCCGGGCACAGGATAGCTGTTATTTCCTCCAGGAACCGGGTAGCTGTTGTTTCCGCCGGGGACGGGATAGCTGTTATTTCCTCCAGGGACCGGGTAGCTGTTGTTACCGCCGGGCGCGGGGTAGCTGTTGTTACCGCCGGGGACGGGGTAGCTGTTGTTTCCTCCAGGAACCGGGTAGCTGTTGTTTCCGCCGGGGACGGGGTAGCTGTTATTTCCTCCAGGAACCGGGTAGCTGTTGTTTCCGCCTGGGACGGGGTAGCTGTTATTTCCTCCAGGAACCGGGTAGCTGTTGTTACCGCCGGGCACGGGGTAGCTGTTATTTCCTCCAGGAACTGGGTAGCTGTTGTTACCCCCAGGAACCGGGTAGTTATTGTTACCGCCGGGGACGGGGTAGCTGTTATTTCCACCAGGAGCGGGGTAGCTATTATTTCCACCGGGGACCGGATAACTATTATTTCCTCCAGGAACCGGATAGCTGTTGTTTGCACCCGCTCCAGGTTGATTTGGTGTTACAGTTATGTTAAACTTTAGGTCTACCTTTACTTCTTCTCCTGTTGGAACATCCACTACAATAATCTGCTCATTTTCTACATTTATTGCATTGGAATACTGAAACAAAATATTTTTCATAAAAGTAGTGCAAAAATAAGGTTTGAGGTAATAATTAGAGGCATATAACAAGTAGCGCTTTAATGCTAACGCATTCACTATTAAAATTTTAAATTTAGCACCTTAATTTTATAAAACTACGCTCATGCAGGCTTTTTGACGTATTTCATTTCAAAATTAACCTTACAAATAATTATGCAATTTGTAGTCCAGACACTTACGCCTAATCCAAACAGAAGAGCCCATATTAGGAGACTTGTCCCTGATCTGGAAGTCATGTTGCTGTGATTGCCAGGACTAATTTGCTTAGAAAATTTCCAGTTTATATATCCACAACCATTCGCGTTATCGGGTCGTGCGAATCTGATCTCGCCGTCGACGAATGATTCACGTCAAATTTTTTTCGATAACATTTTGAGAAAGTATCGCCGATTTGATAGAAAATTTACTTTTAAAAATTAAAGCAAATAAATCAATTCACAGAATGTATTTAAAAAATTTATCTCCGAAGCTAAAATCGTGGGGACAAATGTAGGACTTGCCCCGATATGACTTTGAGCTGCTAAGTGCAAACAGACGTGCAAAAAGTTCCATCGATTTGTAATTATATTAAATTATTTTTATTAGTAAATAGTATAAGAATCTGTTTTTAGTGGTGTCGGCATTTAGAGTTCTGTGACTCATAAGTTGCCGAAACTCGGTCCATAGATGTCAGAAGGCCTTTTATATATTTTGGGAACCGAGTGTACAAAAAGTATTTACTTTCAGAATAAAGGAAGTAATGAAGCTTCCCTGTCGGATTATCAAAATTTTTGTGTACCAAAGTTACCGTCGTTTTCAGTCAAGCCGGAAGGGCATAGTTTAAAAAAAAAAAACGACGTATGGCTTATAATAAACCACCCACTTTCAAGTCGCTGCTTCAGACAATTAAATTGTTATATATTTCCTCTTGTAACACCCGGATTATACTGCGTTGTTTCTTACATTTGAAAAAAAAATGTTCTCACGGCTTTCAAAAGGCTTTTTTTTTTAATTACTTTCAACATTTTTTTAGATGAATCTCCTTATTGTTAATTCTCGATAAATATCTAAAGCTAAAATCAGTTTTTGCTCTCATTCCAATTTACATTATTAGATTTTTTTTACATTATTTTATCCTTTTTAAAGCAGAAACAAGTGTCACTTTTGTATTAATAATTTGCTGGACATGTTATTCGTAAGCGAAATATTGCAATGGTTCATATTTGACATCCATGACATGACATCACATAGACATCAGGGACCTATCCAGAGTTATATGTCTATGGATCTATGATATTTTTTTATATAATGCATTTTATATTATCAACAGAATAATCGCTATTTTATATGCAAAAAATAAAAATTTTGAATTTTCAAAAAGGTCTTGGATGAGACGGTAATAGAAAAAACGTAATAGTAATTACCAAATTATGATTTTGACTGTAAGAATGCTCAGTTGCAGTTTAACCTTTCAAATAAGTTGCAAAAAATCGCGTACCTAGTTCAAATTCATTTATTGTATTTATATTCGTCCAGCGTTAGTTTTGGTTAGTTCTGTTGGTGTTTTTAACTTTGATGCACCCAAAAAACTCCTTTTTCTTGTAACTCACTATGCCTTTTTGATGTATATATTGATGTATACTCCGCTTTTTTAATTTTTTCATCCCAACACTAAATGCTAGTGCTAAATTCAATAAGGCATACTTTGGGACTATTTATTGTTCATAAGAAATTTCAAAAACAAAAAATCAGCATCAGACATTGCTATATACCTAAAAAAGAAAAAAGTAAACGAATGGAATGGAAATACATAGTTAAAACGGTGATAAACGCATTGTCAATAGAAAACTCCACGGTACATCGGGCAAGTGAATAGAACTGGAGCAAATTTGATCTGGTTAGTTTCAGAAAATCAAAGTCAGTCGAATGATCTGTTATTTAAAAACTTGCAAACAAGAGAACAAGGCCTTGTCACAATTGAACAAAGTAAGCGTCACAAAAAACAGTTACCTAACCCATAGAATGGAATAAAAAAGTAAACCTACTTGAAGAACAGGATACACACAGCGTTAAGCTAAAACTAAAAAAATGACATATATAAAAATCACAAAGATAATAACAAAAAAGTAATTTACGAAGACCGCATAAACTTAAAATCTGTAATTTTGGACCTCTAAAACAACTGAATAAAGTTCTAGGTCCAATGAAATTGAATTTATTTTGTTTTCGTACTGGTAACTTATTAAAAAAAAAAAAGGGATATTAAGGCCTTCGCATCCGGTGTTGATGTTTTGATGTAACTCGTGCAAAGTAAACCTTTTTCTGTTCTTGAACAAAAATTATATTACATATATAACAATGGCACTGTGAAAAGTCCTAACTCATTAGACTACAATTACTCTTTTTTGTGCCCTAACTTCGCATCTCTGCCAATGCCCCAAAAAGTTGTTTCATATTGGAGTTCTGAAAATATACTATTGTCCGATGTTCTATACCTAATTTGTTATGACCAGTTTAAGTTGTGGTCAATATAATTGCCCAAAAATGTTATTATTTTGAAAGTTGGGCATCTAGGTTATCTATTGTGACTTCACCCGCAACACTTTTATTCCTCTGTCTTAAACAGAAGCAAACAAAACTAGTTTTCTCCGCATTCAAAACCAAATTATTTCTCAGTCCAAAGAGGAAGAAGAGAAGGCCACAGCAAGGTAATTAAGGCAATTAAGTTAATGACATCAAGCCATGGATTACCCAAAAACAGCTTTGACGGCAACTAACACAATAATTAATAATAATAATTGTAATGTAATGTAATGTAAAGCAAATTAATTACAATATAACGTTAACGCCAGGCAAAACATGTGTGTCAGTTACAACGTCTTTTTTTGATATCTTTTGCTCACTATCGCCAACATTTTTGATGCGTTTGGCAGTTTTAAAAGCGCCTTTTATATGTTCTATCATTTTGTCCGACGTTGGTGGATATATTTCGCTGTAAGGTTCACTTGCCTTGCTTAAATAATTTTCAAGTATTTGGAATATTAAACTTATGGAAAACTTTAAAATTCATGTGGGTGTTTCAATACCTTTATCGAAGCACTAATGTTTGTTAGCGTAATTTATTGAAAAAACATTTTTTATTTGTTGTATATGGCTGAAAGGTTACGAACACCCTGTAAATAATGCGTCATTTAGGCAATTTCTCAATTCTTTGAAGTATCAAGGAAGTAATACTAAAATATCATCCATTAGGTAAGATAGCATCTTTTTCAATTCGATACTTCCTGCCATTCAATTTGTTTAATCTTAACAACGTGTTTACAGATACGACAAAATGGTGGCCGATAATCGTCGCAGCCAGGTTTGGCTACGGTGCTGAGAACGTTGTACCTATCTTGATTGTTTTTTAATAATTAGGATATTGTTAAACTCATTCGAGATAACCACCTAGTGACTAATTCATATTGTTCTGCGGTTGATAGTACGATTGTACCGTTATTAAGTCGATAAAAAATGGTCAAAACGTAATGCGTAATTTCGAGTCGCTTGGCTTAGAATTTTACTGAATTCCCTACATACTGGTCAGCGTGGCTCATTCTTGGGAGGTAACAGTTATTTCTTTATTTGCTATTCTATTATGCGAACTTGCAGGCCCAAGGCTCGATATGAAGTGAATTAAAATCCTATAAGGTATGACTAAATTGGATATGTTCTAATTATCCAGCGTCCTTTCACTGTATAATTATATGCACATCTATTTTCAACAGTTATAACAGGAATTGAACTGAGGTGGCTTTTACTTGATGAAAATCCATTTATCAAAATAAATCGGAACAGATATTCACGGAATTATTTTTTTTTATCGAAACGGACAGGGAATTGAATTCTTTTTTAAATTACATTAACTCATTACATAATCGTATAAATTTCACTATGGAGATTGAATTGAATAACTCTAGTATTTTTTTAGACTTAACTATTACAAAAGCGCGAAACAAATTAGATTTTTCAATTTATCATAAATCTTCACACACTGATATACAGCTCAAATCACCCTTATACATACAAAATGGCTGCATTTCACGCTTTTATATACAGACTTCTTAATACGCCACTCTCAACAGAAAATGAGAACCAAGAACTTAATATCATTAAACAAATTGCACCGAACAACGGCTACAATCCGTCCATTATAGATAAAATTATGAATAGAAAACAAATCCAGACAACAGTAAATTCTATTTATCCGAAACCTAATACAGAACACGAAAAATTTAAAACAATTATATGCATAGGAGAACCTAGTGAAAATGTATCAAAACAACTACAATAAGACACAATAAGAAAATTTTTAAAAAACAATAAAACAAAATGTCCAAAATCTTAAAAATCAGGTGTCTACAGGTTGAAATGCGGATTTTGTCCTAAAATGTATATTGGACAAACAGGTAAATCCTTCAAGAAACGGATTAACGAACATAAAAGAGCGTTTAAAAACAATAGTCTAGATTCTAATTATGCTACACAGAAAAACACATTTTTGACGCACAATTTTGATATTTTACACACAGGCACAAAAAGTAGAAAATTAAATTTACTGAAAGCCACGGAGATTAAGAAATTTAGACATTCAAATGTATTGCTTAACGATCAATTAGATTTATTGAACTTAAATTCTCACAACAACATTAAGTAACAAAGTAAATAAGAAAAAAACGTTCAGATTTTCACGAAATTATATATTTTGACATGACAATTGTTTCGACAACACCGTGTCTTTATCAAATGTGTTCTTATTCTTCTTATTTATTATTTTGATAAATGGATTTTCATCAAGTAAAAGCCTCATCAGTTCAACATTAATAAAGGTTTTATGGTAATGTTTCTTATATATAGTGGCAGGTAGTTTCTAAATATTACATTTGATAAAGACACGGTGTTGTCAAAACAATTGTCATGTCAAAATATATCATTTTGATTTGATTTTGAATATACAATATGGAGCCTAAGTACTTGTGGAAATTATCGCTATTCTTTTCACGGAAGTCGAGAGAATTTTCGCCAAATCACATAACATCCTATAATGAAACATTGGACGGAACATAACAATAACTCAATGATACCGTTTACTTTCCGTGAAAAATTAAGACTACATTATTAAAAATAGAAAACTCCCAATATAATGACGTATTTCTCTCTACTTGTGTAATCAAATGATCATTTTAACCCGAATGATCTATGGGAAACTAAAATACATGATTCAGCCTTGCCGGTGCGCTGA